GGGGGGGGGTATTGTAGGGCCTACAAAGTTGCAAGCTAGTCGCGGCGATGTTGGAATGGCCAAGCAAACACAGGTCGCAAACCCGACGAAGAGGGCGATTCTTTGGGGGAGCTCTGCGCTCCACAGGCTGCGGCCTCAACATGACTGGCATTTTTATTTTCGGCATTTGCATCTCGGTTCTCGTTCTTTTCTTCCCCCTGAGGGTGCAACATACAATTGACATCGTTCCTTACCTACGTTGGCTTGTGCTTAAGTGTGTGGGGGAGTGTTTGCTGGGTCTTGGCTTCTAAAGGTGGACCCCGTGCAACCACACGGGCTACTTGCTCTGAGGTTTCCAACCAAACAACCAAATAACGTTACCTGGGATACCGCTACCTCAGAACGCCGGTTGACGGAAAGGCTAGGTACACAGCTCGTCCGAGGGGGGGTGGAGCAACCTTGCGTAGGCTTAAACTTGAAGCGAACACCTAGGAAGCAGCACGGCAGGGTCTTTACAAACAGGAAATCGTTTGAGTTGCTCACCTCTCCCTCATGTTGCGCTGCTGCAGGTCGAGCTGCTGCTCCCGAAGCTCTCTGAGCCTTTCCTCTTCCAGTTCTTTGACCTGCACAAGGTAGAGTGTGTGGACATTTGGTACCCCCCGTAGGTGGAAAATGAGGGCGGGGGGAAGGGGGGGGCACGGAGAGGAAGGAGGTCTGTTATGGCGTGGCCCTGGCTCTGTCAAAGAAGAGAGAGAGAGAGATAGAGAGAGAAATTGGCGTAGGAACGGCGTTGAAAACACAAAATAAAACTGCAGGGGGCACGGCTTCTCGGATCCATTTTTTCTTTTTTTTGGTGTCTCGTTAAGGAAGGCGTGTAGGCATGAATACCCCCGTCATGCTCACACATCGTCAATGGAAATACTGGACATGAAGCAACCAAGAGAGAGAATGGAATTTTTCAAGGGTCACGACATGTACGCTCAGTTGAAAACAACAACAACAACGCCTGTCGCGAACCGATGATCGTCGTCAACAAGAATCGAACCCGCGTGTCGCACCCCGTCAGGGTTTTCTCACCATACCGTACTGGCTCAGGACAAGGATGGGCCTCGACAGCACCAACCGTCGCCTCTGTCCGATTTGGCTGTTTTTGTTGATTGTTGTTGTTGTTGTTGTTGTTGTTGTTGTCTTGCCATTGCATAGTTCCAAACATTCTTACAGAAACCGCCATCAAAGACGTAACGCCAATAAGTCTGTTGAACAAGACGGAACCAAAAACTTGGCCTCTCAGACTCCATACCATAGGTGCTTGCTGTTACGCCTAGGCAGTGATAGTATCATGCGAGTAGGCTTGCGGAGACAGTAGCACGACGACCATATTGGAATAACACGTGAATCCTGAGACTCGGCAAAATGCCCCAAGAGAGACCAGACAGACAGAGGCAGGCAGTCAGACCGAGATAGACCGAGCCAGAAGTGACTGAGGCGGAGGGAGAGAGACGTACACAACAAGGGGTGAAGAATAAAATCACGCAGGGGCTACATGCCGAGTGGCGACCTTCAGCCCTGCGGAGCACACAGCTTGCGAAACGCTCACCCTTTGGCGTTCTTCTCGGTCCGCTTGCTCCATCGCCACTCGCATCTTCTCCTGAAAAAAAAGAAGAAGTCACGTTTGACGGGCGTGTCGGCCCCGATTCAAGGTAAAATGTCTGCGAGCCCTGGGGGGTGGTGGTCATGTGCAGGGACGATCTACTTCCAACATTCCACTTTTTCCATCACACTTGGCTGCCCGGGCAATTGGACACATGGCGCGTGAACAACGAAATGCCCCCCTCCCGACCCTCCACGTATAGATTCATCTTCTGAGGCTACCGCTATTGTAACGGCCGTCGTGATTCCGTCGTCGTCGTTGTTGTTGCAAGCCGTCAGCAGACCAACGTCAGTCAGGCCACTCCCCGTGCTGCCACCCACCCCTGCCGTCGCATGAGACAAGCGCCCGCCCGCCTCCTCTACCGCCTCACGGCCATCGCGGCCACAATTAAACCATTACACACGCACGACGCCCTATCGATCTTCCCCGGAATGCCTATAGATCACGGACCTGCTGCATGAACCAAGCGGCCTCCTCTTCCCTCTCCTGCTCCGCCTTCCGCAACCGCGCCGCACGCATGTCCGCGTTACTCTGGGTGTCCTCGGTCGAGCAAAAAAAAAAGGTAGTTGTCACCGGCCAGAAAAACAAGACTGTACACAGATTAGTGAAGTACTTTTCCGCCGTTAAGGTTTGCTGGGGTCTTCGAGTCTAAAGCACACCAGCGGTGTGAGCTGCTGTTAAACGTCACAACTGGCCGCTGGCCGACTGCTGTGGGCTGGTCCTGCTGCCTGCTTTGATTTTCATCTTGCGTCACTCCTTGACGATGTCGCTGTACTCTCATGTGCCCGCTCCAGAGGGGTTCCCGTGTAGGTCTATTGAAACTGTTGCCAGCCGTTCCCGTGAGTGTGCGTGTATGTTGGCCTGTCCTCCTCCGGTGACCATACACATATCGCAGCCGTATAGGTCATGCTTTGGTGTTTGCGAAGGCATGTTTGGTGCTACTACACGATCTGCCGTGTCTTCTGCTCCCATCATATCCAGCGCTCTCTGGTGTGGGCATGTAAATAGTTGAAAGGGCGCTCTCCTGTGTGGGTGGTTGACCGCACATGTAGCGGGGAAAATTTTCCACTTCTCGACGTTTCTATGCTTGCTTGTGCGTGAGCGTGTACGCTACCGGTTTCTTTGCCGCACATCCTGCTGCTGTAGCCCACAGTTTTCGCTCTCTCTCTCCCCTCTCTCCCGTCGCCCTTCATCGTGTGTGTGCCGTGTTGCTCATGGTGTGTGGGGGCGTGTAGTGCACCGCTGTCGCAACTGTCCCTGGCCATGCACAACTATGTAGGAGTATGGCACTCCTGCGAAGGTTTTTGTGATTCGGGATGCCACCCAACGAAAATAGAGCCTGCATCGGCGGCTTTGGGCGGCCGGCATGCGCCACGGGGCGCCTGGCGAGCCCAACCGATGCGTGGAAAGTACAGACAGTTTTCCTGCGTGCCCTCGATAAAAAGAACACGCGCGCGAACACCGGCTGGCGCCGGAGAAACAACCAGGCCGATGTGACACAAACATTGAATTACTTCATTTTACGCACGGGATGACGCACACAAAATTGTAGTTGTGGAATCGAGGAAGGCTTGGAACAAAAGCACAATTGAATCTGCCCGATCAGTGATGAGGGTTGGTAACGTTGCGGAAGAGACCATTCACCTGTTGGAGCTCAGCCTTCTGCTTCCGAGACAGCCCCTTGAAAAGGTTGTTGGTGGAGCTGCCCTCGCCCTCATCTTCCCTCAGGAGCTCGTTCCTACGAGGCGCGGCAAAACACCACGTCACAGCAGCAACATCAGATCACAACGGACGATGTCGCGCAAACGTCAGACCATGCCACGTCACGTCAGACCATGCGTCACCTCAGACAGACAACCTCCTGTGGCATCACATCACACCCGGTAGTTTTACGGCCTGTTCGAGACTCTTCCCATCTACGCGCTTTTTCGCCCTCCGATTGGTCGAGCGTTTGGTTCGGGCGGCCGATTCCCTTCCAGCGCCTTCTCCCTATTCCGCATTCTAACAACGCGGCGCAGCCGCGTTCTCGCCCAGTACGCGGTCGCTAGGCCGTGCGTTGGCCGTGGGTTAGGGTTGGGTTTGTTTGGCGACCGTAAAAAGACCTCCATCACACCACACCAGGTCTTGTCAGCGCACTCGAGATCAAGCCATACGATGCCTCCTTACACCCCATTGGACAACAGCGCATCGAACTACAGCAGCTGCGCCACAGCACACCAACGGACATGGATAGAGCTGAACCCTACCCTGCCTCAAGAACTCGTGGTGCCGCAGACACGGCTTGTGCGCGCTCGAACAAGCATGAATGAAGCATGGACGAGCCGATATTCGGCATACACACAACCTCAAACAAGCCTCGAACGAGTACACTGGACCAGAAAAATGTTCTCGTAAAATGCAACGCTCATGGATCAAAGCCTGGGTGGTGCTGTTGTGGCAGGAGTAGCATTAACCCTGACCGAAAACTAAATCCTCGCCCTGCTCGCGACCCAATACTGCCACCTGTAGCGAAGTTCGTCGGCGTTGGCTTGGTCCTCAAGGTCCTTCTGCCTGGCCATCTCCTCTGCCCTCTCCAACGCTCGGCGTCGGTTTTCGTCCTTGATCTGGAGGATGAGGGTCTTCCTCGCAGCCTCCTCCTCTTCGCTCAGCTCTCCCTGTCTCTGGCTGACCTGACACGGGCGCAATCACGATCGCACGAGGTGTGAGACGACGGTGTGGCGTGATTTATGGCAAGTATTGCATCCTACATGCCACCATACAAACTTTACCAAAGCCACGGCCACAGGTACTTGTCTATTCCTCTGAATCTTCGGCTCTTCCTCTCTCTGTACCTATTCGTGGTCGGCCTACCAGGGCCAAAGTCGATGATCAAGGGAGATGCGGAAAACATCAGTGGACTTGGACAACAACGACGTCCCAACACCAAACACTGCGGCTCCACAGCCTGCAGCGCTACCGCCCGTGCCGTCGTAGCTATACAGACCGGCTTCTTCGCAACAAAAACCAAAGTATCTCTGTACCGGATGCACTGCTGTTTTGGGGCATGGCCGTTGTTGAATACTAACGCGGCATGTTGCAATGAATGGATTTAAAAGCCGCAGGAGGAGCAGTGCCTAAGAGTAGACCCGACAATGCCAAAGCCTCCGCTCGCCAAAACGCCTAAGTATGGCCTACGGCAAGGAGTTCTGGCCTACCACTCAAACCACTGCCACAGCAATGGCACGATCTTTTTGTTCCCCTCCATCTCCTTCCCCCGCCCTCGCGACCGTCTGCTTGTTCCCTTACCCTCTCTAGGTAGGCCCAGTAGTCGGCCATTTCCTGGTCCGCGAGCTTCTCCCTCTCCAGCCGCTCGTTCGCCAGCTGCGTTGACCACGCGCGCATCTTTACGGCGGCGGCGGTCGTAGCACGAGCGCAAGAAGGAAAAAAAAATGAAACAATGTCGATTGACCGTGAGAAGCTAAACGAAGGGCTAACGGATGCCCACACTGCGCTCCCACCTTCATGGCAACGGCTTCACGTGACCACGCACCTTCAGGAGGAACACACACACACACACAACAAATCATTTGGCCTTTGCAGTATGCTGCTGAGAGAGACAAGCCACGCGGGCTATTAGCACATCCGGCACAAGGAGCACAGGACCAAGAGCAAGCTTCCTTGCCATCGTTCCGGCCTCAACAGGTACACGAAGAATGTCTATGTCAGAGTTTCACGAGAGCTGCGATAATGATTTCCCGGCGCCAAGTACGACGTAGACACCAGCGCGACCACAAGCGTGCTGCCGACCAGTCGTTTTGTGTCCAGTCGTTTTGTGGCAGGGTGCTTGCCGGCGTACAGGAGGAAGAAGGGAAGTCTATGGCGATTGCGATGGGGAGAACAGGCGGGAACAGCGGGAGGTAAAGGCCGCCAACTCGAGCACCACAGACCACGCCAAACACTACTTACTGTACATGTTGGTGCCCGTACCCAACAACTACAGAAAATCAGTTGCCGGCTCTCTCCAGACAACACGCACGCCGTCCAGCTCGTTCCACACATTCTACCGAGAAGCCAGAACCCTAGAGACATCGCCTTCTACACGGGACTGTTAGTTTGGCACCCGGCATCGCTACTTCGCTTGTTGCGTGGTAGGCTCATCTCACCGTCAGTCAAACCACGACCCCGTTGTAGCTACTCAATGCCCGACAGAACGCCGTCATTTTCAAGGCATGGTCCATCGCAAAAAAAAAAAGAACAAAAAAATGTCTGCGTACCTGTGCCTGCTGCTGAGCGGTCCGGCTGAGCCTGTCGGGGTCCTCTCCGCCCATGGTCTGCACCGCGGACAGCCCGCACTTGTCGAAGTCTACCCCCGCGTGAATCATGTCCTTCTCCCTCTGCTCCTTGTCGTACTTGAACTTGGTTGCGACGGACACGCGAGGACAGAATAAGCAGCAGCAGCACCACCACCACCACCACCAATAACAACAGCAGCAGCAGCAGCAACAACAACAGCAACAAAGGTGGCGCAAATGAACACGGTTGCGCACAGAGGACGCCGCACTCTATAGCTACCGTGGCTCGACGGGGGCTGGGCAGGAAGAAGCTTTGTAACGCTTACGATAAAACTAGTTGAGTCCTTTCTAGGGTGTGCCTTCTGCTTGCCACTTATATATAGTGCTCGTCGTGCAGTCGTACTGCCTGTCTGTCTACAGCAGGATCATCCAGTTTAACCTCGCCGCTCAAAGCCAACAGGCAACCTCTCGCTTCGGACAGAGGGCGGCCTTTAACTGGGATGGACGGCTGCACTCTCTGCGCAGAGAATGGGTGATGTTAAGAATTACGATGACCACTGGACTACTAGTCAGCGACAGTTGAGAAAGAGAGTAGCACCTTCATTTGTTCGAGCCATTCCAGCCTCATCCTTTCCAGCTCTTGGTCCCTGAGCCGCCTCTCCTCGGCCTCTTGCGCCGCCACGTGCTTGTACACGTTCTCGTTGCGGTCGAACTCCTCCTTCGAGGCCATCTACAATGCAGTTACGGAAGCAACACAAAACACAAAATACAAAATACACACGGCACATCAAAGCGGCAGTCACGTCAAAACTCGTAGACAAGCCGGTCCCGTCTCCCCCCCCCCCCCCCCCCTTGTCCCTCGCATTTTTGAAGAACACCGCCCCCAAGATGCTGTTCGGCACGACTCGCTCACCCGTTCCCGCTCCTTCCTGTCGCGTTGTTCTCTCATCTGCTGGTCTAGAGCGTCGGTGTCGAGCCCGATGGTGCGCAACCGAGCATCCAGGTAACGAGCGGTGCGGGCAACATTTCGGGCCCGCTTGTGTTCGATGCGTTGCATCTCCTTCTCTAAGGACAGCGTCGGCGCCTGTCGTGTGTGGCGCGGTGTTCGGCAGCAGGAGGAGTTTTGACGGGAGATCCGGCGGTGCTTTGAAAAGCCCTTGCGTGTGTGCTGCCCCCTTGGAGCGTCCGTGCCAAGCAAAGCAACCACACTGAGATCGAAGAAATCGGTGGGCATACCAACTGGGACTATCGTGTCTAGTGTATGTAGAGGCCCACAGGCAGTTGCAATGTTGTGGGCCAACCCAGACTTCAGTCTAACTACAGCAGTCTATTTGCAGCAGTGGTACTGTTGTACTGCTGTAGAAGCCCCTCGTGAAAGGCGACGAGTGAGAGACAATACCGCCGTTGTACATATTGCTGTAGGCCGTTATAAAACATCTGTTTACACAGACATAATCTCGTGCTCACCCCGATGGCAGCGATCATCCTGACCACTGAACCTGGGCCGGCGTGCAGGAATTGCTTGCTTGGTGCTGCGCCGAGCGCGGAGTGTCTGTCTCTCCTGCTCTCCTCCCAACGACGGTCTGCGCGTGACGGTTTCGTGGGTCCGAACCGAAAATTTCGGTGTACAAATCCCGGGGACATGAACATTTTGTCCCCCCGTTCCGCTCCCTGGAATGTCGTTCCTCTCTCCGCTCATTTGTCCCGCAGCAGGCTGGCAGCGGCCGCGGGACCTCCGCCAGATCTCTGCCAGGCCTCTCCCAGCTGTGGATGAACTCGAGATTCTTCTCAAGGTACGAGCTGACTTGGTATGGAGCTGTCGTGAAGGCATCGTTAGACTCGATATTTCGAGTTCCGAGGTCCCCGAACACGCCCAAGTCAGGCCAGTCGGTCGTGCAGTGAGCATCAACACACCGTTTGGCGAAGCGTTGGCAGCAGCTCGCCGACCAGCTTCTGCTGCCGGGGGTTTTGGTATGCATTTGCGTCGCAATGCCTATGTTATTTGTGTCGCGGCCAAAGGTTCTGGTTATGCAGCAGTCAGCAGCAGCGGATGTAGCAGTACGAGGAAGCACGCCAGCGATACGCGTGTATCACCACAGCAGTAGACTATTCATGTAACCGTCCCCTGTCCAGACGAAAGCCGGCCATCTTCCTGCAACTTCGCAACCCTTCCAATACACCATGGTCCTGCTGACCGTCTTTCTACGCCGTCTGATTCGCTTCCATCCACCTGATTGCCTCCTCACTGCAATAAATAGTGTTGCTACTCACGAACCTCGATGCCGCAGTACTGCTGTACAGTGTACATGTACTGCCGCATTGTGGTGGAACAAGGTAAGCACCGACGGACACGGCCGACGTGCCAACAAACGCCGTTGCCGCACGCCCCCCCCCAATCACAAAGGTGCGGGATCACCCTCGCGGTGTTGCTGGGAAGCCAACGCCACCTCTCCTACAACCTCGGCCCCGCAAACCTATTGATGGTGTGCAGCTTCGTCAGCCCCTTCGCCAGAACATCGACAAGCCCCTCGGTGGGCGGCGTGTTCACCGCCACCGTGGCCCGAGTGGCCTTCGCGCTGCCAACCGCCTGCGCCTCTTCGTCTTACCAGCTGCAGCAGCAGCAGCAGCAGCAGCAGCAGCAGCAGCAGCAGCAGCAGCAGCAGCAGCACTGCCCCTCCTCCCGCCGACAGCACCACCAACCACGCCGACGACAACGGAAACGGCTTCCCATGGCAAACATGTCGAGCTCAGGGACGTCCGCCGCCGCCGACGCGGCCGCCGCAGCTGCTGCCGCTCCCGGAGCGGCGGCGGGGGCGGCGGCGTTGGCCGAGGGCGGTAGCTCAACTCCGCCCACCGACCCTCCTTACTCTGCTGCCGCGCGAAGCCCGGAAGCGGCGGGCAGAAGAAAAGCTAGGTCAGGGCTGGAGGTCGACGGGGCGCACATGCGGAGGGCGCTGGAGCTGGCGGCGAAGGGTCTGGGCCACACGCGGCCGAACCCCGCGGTGGGGTGCGTTATCCTAGACAAGGAGGGGAGCGTGGTCGGGGAAGGATTTCACCCCAGGGCCGGAGAGCCCCACGCGGAGGTGAGACGGCCGCAAGGCCATTTAGAACCCTTAGGAGTCGCGTCCTCACCCATAGAGGCAAGTAGGCTGCCGCGCGTTCCTTCCAACACTTGTTTGCACAATCGGCTCAGGCTCGGGTTTAAGGTGCCCGCTCAGCAGACCTGCGGCAACAGAATGCTGCTAGGAAACGTATGATACTCCATAAAAACGTTGAGAGCGTGGCAATCCACATAAAAGTGTCCACAGCCAGTTTAGGAGACAGAAAATCGGCACGTGATGGGCTTTGATTGCCGTTGCCTTTTCTCCTTGGGACATTTTTTTTTATTGTTGGGGTTCAGTTGACGGCATTGGCGTTGCGGCTGTGCTGTACATAGGCGTGTTGTGCTCGGTTCAGGTTCTGGCCCTTCAAGCGGGGGTTGCGCACTGGCGACGCCCGCCGTTATTGACAAGTACAGTTGTTGCTGCTGCTGTTCGGTCGGTGATAACGGTGTCTTTGTTTCTGCCGTTGTTGTTCGCACGGCGTTGTTGTCGCAAGTGCCGTCAGCGTTGTCTTCAGCCCCCCTGACCGCACTCCGCCCACCCCTAGCACTGCAATCTACTACGGCGTAATGATAATCTTTCCTCGAAATAAACCGCCCTCTGCTGTTAGCACCCAAGTGCCTGACGACTTGGTGTTGGTACCGTCGCTCCTGCTGCTGTACCTCAACGCGAAGGTGTGGGCTATCCGTCAGGCCGGCGAGCGAGCACGGGGAGGCACGGCGTACGTATCGCTGGAACCGTGCAACCACTTCGGCCGCACGCCTCCCTGCACGACGGCACTCCTCGAGTGCGGGGTAGCAAGGTGCAAATCTCCGGGGGGGGGGGCTGTGGCGGGTACTGGCATTTTTGCCGCGATTATTTAGAAAATATGCGTAAGTAACACAAAAAGACTGCCCGTTCGACATCTAACCGCAGGCGTTTTTTGTGTGCTGCATCGTCTCTTCCTTTCCCTCTTGTCACTGGGTCAGGTATGTTGTCCTTGCTCATGAATGATGCTGACATTCGCGCTTTGTTTTGTGATAGATCTGCAAGTCCTATTATTTGAAAGCCTCTGTTTTAAATTGATCTAGTTCCCGTTTGCACACGATGGGGGGGCCCTCTAGGCGGCAGAGGGTGTGCGGTGTTGCTTGTTGAGGTTCGCGATTGTGCTTCAACGCGGAGGTCTTGCGTGGATTTCCTCCTTGTTGCGGGTTGTTTCTCTCTTGGAACCTTGCCCACGCAGATGTGACCGCCTCACAACGGGCCCAAACTCAAGGTGTCGTTGTATACCACAGAACCAAGGCTAGTAGACATTGAACGCTGCCTCTCGTCTTCCCTTTGCCTCCTCCATGTCCTTGCTTAATGCTGCCTACACCCACGCCTGATAGAGGTAAAACCCAGTCCGCCAGCTGGCGATTTAATCCACGTGTGATGCAACATCATCGCGGCACCTTGTGCATGACCGTAAATCTACTTCCCCTGACCCCCGAGCGCTCCCTCGTCCCCCCCCCCTCCCCTCCCCCGTCCTTTGGCTGCTTCTTGTCTCCAATCCGTCTAGAGTTGTGGCGGGTATGGTGGACCCAGACCCCCGCACAGCCGGGAGCGGGCTGCGACGCTTGGCGGATGCGGGCATCGACGTTTCGGTCGGGGTGGAGGGAGCCGCTTGCCATGCCCTCAACTCGGCCTTCGTGCACCGCGTATCGCACAAGGTGAGCCATCGCATCATGCTGTTCGAAACGGTGTATTTTGTGTCTACATCTATCTCATATCAACGCCATCCCCAGGACGAAGCAAAACCTGGGGCATGATTTTGGTTTCTGTCCGGAAGACAAGGGGTTCGTAGTTTGCAATGCCGTCGAACCGCAAGGGCTGTCGATGTACAGATACCGACGCCTCGTTCGAGTCAACACACGCCGAAGCCCTGCGGCTTTGATTTTTTCATCGTCTTGTTTTTTCCGGCGCCATTTGGGTGCTGCGCCCTTGTTTACAGAGGTAGCCGGTACGAGAGTAGCGCTTGCCTTGTTTACCGCCTAGCAGTGGCGCCTTTAGCGACTCCTTGACACAGCAGGACTGGAGGTATTGATAGCCGAGACGACAATCCAGTAAGTACACTATCGCTTGGCACTCTGCAGGTCGTTTGGCTATGCATACTGCAGGGTTCTTCTGCCCATTTCTCGCCGATATGGACGTCGGTCAGCCTTGCTTTGTGGAGTGAAGTGCCCTTGCAAGAGAAGGAAAGAAGCAAGGAACGAGAGTGTGTGTGTGCGTGCGTGTGTGTGTGTGAGAGAGAGAGAAAGAGAGAGCATGGAAGCATGTTGAAACCGTAAGCGCCGAGCTCTGCTTTCTTACCGTGTTATGGCGGCAGGAGTTGTGGTCTTTGTCCAACTCTTGAGCTGTTTGTTCGGGTACGGAGGCGTTTTTGACCGGCGACACTGCTAAGATGGAGGGATGGGTCGTGCTGCATTATGCACGGGCGTGGTATTTGTCCGGGGGCGAGGCTGCCCCTGCTTGAGGCATAGACCAGCGTGGAGACACGTTCCTTCAAACCCGCATCAGTTGGTTTGCTCCGTAAACCGGAGCACTTGCAGGAACAGAGCACTCATCTCTAGAAATGTGCACCCGGTTGGCTTGTGACCAAGGATGACGTCTGCGTCCGTTGGACCAGTACGGACATTATGAGGTACTGAGCGGAGACCGGAACAGTGGTTTACTGTGAAAGACACCACCACCAACAACAACTGGGGGTGATATCCTGGTGTGTAGTATAGTATGTACGGTGACGTTTATGTGAATTTTGGGCTCGTGTTGAGCTGTGACCACAATATCACCGGGCGTGGTATCTGTCTGTGGTGGGGTGGTACATTTAGAATGCGGGTTAGGGTTGTCTGGTTTGGACCAACACGGCCTTGAGCGTTTCTGCTAACGCCATCAACCGAAACTATTCATGTTGGAGCGGTGGAACCCCAGAAAAGTCCTCCAAGACGCGGTTTTTTTACCCAAACGAAAATAAAACTAACCGGGATACGATCCACCCCGGTCAAAAAGGGATGAAAGAAGAAAGAAGGACATAAAAAGGAAAATAGACAGGTCCCAACGCTCAATCGGAACAACGAAAAAGGCTACTACTAGAATAACGACGCCTTTCATGGTATCAGTAATGGTAACATTTCTCACGGCTTTCTGGTGGTGTCACCGGGGGGGTGTTTCCTTATGTCGAATACGGAAAAATTGAGTACGTTTTTTTGCGGGAATCGTGGTACATATTGGTGCTTGTGATGGGGTTGATCCACGCCACACGTCATGTTGCTTATGCTCTTGTTGGCCGTCCCACAGTCCTGCTACGGCGTACTGCATTGCTGCTTGGACGGGGCGTGCTCAAGGTCGATCCCACAATCGGGCTCGCGGGCAGGGGTGGGAGGCCTCCAGGACACGGCAAGAGAGAATGATCTCGCGGTACCCCCGGGTGGCAGGAACTTCGAGGAGTACGACGCCATTGTGGTGAGAACTTCTCTAGAACTGGTCGAAGTACGAGATTCTTCTCGGACATGCTTTGGCTCCTCGCGCCCCGGCTCTGGGTCGCCTGCAGTTGGCGGCGTGCGCGAAGGGTTTCTCTTTCAGTTTCGTGCAATACTACGTCGGACAGATGCCACACGGCGCGACTCGCTCTACGGTGCATTTCGATCCGTGGGGTCGTTCGTTTATCGTTGATTTCGTCAGCGGTACGGCAACGACAGCGCATTCGACATTTGTCGCCCCCGGCCCCGCCCTGCAAGTACCACGCCAGCATCCAGCGGTTTTCTGTTTCGCGTCCACCCCTCCGCACCTACGCCACTCCACTACACAAGTGCTCTTGGTTGTCTGCTGCTGCCGCCGCTGCTTGCGCCCTTTGTTCTGACGCCCGCCTCGATTCTCGATTTTCTCGTGGCGCGGGTGTCATGACGGTGAAGGTGGAGGGTCGGTCTGGAGTTGCCAAACTAGAGGCCTGCAATTCAGCGCTGCCTCCAACGGCTCTGCGGGTGGTGATCGTTGGTGCTGGTTCGGACGAGGGTTTGGAAATTGAGCTGGCAGGGGTGCTGGAGAGCCGGCTGCTGGAAGAGTCGCCGGAGCGCACCGTCGTCTTCATGCCGGCCACCGCAGGCCAGGACGTACGTCTTTCAGACCACGAACTGTTTGCACAGTCGTCCCGCGTTCTGGAGGCCATTGGTTCAGAAGCGTGGCACCCGGGCAGAGTGCAAAAATCAATGTAGTGGGGTGTTACTCTTTAACGGCATTTCGTCGGCTTTTAAGGACGAAAGTATGGAAGAAAACACCGTGAGTGTTGCCGGACGAGTGTACCAGCATGGTTGTTGCGCCAAGCCTGAACCTCACATTCACGTGTGTATCAATTAGGTGGGATCTATGGAGCTACTTCCCATGTAGCAGCGATGTTGTGATCAGCCCGCCCAAAGGATCTAGATGACTCGGGCTTTATGGAGGATGACGCTAGTCGCGGTCACAATAGGAGGGGTCCGCTGGCGATGGACAGTTCAATACGTATGCGAACCATGTATCGCAGCGCAAAACATGTCAGAGATTGAAAGCATGCTAATTTATTCCTCTCAGGCGTCAGCCCTTTAGTGGAAGCATGATAATGTTCCAAGCTTTCGAAACAGCAGTCTCCCAACCATGAACCCCGTTGTATTTTGTATTTTGGCTGGTTTCCCGGAGGCCCGTCCGTTTCGTATGTTACCTGTGTCATTTTAAGCTCACGGAAAATCGCCCGGCTCGACTCCCTCTGCTTGTTACGGCGTCTTCCCTTCCGTTTCCCGCGTTGTCCGCGCGTTTAAGGGGGATGGCTCTCTGACTGGCTCGGTGAGAGCATCTTTGATGTCGCGAGGGATCGCCGTGGTAGACTTTCGAACACCCGACACTCCGACACCTCCAGCCTCGTCTCTGGACGAGGAGAGACCAGAGACGGCGACCGCGGCGGCAACTATGGCGGCGGCGGCGGGGGCCGTGTCTCGGGAGCTATTCAGAAGAGGCATGCTGTCGGCCGCGTGGGAGGTCGGCCCGGCGATGGCGGCAGTCGTTTTGCGGGCGGGGCACGTTCAGAGGGCGTTGATCCGCAGAAGGCGAATACCTGGGGGTGGCGGGGCGGACGCAGAGGGTACTTTTGCTAATGCTCCTGCGGCGGAGGCGGCAGTGGCGGCGGCGAGAGTCGGTGCCCATGTTGGCCCGAACGAGTTGGTGTCTGGTAGTGGCAAGGGGGTGGCTGGGGGTAGTGTCAAGGAGGAGGAGGAAGAGGAGGAGGAGGAAGAGGAGGAAGTCTTGAGAGTCATGAGGCGACTTTCTGGTAGAGAGGGGGTGCGAGTGAGGCGGGGAGGGGGAATATTTCCGTGGGGGCCCGACGCGGAGTCCTGCATCGAGGTGCTGCTCCCTACCACTCCGTTGAAACCCCCAGCATCGGCGTAGCGTTAGCAGCTTGGAATGTTATTATGCAAGATCTTCCTCAGGACTGGCAGGTACCTGCGGTTCATACATTGTGTGTGTGTTTTCGTCCTATTTATTATGGCGACAGTTCCCCCCATTTTTCATGGTGAGGCGTGTACTACACTTTTAAGTGTAGTTTTTTTCGTACAACTAAAACCTTCCAGGGTCACACAGGAGGGGGTAAACACCAGGGCTTTTTTCTTATTTTTATTTATTTGCTTGCCCCACCTTCCTCCTGCGGTGCGTGCTGCATTTTATTTTTGTCGCGAGAAGGGTCCAGCCGTCTCTTCCCCTCGTCAACGGTGCTAACGTCGAAGTTGTGGTACTCACGAGAGCTTTTCAGCTATATTTCGCTTTCACCCTCACACGTTGTAAATAGTTCACCCCATGGGGATTCAAACTCACGACCTCTGCGACTTGCGGTTTACGAGGATACCACTAGACCACCGGCACATTGTAGGACGGGGGAACGAAGTTACTCTATGACGCAACACGAAGAAAATAATTTCTCCGATTGACGCGCGCCCGCGCGTTGTAGTCTTTCGAGGAGAGTATTGCAACAGGGCGGTGAGATGAACGTTCTACTATCCAAACAGAAGTGGACCGCGACAGCAGAAGCGGGCACCCACGTGGACGTGAAGACAACATACTGCTGTCCAGGACATATGGTACAACTTACAGGATCGCGCGCATCACGTCACAGTCTACCTACAAAATAACCCCCGGAAACAATGTGGTACGAAGAGCGTGGATACTCTGTACAGGAGTTCGTATGCCAGGCCGACACCGCACAGTCTGCCTGTGTCGCCGTCAGTTCGATCGTGTACTTGACTCCCGGTATAGGTAAGACAGTGTTCGTTCATCCGCTGAAAGCCCTTGCGTTGTCAGCCAGATAACAAACCCCCCTCCCCTTTTGGTTCCTCGAAAAAAAAGTGTAGTCTAATGCTTTTCTTGACGTTTCCTCGGATGCAATCTTCTGCAAGTCTGTCTCCACCATGCGACGCGCAGCCGAATGATAAAAGTTTCGACAGGATGGCTTTCAAGACTTGGTAGTGCTGCTGACCAAATTCGTTTCGACCGCATGTAGACAGTGGTTGATGTTCCGCGTCAGGGTTGCCACCTTCATCGGATTTCGTGACGGTACTGACTGGCGAATGACTGGCGAATATTAGTCTACATTTAATATAAAAAAAACAATAGAGGAGACAGACACGCTTGACTGCCTTAACTTCTCTCTGTGTTATTCAGTCGGCGTCATGTCCCTCTCTGAGCATTGGCATTTGGCAGCAGTAGCGACAGCGGGGACGACTGGCGCGAAGATGAAGCGGGGATGTTCACATTGTTGTACGCACATCTGCAAAAAATACGTGCATATCTACATACGCCGTCTGCTTTGGTGTAATCTATCTATGTGCTGTACGAAGGAATAAGAAGTGCGCTGTTTTCATTGACACACAGAATAAGTGCATTGACGACACACACGGCAGTGACGACCGCTCTACAGCAAGAGTAGCAATAAGGGTTGCCAACCTAGCGTGCGGGGATGTGGGGATGTGGGGATCCTTGAACACGTACGTAGTGCTGTAAACGTCATCGGACAAATTTCATACAGTCCCGTGGGCAGGAGGAACCTTGAACTTACAGTTCCGTGCACGAGGAAGAAACTTCAGTGAACGTTCGTCGTGGGATGTGCTTAATGTCCCGACATACATCGGAAGCAGGAGGTGCCATCCTCCTTCTTGACGGAGGAAAACGTGCGAAGCAAAGTTTCTGAAAATATTATTTTCCTCGCCATCTGGTTCATTAGGCAATGAAGAACGGCGTATCGTCGGACAAACGCATTCATCCGAGGGGATATCGGACAATTGTAAGGGACCTCTTGCCGGCTCCCGGCTGCCCGCGGCAGTCGCGTAGGACCCCACCCACCAGGTCATAACTGCTCCAACACCACCTCCCTCCTCGCTTCATCACGGTCATCGAAGCGAATGTCGACGGCGACACCCCGCGTTCTACATCCTCAACAAGATCGGCGTTTTTTTACATTGCTAAAACGGCTTCCACATCCGGGACAACCTGAAGACACACGGGTGCTTCTTCCGCCCCGCAGGCGCCCCTCTGACGATCCCCGTTAAGTCTTGGGTCGGAGTCGCAGCCGACGACGACGCAGCGCGCACCTTGGCGAAGAAGCTCAGGAACGACGTTAAGCGTCTCGGCGCGCGGAGTTTCTGCAACAAGGTACGGTATGTTTGTCGTCTATTGGTCTAGACTATGTTGCATTTCTTGTCGTCGTTCTCCCTGCTTGCAAATTTTTTTGGTTCGACATATCCAGATAGGTGACCTGTTGTGCCATGCGTTTTTATGGGCCCCCAGAACAGCAAGTTCGATGTTGACTAATTTAATTTTGAAAACATACGCAAGAGCACCAGAAACTGTACAACAGACACGGAAGGCATCGCAAAAACAGAAATCGTTGAATCCCGCACAGGGCGACAGTGGAGGCTGCTAAAAACATACATTTCACGCGTCTACCTCCGCGCGCCCCCTTTGAAATCAAGATAAAAATTCGTCCCATTCTAATTTCAAGTCAAAAGAGCCAAAACGGCAGGCGTTCAAATAAGGTCTGTGTTGACATGTACCTGGTAATTAGTACTGTTATCAGTAGAGGATACCATGAAGAGGCGTCGTGCGTGCTGGCACGTTCAGGTTTGCTACTGGAGCTGAAATATCGAAGGTTGCAGCAGTCTCTGAAAACAGTCCGAAATCTGCGCCGGAACCAAGCGGCATCCAACATTTGTCACAACCGTGCTCACCGCCACGGACCCCAATCTCCTGAACTGTGCGTTTACAGCAGTAGCTCATGCCAAGAGCTACTGCGAGGGGTTTACGGTCCGTGGCGGTGCGCACGGCTGTGACAAGTGTTGGATGCCGCTTGGTTCCGGCGCAGATTTCGGACGGTTTTCAGAGGTTGCTGCGACCTTCGACATTTCAGCTCCAGTAGCAAACCTGAACGTGCCAGCACGCACGACGCCTCTTCATGGTGTCCTCTACTGATAACAGTACCTCCTTGCGGGAAGGTTGTTTTCTTATGTTGGATTAAAGTATAAGAAAAGAGCCAGCGTCAAAACCCCTGTTCTGGGGGCCCTAATGTGTGGCCTATTGTACACTCGGAGTCAACCCGAACCACCCGACCGATTGCGCACGTGTGTCTACTTTCATCCTCTCGCGTGTCCTACACTCTCTCCACATGCCTTTCAGTGGTCTCGTCCATCTCTATTCCTATGCATCTCTCCATCGCTGTCATCGCTTATTCAATCTATTCCTTTTTGTCTACACCTCGCTTCTCTAATATTTTCTACGGTGTGCAGATTTCAGTACTCGCTGTCACCGACGACGACCTCAACAACCGGAAGACCGCTGGCCTCGTCGACACGCCGAAGCAGACGAAGAACTGTATCGAGGTGCTGTCCGACTCCGACTCCGACGACTCCGATTCGGCGGATGGAGACTACGACGAGGACGAGCCCATCGAGTACGTTGGCGACCGCGAAGAAGGTACAAACTCTGTATTTCGTTCGTTGCCTCCTTTTGTACAAGAATATAATCATGTTATATATATACTTCCAGGATGGTCGTCGTGACGTGACACATTTCTTGTTATTAGTATGGAAAAAAAAAAAAAAATGGCTCGATTTTTGAATTTCTACAGCAGTATGGACCAGACGCCGACTTTACATGGAAGGAAGTCGTACGAGTGTCGACTTAGTTGTGCTGTCACAGCATCTTCCACGCACTTCTGCCAGTGCTGGTTTGTTGATTGGAGTCTTGTTCGAGATACAGCAGTGGGATTCTCGTGTTGTGGAGGCAAAAGTGAACCAGAGCAAAAAATTTCATGCATAGTCTACTGTAGCTCGATTACTGCTGCTGTGTTTTTGCTACAGCAGTATGGACTAGACGCCGAACGACGTCCGCGTGCTACAAGTACCGCAACGACCTAACGGGATGGGATACTTCTTGCCACGGCGAACCATAGTACAATGCGATGCAAACATCCGTTCGTGTATCGCGCGGCTGCCACATGTGTCGACGACAGGTACACGTACAGCTCTCGCCATGTTGTCGTTACGGCGCAGGAGGACGCGTCGGAGATGTTCCACATGGTGCTACAACGACAGCAGTACTACTGTACATAGATGTCGTAGGAGAGTGGAGTTGTGATGTCACGGCATCTCCCACGCACTCTCCTACCGGTGCTTGTGTCGATTGGAGTCTTGTAGGCCGAAATACAAGAGTGGGTTGGACTCCCGGGTTGTGGAAGCAAACCTGCAACAACAGAGAAGGCGGTGTTCTATTTACTATAATAGAGTAATTCCGCTCAACTTTTTTTTTTTTCGCGGCATGTGGTCGCATATATATTTCTTTGCCACTGCCGAAAAAGACCGCTGGATCTTTACGCAGTCCACCTTTTGCATTTATCATTTTACACTGAACGACACAGGACGGGTCGACCTTCATCGTTGTTGTTGTTGCTGTTGTCTCCACATTAAAAACCGTTCCGACGTCCTCCTCGATACTTGTGGACTACCTGTTGGAAATTGTGGGAATCCCTTCATTCTGAGAGAGAGAGCCATAGGTCGCCATCCGGCCTTTTCTTTTTTTGTATGCACTCTTCTTCTTGTGAAGTCTTGACGTTGCGCTTGCCATCGTCGCCGCGTAAGTGTTTGTGTCTTCAAACCTTCTCAGCCGGCCTTCAAACTTCTTGTTGATAAGTCTCCGTGTGGTAACTTCTCCGCGCATGAGTCATATGCAGCTATGACCTGCGCTTTGACTTTCACGATGGGTATTTAACCTCCCCGTCTTGCGTTGGTGAGTACCTGCGATATACAGAAGGATCGCTCCACGACGCAAACGTCGACGTCTCCGGTTTTTTTTTGTTCCCTTCGCACTCCATCCTTGCCGCGGTTTTCACACCGACTTCGAACGTGGGATGCAATTTCCTCTCTTCGTACCTTCCTCGTCGGCCTTCTCCGTCGTTGTGTACATAATGTACAATACCTCCATTTTTCGGCTTTTCGATTCCGATAGACAAGACTACGGACTGACATGTTCCTTTCATCCCCGACAGGACCGCGCGCTCGTCGAGTGCCGAAATTCTTCATCACTTCCTTGCCTCTCCCAACACCGTCCCTTCTTCCCGCCCTTACAAATCCTCTCCCCTTCTTCTTCTTCTTCCCTTCCTCCCGGACACTCACCACCATCCGTTCTGGATGTTGGCCCACAGCCCCATTGGGGGGCGGGGGGCCAATCCTTAACCCTAGTAATTTCACATTTTCGCACGGCTGTGTCCCCCCTGTAGTTGCACGTTAGTTTTGTTCCTTCTTGCGTGGGTGAGTACATGTACGTCGCCCGTCGCTTGCCACTATTCCTTGTTTCGTGCGATGGCATCGTAGACACGGACCTGTCTTCTTGTTTGTTTTTTCTACATTCGCTTACGTCATTGTTCAGAGACAGTTAGTGTTTCATAGTTTTTCGCGATGCCCACCCGACATTGTCCTATTAAAATCTGCAAGCTTGCTCCCGACAGTACTTCTTGTATACATGCACGTACTGACATACACACGCACGCATGCTCCCGTAACTGCTTATAACTGGACGGGGTATATGACGTAAGAACTAGGGGATGTGCTTCGCTCCCACAACCGCAAAGACACGCTCCTTAACTACTTATATACGTCAACTCCAGGCAAGAAGGGTAAGCGAAGGACGAAACCGGAGGAGACGGAGTTGCTCCCACACTACTTACAAGCAATACGCCGAACGGACAAACGACGACAGTACTTACGAGGGTCCCGACATTACTTACAACCCACGACCCAAAAACTAGGTCCGCACTACTTACAAAGGTCCCGATATTACTTCGAACCCACGGCCCCAACGAGGCCCGACGGACAAACGACAACACTACTTACAAAGGTCCCGGCACTACTTTTCAAGGACGGAGTACTCGTAAGCACCATGACGATGTACACGAACAAAATAATGAAAAGGCTAACACAACGGAAAGGTTGTTCAGTATGGCATCGGCAGCGCCCTCTTCTTGCCCTTGTTGGCAGCGGCGCAGGGCGAGCAGCGCGTTCCTTCGAAGTCGTTCGTCTCGCCGTCGTCGTTGCGGGTGCCACCGAGGACTCCGCAAAAACGGTGAATGTTACCGTTGCAGATGTTGCAGGACACCATGGACATGTTGCCGGACTTATTGCACTCGGGCTCGATGCAGGCAGGACAGTAAATGACCGGAAGGTTCGCCGACGCGGCCGAAGTGTCGGCCTCGGTCCGGCCGAGGTCGCCGTGGCGGAGAGCGGTTGGCCGTGGAGTCGAACGCGTGTTGTCGCTGCTGTTGCGGTGTCCGGTGTCGTCCTCGTTGTCGGAGTCGGGTCCAACAGGGAAGTTGACGACGCCGGAGGGAGCGCCGCGGGCGGCGGCAAGGTCCCGCACGATCTTCTCGCGAGCTGCGTCCATCTCGCCTTCGAGGGTAAGGCGGCTGTGCGAGCAGGCTTTCGCCTGGTCGACGGACATGTCGGCGAACTCCAGGTCTTGTTGGTTCCGTAGGACGAAGGAATTGCTAATTCAGCCGCCCTGACCGCCCGAGAAAAAGGGGAGGTACGCGTGCTCACGTGTGAAGAGGGACGGACACATGGTGGCGACCCAAAAGCGTCTGCCCGGGCGGCGTCCATGGGGTAGGCGTTAGTGGGGCAGACCCATGACTGGCTGGGAACCCCCTCGCCGTCCTAGATGTACCACGTTGTCAGGAGCACGGGAGAGGCGGAGATACCACGCAGGTGCTCCTTCCGGAATCGGTGGATCACGGCCCAAACGCTCTTCTTGCCCATCTCCGTCCGGTTTTCGGAGACGACGGCGCGTTGCATGCGGCGGTACTCCGAGAGGGCGACGTTGACTTCGGCCCTGGAGACGCCCTTCATTGCAGTCTTAAAGTGACTGCGTCCCTCATCTTTGGAACGATAGCCCAGCATTCCTGGACAATGAGTGGATTGCTCGTCTAAAAAAGGCTATTGTTCCAAAGATGAGGGACGCAGTCACTTTAAGACTGCAATGAAGGGCGTCTCCAGGGCCGAAGTCAACGTCGCCCTCTCGGAGTACCGCCGCATGCAACGCGCCGTCGTCTCCGAAAACCGGACGGAGACGGGCAAGAAGAGCGTTTGGGCCGTGATCCACCGATTCCGGAAGGAGCACCTGCGTGGTATCTCCGCCTCTCCCGTGCTCCTGACAACGTGGTACATCTAGGACGGCGAGGGGGTTCCCAGCCAGTCATGGGTCTGCCCCACTAACGCCTACCCCATGGACGCCGCCCGGGCAGACGCTTTTGGGTCGCCACCATGTGTCCGTCCCTCTTCACACGTGAGCACGCGTACCTCCCCTTTTTCTCGGGCGGTCAGGGCGGCTGAATTAGCAATTCCTTCGTCCTATGGAACCAACAAGACCTGGAGTTCGCCGACATGTCCGTCGACCAGGCGAAAGCCTGCTCGCACAGCCGCCTTACCCTCGAAGGCGAGATGGACGCAGCTCGCGAGAAGATCGTGCGGGACCTTGCCGCCGCCCGCGGCGCTCCCTCCGGCGTCGTCAACTTCCCTGTTGGACCCGACTCCGACAACGAGGACGACGCCGGACACCGCAACAGCAGCGACAACACGCGTTCGACTCCACGGCCAACCGCTCTCCGCCACGGCGACCTCGGCCGGGCCGAGGCCGACACTTCGGCCGCGTCGGCGAACCTTCCGGTCATTTACTGTCCTGCCTGCATCGAGCCCGAGTGCAATATGTCCGGCAACATGTCCATGGTATCCTGCAACATCTGCAACGGTAACATTCACCGTTTTTGCGGAGTCCTCGGTGGCACCCGCAACGACGACGGCGAGACGAACGACTTCGAAGGAACGCGCTGCTCGCCCTGCGCCGCTGCCAACAAGGGCAAGAAGAGGGCGCTGCCGATGCCATACTGAACAACCTTTTCGTTGTGTTAGCCTTTTCATTATTTTGTTCGTGTACATCGTCATGGTGCTTACGAGTACTCCGTCCTTGTCCGTTCGGCGGATTGCTTGTAGGTAGTGTGGGAGCAACTCCGTCTCCTCCGGTTTCGTCCTTCGCTTACCCTTCTTGCCTGGGGTTGATGTATATAAGTGGTTAAGGAGCGTGTCTTTGCGGTCGTGGGAGCGAAGCACATCCCCTAGTTCTTATGTCATGTACCCCGTCCAGTTATAAGCAGTTACGGGAGCATGCGTGTGTGTGTATGTCAGTACGTGCATGTATATGTCGGGAGCACGACGTCATCGTTTGTCCTTGCGTCGGGCCGTAGCGACTGCGTGTTCTATGATAGGTTCGTACGAACGGAACCTCTTCATATCAAATGACGAAGTACTTAGTCACGTTGCAGTACGGGTAAGGCATGGTCATCGCCAAGAAGAAATACCAACTGTTAAATATAATCGTTGAATCACACCATCAACCCGACGATGTCGCCAACGTCACAACCGGGCCGTGTCACAGAATACCCTGTCACAGACATGCCAAACGGCAGCGTCGATCCGATCAGGAAAATGGGGGCCCCGCTGCATAACTTAACTAATTAATTAATTATTAATATTAATTATTTAAATTAATTAAAATTAATTAGAACTATCAAAATTAATTAGTAATTAAGTATTTTGCGCAATTCAATAAATATTAATTATTTATTTTGCGCACAATCCCCCCCCCCCTACTACTACATTTTGTCCCTCGCCGCGCACCATTCCCCCCCCCTACTACTACATTTTTTCCCTTGCCTCCCTCCTCTGGGGGCAGGTTGGGGCAACAGATACATTTTGCCCATGAGCCCTGGCTGCACCAACCCCGAACCGTTTCGTCTGAACAATGGATCTCGCAATAGCCCCGCAACACAACAACACAGTCGTGCATGTCCTTCCTCGATTTGTGCCTTGTGGGCAGAGATACAGCCGGGGGGGTGATTTAGACATTGATCCCCCCCCGGGGGGGCAGGTTGAGGCAACATATATATTTCACCCATGAGCCGGGAAACTAATACCCCCCCGGGGGGGGATTTAGACACGCCGTTGTTTTCCCCCTGTGTTTTTATTCTTTGCGGTAACCATGAATGGTGGTCGAGTAGATTATATTGTGCGGGGTCGACAACCCTCACTCCGCTTCGATTTTTGTGATGTGAGAGCCTGGTCCGGTGAGAACCCGGCGTGCTCCGTCCCTGCTTTGTAGGGTTGCGAGGTCAATGGTCTACCGACTACGTCATGGACAACTATGCGTACATCCGGGTGCCAGAACCCCAATGGATGCCATAACCGCACAACTAATTGCGGTAGGAGCCCGCCTGCAGGGGTATGGGTGGTTCGGACAGTGTTCATGCTTTCTGTTGTACCATGCCTTCCGCTGGGGAACGTCGCCCCCGCCTGTTGCCCTGGGGTAATTCCACCAGCACCTTGGTGCTCAAACTGTGTCGTCGCATGTACCGGCCGATCAAACGTTTAACACCTCTAACGAGCCTCTGCACGCACGCGTGGTGTTGCCTCTCCGCAGTATACCTCCACGCAACAAGGTATTGATTACGGCTGCACCACCGGAGGGAGCAGCATTTGCTCAACCATAAATGGGCAGGGAGCATATTGTGCCATCCCTCCATCTACCCCGGAGGCTGGAAACGTAAGAAATCGGACACCGCTGCTCGACTGACTGCCCGGTAAGGCTGGAACATAGTTTCCCCCTCCTACAGTGGTACTGGAAGCCCAAATGAGGACGCTTTGGGACACAGCACTCCAACGCGTTTTGACCGCTCCTAGGCTCCGCTGTATGCAACTCACGTGTGAACCCTTGGTCTATCATGCTTGGCTGAGGTGGAGAGTGGTGAGCTGTGTGATATGCTGTGTGATGCCTCTCCTGGGCCGCTGACTTGCTGTCCCATTTCCCAACCCGCGTGGCCCCTACATTGGTCGTAACACTATACATCGCCTTGGTAGTGGAACGTTGTGCTGACTTGACTTCAGTATGAAAAGTGTCCCCACGTTTTGGGGACACTTTTCATACTGAAGCAAAGTCACCCTTTGTCAAGGAGGTCAGTTTCTTTGGAGGGACTGTAGCTGCCAGATGGCCTGTGTCCAGCGAATCGTTTGTTCACGCACCACTTGGGGGTTATTCCTTGTGTTCGGCGGAATCAAATCGTCCACCCGGACCTCGAGGCCAAGGCCTCAAGCACAAGGCCTTAAGCACAACGATTTCCGGCCGGCACGACCCGACAATCCACCGTTGGTTCAGCTTCCAACCCAGAGGGTCCATGGGCACAAGAATCCAAGGGCGACAACACCAGAAAACAGCTTTCGGTCGCAAATTGGCCCGTTCCGTGATTATTTCGTTTTACGAACATGTGCATGCCGTGTGTCGGTAATTCGAGGGGTGTGAAGTACATAGCCGTATTTCACTGCGGCATCCCGTAGCATGCTACGCCGACTCAAAAGACTCTCGAGCCCTCGCGTTTTTGTTTCAGGAATGTGAGCAGGTCGGCTGTGCTTGCTCATTTGCGGTATGCACTTTGGATGGCGGCACGGGATACTGCGGTGAGCGATTGTAGGCCGGAGTCGGAGCCATTCTAGCCTAGCCTGCGTGTTTGACGTGTGAGTTCTTGGGGCGAATTTAGTCACATACAGATGTGGTAATCGCTTTCCACAAGGTGTATCTTTGACATGCATATTCTCCAGGTTGCCCCAAGCCCATAGTCACACGATATTCTATGAGGCAGGAGTGACGTAGCCGAAAAATCCATTGAAGAACGCGCGCCCGCTTTCTTGCTCATCGCCCAGATCGAGTCTCGAACACCAATCTCGAACACCAATCGTGTCCGTCTGACTTTATCGCCGCCGCCCCTTGTCCCACCATGCGGTACGTGAACACGTGGATCATCCCTGTCGTTCGTCCATGCCTTCACAGCGCCAAATTCCGACGGTGAGTGAGGACAACGTGACATAAAAGCACCGACAGTAGAGTTTTTAGAAGCTGCTCGCCGCGAGGCGGGCCGGTCATACCCTGTTTATTCGTAGAACGCAAGGTATGGGAAGACCGATCTATCGTCTAGCAGGTCGCCGAAAGGAGGGCCGGGATCGACGTTGTTTTCAATACAACGAGCGTAGGGAAATCCGCGCGGTGTGCCCATGGCCAGTTGTGAGGCTCTGTGGTCGTGACGGGGATAGTTCCCCCGCTCGTGCACGCGTTGGGCTTGTTGCCAATTGTGGACGCCCAGAACGAGGCTGCCCTTGTTGGTAAGGCCAAATGTCTCTTTCTGCCAGGGTATCCGAGATTGATGTCATTGTCTCAGAGCGGGGGTTCCTTCAGGCTCCCATCCGGCTGCACCAGGAGTGGAAGTTGCGCCCGGAGATCCTTCGTTGGGAGCGCGAGGTGGAGTCCGTAGTACCTCTCGCCCGAACCCTCTTCGCTGAAGTCCCTCGCGGCGTGCCCGTCGCCGCTGTTGGACGGCTTGCCGACTCCAAAACCGCGATGAGGGCTCTGAACCCGACCTGATGAACAGGACGGGTAACCGATGTGAGGTCTGGAGTATCGTAATATCTGGTGATCCACATGCAACAGAGCTGCCCAGGGCCGTCAAGCGCCATTCCACTCAGGATCACATGCACGCATTTCGTGGCATCGTATGCCGTGAACAGGTTTACGTATGTATTCGATTCATGTGGGCATTATGAAAGAAGGAGAGTTCATCTTCGTCAACAACAACAACAACAACAACAACAACAACAACAGAGGCAACGATAAGCTGACAATCGAATCTTCGGCCCAGAGGCCACACAGCTTCATTCAAGTGGTCAAATCGCACGCCTTGGTAGCATCACAAAGAGGGAGCGGAGATGCGGTGAGCACATGGGGGCGCGGGGGCATCAAGAACAATAACAACAGCAACAACGACAACCGCAATTTCGGACATAGGACACAAAGAACAATAACAACAGCAACGCCAACCACAATTTCGGACATAGGACACATGACAAAACACAAGGACAATCTCACTTACCCACCCACTCATTCATTCATTAATTATTCAATTCATTCGCAACGACAACACACATATGAATAGGCTGGTGATCAGGGCATGTGATCAGGGCCAAAGGTAAACAGTTCCGAGTGATGCGGAAAAACTCCTCACCCTCCCACCGTTGAATCCGTACGAACAAAACTGGACCACCCAAAATATACGAAGTCCTTTCATCAACGACTTGTTACACCGATTCTTATTCACCTCCATCTCGCCGATCCTGAATGTAGTTCTCCAACTTCTTTTCCTTGTTGAGCCTGTTCCAGTCGCTCGTCTGCGTCGACCCACAGGACCGGCCGATCTGCGCCTGTGTCGGAGGGGGCACGTATGCCGGCACGCCTACGCCGGCCTTGACCTTGTCCGCAGTACCCTCTGCGATCCTTTCGACGTCGTCGACGAACGTGTGGGGGCTGATCGGGTCAAAGTCGACGACGAACATGGTGGGCGCTCCGTGCTGCGGAAGGGGATTCTTGTCGATGATGGCCTGATGGTGTGCGTGGGACGCAGTGCCGGTGCCGACCTCGTCCATTATTTGGTACGATCCAGTTGTACAGTCGATACACTCCATGTCTGGGGTGCCATCCGCTTTGAGCTGCCACGGGTTGGTGGCCTGGTCACCCTTCGCAACCCTGGCGTCGGCCACGCCAACCTCCAGCCGCTTGAAGCCCAGCGGTGCGCCCGGGTTGTGAACTGTTATGCACATCCGCCAGCGCCCGTTCTTGCCGTCGCGGTGTCGGCGGCCGGAAGTGGTGTACTGCTGAGCCCGCTGCTTCACGAACAGGCGGACGGTGGAATCTCTCCGCTTACACAGGTTGTCCAGCGGAACCAAGAACGGGGCCAGCGAGGGGAAGCGGTCGATGATGGTGACGTTGTTGTGGAGAGTTGAGGGCCCGCAGGGTTGTTGCTGCCACACTGACTTGCCGTCGATCTTCACACCGTTGAACGCGGCCGCCTCCTCCGCGAACTGAGGGTGGTTGTAAGAGAAGCTGCCCATGGCGATGTGTCCCTCGCTGAAGAGGCGTTCAGTCGTCATCCTTTCGTACTGAGGGTCCACCGGCCTGTAGTCGTGTCGAATCTTCTTCTTCCCCGTCGACACGGTCGGCTTCTTCCTCTTCTTGCCCTCCGACGCGGTGGACTGTTCCGTGGTAGAGGGGGAAGGGCAACCGAAAACACGCGGGGCAGATTGTTGCCGTTGTGAAACTCGTCCGGGTTGACACTTGACATGGATACCATTCCTCTTGCTGATGCAGAGTGCAGTTGTCACGCCCGCGTAGGACCGTCGGGCCACGACCCATTAGCGAGGTAGACGTGAAAAAAGCGGTCCGTACCCACATTCAATATCTTCTCATCCTCGCTTTCCTCCTCTTGAAGAAGATGTCGTCGCCATCGTTGTCGACGATTTGAAGGCGTCTCGTTGACTCTCGGGCAATCTGCAATGACGGGTGGGAGCGCCGCGAGCATAACAACGTCGTAGGTGGAGGTCCGTGAGAATCGGTTCTGCAGTTCTTGATATTCTCAGAGTTCATAATTAACACTCCCACGAGTTCCTCGAGATACGCTACATAAGTATAATGACATACCTTCCCCTTAAGAGTCACAATAATAATGACGTTCATTATTTGGCGTCAGATACAGGGCGAAGAGTGGGTGTGAGGGTGTGTGTGCGGGGGGAGAGGCGACAGCGACCAAAAAGGGAAATCCCTTGTGAGGCGTGCTGGATGGTCTGAGCGGGAACATGCGTGCTAATATGTCTGCTTACGATATCCCTTACATGCGTGCTAATATGTCTGCTTACGATATCCTTCCGGCACTCACTACCACCACTCCGTGACCACTTCGCAAATCCGCAATGTTACTGTCTCCTGCTCGCACACTCATTCGTCACTTTGTCACTCTGTTCGCCTAGAATCAGCTTTAAAACAACACGCACAACACAGCCCACTAATGTTGTGCTTGCACGAGAACGGTCCTACGTTTTTCTCGTGGGTTCGGTCACCATTTTGAAAACATGACGGAAGGCGGACTTGTGGTGGGAAAGAAAGAGCGTCGGCGCACTCCATGTTGATAGATGAGACGGCGTTAATGAAGCAGGCTAGGGAGGACATCGCAGTCAGAAATCGTAAATCGGGTGGGAACTGATCGTCTCTCACCTTCGGTCCACATGGTGACGCCGCTGCGTTCGGGGACCGTGGGGTGAGAGGTGTCGTGGGTCTCACTTTTCGCGTCGCCCCTGGGGGAGTGCAAAAGTCCTGTGGGATCACGGACGGATGCATGGGTGGGGAGAGGGTGCATTATCGTGTGATTGTGTGTGTGACTGGGTTTGAGACAATAGGTTCACGTTCAGAATGACGACCTGATATCTCAAGGAAAGCATGTCTATCACACCACGCTGATGGTCTTACATCATCGTCCGAGCCCAGTCCGAAGAAGTCCAGGTCGGTGTCCCTCTTCCTCTTGGGCTCCCTGAGTGGAGATCGAGGATTGCTGGAGGTGGTCATGGATCCCCTTCTGCTATTGCAAGCGTATACGGGAGGTGTGCAAGCATGGGGATCGCTGAATGAGATCGAAGTCACTGCCAAGAACAGCAGGAACACATCCAATAGACAGCGGACAGGATAAACTATCAACCGGCCGCACAATAGCATTGATGAGCGGCACCGAATCGACGTCTACTTTCGGTTGGTTGGGTGGCAGTCTGGTTTCTGATGGCGACAACGCACGAGCATGGTGATGCACCGCGGCATCGACGGCCCAATTCAAACAAAAGGTGTGCATCCCGTCATCCAGCAGCGGCCTTCACGGTCTAACCTTTTGTTGTTGCTGTGAGTCTTCCTATGCGATCTTTACTTGGATGCTCTGGCGGAGTGGACAACGAGAAGAGCGTGAGGTGTAAGTACAGCAGTGGTCTCGTGCTCGCTCAACACACAGCAGAGCTGACCCCCACGGGGGATTTCTGTTGATATGGAGGCGATTCGATGATGTGAAGAAAAAAAACGCGGCGCAAATTAGTAGAGAAACAAATACCGAAGCGAGATAGAGGTAAACGACCGGCGGCATTCATAAATGCGGAGTCAGGTACAGCAAGTAGGTTGTCTTCCGCTTGATTGAACCTCCTCTGTGTCAGCTGTGCGTTCTTGTGGCAGGACACATCATCTCCGCCTACAACCACCGGGGTTGGCTGGTTGAATTATATCGATCGGTCGATATGCAGCACAGAGCGCGTGCGTACCGTATACGCGACACAAGATAACACACCCCCTGGAGCGATTTTCAAAGCTCTATTACTCCACGACGAAGAGGTACTTTCTGACGCTATGAATTCATTGCAAATCTGTCTCAGACTCTATGATAGAGATGGATTCGTTGTGTCATATTAAGAACAAAAAAAAAAATGAACGAAACGATACGTTTTCGGAGAGCTATGCACCAGACGGCTTCAACGCCACCATTTTCGGCGCCGCGACTCTTTCTGCTGTTGATAAATCAAGCTTTGAAAATCGCTCCAGGGGGTGTGTTATCTTGTGACGTATACGGGAATGCTGCTGCTGCTGTACTCGAAGCCAAAAAATAGTAGGGATATATGAGATGCAGAGGCCTGTGTTCTATGCGTCGAGATGTCGAATGAAGCGTACCTCTATCTTCGCACAGGGTGCCCTCACCCACATAGTGATACATCAATGTCTTCCATTGTCTTCCGACCCCTGACTTTTTCTCTGAATGCATGCTGCTCAACAGCTATTCGTACCTCAGAAGGGCTGCCATCGTATCCTCTTCGTTGTCACATTCACTTGTATTTGTGTCGGCCGTTCGTGATTGGAAGGAACGGAAACATTTCGCTAACAAGTTCACTTCTAAAATGGAAAAGAACCGAGAATGATAGCATCACTGGCAGTACCTGTGGAAACGATGTCCTCTGTTGTTGTCATACCAACTCATCTCACCCACGTTGCATATATCCGCCGGAACGTATCTACTACTGCTCCATGGCTTACATCGTAGGGATGATAAAAAAACAGTCGGAATATTCTCACGGACGCGATCTGTGGGAGTGTTGAGTGAACTGCGTTGGCAGTTACACCACGAGACATCAATTCATAGGTACAACTTTTGAAGAAACGATATGATCTCGGCGAACCCACCTGTCCAAACCTTCCGTCACATGGCAAAATCTGATTCAGGTGACGAACCCCTACGAGACTGATATGAATGGCGGCTGCCCCGACGGAATGCCGACGCCATGCTTGGCCAACGGCGGGCTGAGCGTCATTGTTGATGGCGAGAAGAACGTGGGCAGTTCTCCCCTGCTTCACCCCATCCGGTATGGTCTGGCAGATTGTGTTGAATTCCCAAGAGCCAGCTCTTTGGCCTTGCTTGGCCATGCAGTATCGCGGCCCCCAGGAGTACCCGAGAGAGCATCACATAGATCTACAGATTGCATTGACCGGGCTTCGAAACATATCGACTCATCAGCCTCCCGCTACCTCTGCCCCACCCCGCTCGCACACGATATTTTGGGTTTGCTCCAGGGGCGAGATGCTACCTGGTGGTAGCATCGAAGTGTCCGCGGCCAACCTGCCCTTACAGTGTTGGCCGTTCGGCGGCGACAAGATCTGGGCCCGCCACTACTGTACGCCGACATAACAGCGCAGGGGAGGCGAATGGAAAGCGGTGAGTCCTTTGAGGATTGGGTCTTGAGCTTCCCGGACATGACACCCCACGACTGGTGAGATGCGCATACGTTGCAATAGTGCACAGAGTATCGCAGAAGAACGTCGTGTGGAGCACGGTACAATACTGTATTAGTAGTCGAGCGAAAAAATTGAGGGTGCGATTCAATCACCGGGTTTTTTATCCAACAAGATCGTGTCAATTTTATAGCTTTCGTACCCGAAACGCGCTGAAATATCATGTTGGAATAAAAACAAATGGCGAAAATAAGCTCAAATCATAGACTATGCTGTGCATAATATGTAGACTACGCGTCGTAAGCACTTCTGCAATATAGTAAGTATATAATATGCGTACAGCTGTTGGTGACGCGTTCAAACCAACCTCAATTTTTCTTGCGATTGATCGAATCGTTCGACGTCATGCATGCGCCGTGGTTCGACCCCACGCGTCCAACTCGTCCACCAGGAGCACCGAATACATCGCCAAGGCCTGCGGGATGTTCAGTCCCCCCATGCCATATACCAGATCGTCACACCGGCGGTCATCGTGCGGCTCAACGTCGGCATCGGACACCAGACTGGTGGCGAGCTCGACTGGGACGGCCGTGTCCTCCCTGACCTCGATGTGTGGCAGATGGACGTCGGCCTCGTCGGCCTGTCCCTCGAAAACGAAGGGTGATGACGCGTTCCGCGGAACTGCCGAGGACTACCGTGTGTCCAGTGCCCTGGGCACGGACTTCGCCCTGCTTCACCACAAGTGATTAGATGATGCCGTACTTCGGCCAGAGTCATCGCTTACCCGAGGAAAGCGTCGGCGTTGGCGCCGGACTTCACAGTTCCAGAGGTGTGGGAGGTCTGCACTTTCCCCCCACGTCAACTTTGAAAGCAGCATTGTCTGCGCTGCGACCGTGACGCCATGCCTGGTCATGGCTACGTCAAAAGGGGAAGGAATTCATTACCATACCAATCTAGTTCATTTCGGGGTAGGTTCGTGGGTGGTGGTCTTCAGTTGGGACCCTCACTACCTCCGGATGGTGCGACTTCGAATCTCGGCCCAACTGCATAGAACCTGGCGTGTTTTTTCACACTATCCCTAAACCAAATGATAGCACATGCGTACACGATTTTCACGTGTAGACTATGTATGCCCAAGAGTTTTTTTCTCCTGTACCCTTCCCGTAGTCAGCGCCCCCCTGACATGCGGGGCCCAATACGGACATGTGATACTTGCTCGACCTTATGCTACGGGTTGTCGCGCAACCACACTGTAGCTCTCTTTTGAGGGCATCCCGGCTCGGACATGTGTACTGCTTCCGGCATCAACAAGAGGATGTGGTGCATCCACCCGTACAAGCGCACAACGAAACGAGGCTCGCACATACAAGCTGACGTCTTTCAAGACAACAGCTTCGTCGTGTTCGTACTGTAGATCATGCGCATTTCGTCCATTCAAAAGAGAGGCGCTCCCTACCCAGAAGTGGCGCTGACTACTGTAGCATGAAAACAACAATGGTAGACACACCCATTCTTTGGAAATCCTGCTAGCGCAACACAACGACATTGGGCCTGATCGCCTGCGGTCTAGTCCGGGAGTACCCTTCCTTTCGCTTGTGAACTCGAGATTCCAACAGCCTTCATCCTACCGGGACCCGTGCGGACATGAGAGCAGGATGTCGTTGCGATTGGATTTGCGCTCTTCGACATAGCAGTGTTCGATTCAACCCCATGGGGTGTCCCCTGCACTAGCGTTTTCAAAGGTACCTCCACCTCAACGGAAATGCCTAGATGCAATTCAGTTCAATTGACACAGTTCACGACACCTTTGGAGCCAGCATCATGCTTCAGTCACTCTTCACAGACACGCAGCCTCTTGGTTGGCACATACTGATGGATAGGGTTGGTGGCGAGGCTGCACCTACGTTTCGCCTTCCCGCTAGTAGAAGTTGAGCTGGCTTGCGACAACATCACCCTCTCGTAGCCGGGGTCTGTGCACATCTCCGCGGCTCCCTGTGTAAATTCGTTGTGTGTCGATTTGCGGAAGTGCACTGGAAGATTTTCGAGAAAAAAATAGTGTCCATGCTTGACATGACCGAACTACTGTACGTAGCTCAGGTGTCCGGACTCGATATGGTGATAATCGGTTCTCGCAGACAAATAAGTTCACAACCCTATGGTGGTAGCTGTTTGACAACGATGGGGAGGATATTCCAGGTTCGACAAAGAATACGCTTGTCAACTTCGACGGGGAGTGATCTGGTCCGCAAGTGATGCTGCGCACAATGGATGGCGTTGGTAGATGCATATTCCATGCTCCTATTTTTCTACTCCTGGATGGAATTTTCGGCATCATGTGGGAACTGAGTGCCTATCAAGGCGGTTGGCGCCGCCGATCACGACACGCTTTTCAGGTCGCACCCGAGCTGATGGAAGAACGCTCGGATTGTGGGCACATTGCATGCATTTGTCGCCCGGAACCGATTCCGTACAGAGGAGACATCGGAGAGGGGAACGTACCATATGGAAGACGTCGATCGGTTCGCCATCTTGTTGAAGCATGTTGCTGCTCTGTTGGGTCATTTCGTCGCTGTTGTTGTTGTCATCGTCGTCGTCGTCGTTGGCGTCGTCATCATCATCGTTTGCCAACGCGGACTCGTCTAGGACGCGCTTCGTTCCCATAGTCATCATCATTCGTCGCTGGGGCTTTTCCGGCACGGGCTGTACTTCCGGCCTATGGCCGGCAAGGGGCGGGATGAAGCAACACCAACTATTTTGAATAACATCAACTTTGACTACATGAGTGCTGCTTAAAACGTTTTGCATCAGCAACGGTCATATCGCGCACTTGCAGAGGAGAGATATTGAGTGAAACAGATAGATGGGAAAATGGGTGGAACGTCATCGCCGCGACCTGCCAACAGTACGCACCACGAATTGAACCCCGCTGCGCGCTCACCTGCGGGTTCGACTCAAAGCCAAATTGTACTACGCACTCCAAAGCAACTCAAAGCCTCGTAGCGCTGCAGCGAGATTTCAGAAGCAGAGACAACAACTAAAACCACACGGATCCTATCACCTAAACCTAACCAGGGCATGTGGAGGAATTTCAGGAATACATTGCCATGAGAAGGTTTGCAGTTCCGATCAGCTCACCGAGTAGGCATACCCCTTTGGGAGTCCCCGCCACGTTTATGCATAATTCCATGCTTTTACCGCGCCATGCCCGGAAATCCCGACACGTGAAAAGGTTCATATTTACCTTCACACACCGGTGCACTGACCGAAAGCTAATTGTACACAGAGAATATCCAGTAGAATCCGACGCACAACACTACTACCACCGGGGCTTGTTGAGCTTGTCACCCACCCGGTTGGAAGATTCGTAGAAACGCGGTAAGCTCATATGGCATTGAACTCACCTTATTTTTTCCTGGACTCTTCGACTAAATGTGGGTAGAGACGTATTCGAATTTTGTAGCATGTGCAAAAACTGGTGGTTGTAGTAGAACCACGAAAAATCAAATCGTGTGTGGTTTGATAGGTTCGCATACGATCGAATACGGGTCGAAATCGGACGGGATACATGTGTGAACGAATTCGCAAACAACGAGACCCCAGCGGAAAGCCATCTAATCCCTCGATTGGGGACTTCTCGTGGGGCTTCCTCACGGACGCGCAAATTGATTCTAGCACTCACGGGGCTGACGGCGTGGGAATCGGCGGAGTGGCGAAGTCTCCCCCATAGCCGTGACGAAGGCCTTCGGGGGTGTGGCGTCCAACCTGGCCCGTAAAGCGGCGCCCGGCTGGCGCCGGCGGAGGCATTGAAGAGGGTGTACGGTTGCGCCGATCTTGGTGGAGTTGAGTGTCGTGTGCCATGATAGCAGGTACTTGAGTTTCCGAGTCGTCCCTTGCCGAGTGTACCTGGAGAACGAATTTCCAAGCAAGGGGGGAATCGAAGGAGGCAAATGTTTCAACTCCGAAGGTCAGGAAACGCAAAGGGAGCCTTGTTGTAGGGTGTCGAATACTGCACTCTGCCAAACGTGATCGATTACCTCTGTTGCCGTCCAAACCGGACGAGCGAGTGGATACCCATGTTCTATTCGTTTGTGCAATGGCATGGCGAACATGTTACAGTGAAACAGCGACCAAAATATCAAAGGCATTCGCTGACGTCTCCAGCTGAGTACGTCGACTTGAAGGATGACTCCAAGTTCATAGTACGCCGCCTACATTACGTCGAACCCTTACGGCACCCTTAGGAAAGCTCATTTCTCGTTTTGGTTTGGCCGCATTCGACGTGGCACGTTCCCAGTCGCTCAACTTAGAACTGCCTTGATGGCAGTTTGCCACCAAGGTACACACCAGAAAAATATATCTCGTGTGGGAAAGGCCCATCTACGCTCATTGTTTCATTAATTTCTCGATAACTCCGTACTACGAATGAAGCCGTGGTAGGGTCCCGTTCGCTTCATACCACAACTGTCGACGCGCGCCTTGAACACCATGTAAAGCTCTAACAGGGTTCGACACGCCCAAGTCACCTCAGACGACACGAGATTATCGTCGCCACCATCGCCACCGTTGACGCCATGGCCCACCTCTTCTGGCTTGTCAATGATCACATCCATGTCAGTCCCTGACGGCGGAGGAGAAAGAGACGGCGAAGAATCCTCGAGGCGTTCCCCTGACTGCACGGCGTGCGAGGATGCCTGAGGCGGGTCGACCCGATGGTACTTGAAGTTTCTCTGCAGGTGTTATTGAAATAGAACGGAGGTTGGTTCCCGCCGTGAGTTGACGTATCAGAACACATACCGTAGGTTTGAAGATTTTCTTACAGGCGCCCCAACGTTCCGGCTATTTTTCTACAGAGAAACCCTTCTACCACGTGTTGTTTTCATGCATGAATCCTCCCTGGAGCTCAAAGACTCCCCTACTCACCCAACAAACTGCATTGCGCAACTGTCTTAAGATGAAGAACGTTAGCGTCATCGCCGAAGCAGGTTTTGGATGGGGGGTCGGTTCAGCGACGTTGTGCATCGTCGTTCTTACAGTAGCCTCGGCGATAGGGGGATCCTCGGAGAGGGTGATTGAGGCTTGTACGACTTGCTGTACGCCCCGCTCAAAACACGTCGTATCAGGCACCGTTCACTGTGATACTGCATGTCCTAAGCCGATACATCACATCGGAATCCTGGTACTGCCCATCACGAACCCCCCTTCTGATACGTCTGGTATGACCTGTATTGCCCCCCCTCCGCCCTCTCTCCATCTCGTGCGTACTCCCTGTAATTGGACCCGTCCCTCTGAGAGCTCCCCCGTTTTCTCTTCTCGCCATGCTACGATAGATATTTAGACTGCACAACAACTCTCACTGGGATTCGATTGAAGTAAAGAAATGTCTTCAGAAGAGAGATAGGAGCACCCGAAGTTGAAGGGAGGGGGGGTATGACTAGAGGGGCCCCCAAAGGGTGACGGCGGACCGTACGGCAGAACGGGTCCCCGAAGATATTAACGGTGTCCGTCACCAACAAATGGACCCCGAATCAAGGGGGGGCTGGGGGGCTAAGCTGCAGCATGCCTCACAGCCTTGCTCGGATCTGGCGGTATTGCACCTTCCCCATGCAAACACTACAGAGAGGTACTCCTACTGGTAGAGCTTTAGCCACCCTCAATCGGTGGTGGAAAAATGTTAGGTTCACAGTAGCTCGTCTCACGAACATAGTCCGGGTGGAGGGAAAGGGGCACGTTTCAACAAAGGTTCGGAAACAATTTTATCACACAAAACCTGCATGCACCTTGACGAAGAGTCCTTCGTGAACCATCTTCTCCAGGAACTCCCTCGCCAGCTCTCTGGTGATCTCGAGGTGGGCCATGAGACTCCTACGACGGATAGATACCATGCAAGCCGAACGTCTCATTTCTAGGCTTGTGCTAGTAGGCATCATTCGTTCAAAGGGTTGTTGTGTTCAAAGGAGTGCTGCACTTCAGAGTACTACACATGACACTCTAGTCCTTTCCGGTGACGGACATCCCGCCCAATAACCAACCTAAATTTCGGTGGATGCGACATTGTAGGTGTGCTAATTTCGGGCCTACGGAGAAACGGGCCACGGGCCATAGTACGATTGCTTCTGTGGATTGCCGCTGAAGAAAAACCCGATAAGACGTGAATATTGAATAGCACAACCAACCAGCGTACTGCCTCGACGTTCAAGGATCTTACGTGTGGGTCGGCCGGGCCTGCGTAGCGGCCCAGGCCCTGGCCGCGTCGTACTCGCTCGTCACGGTCATTTGGGCGGGCCGAACCTCGTACCCGGTGATATTTTCTTGGGCCTTGAAAGCTTGGTGGTGCCCGGCGTCATTGTCGCCGCTAGGGTGGGCCTGTGGCAGTTTAAGAGTGTAGGCACTACTTTTCGAAACCGGCAAGGGCAACGACAGTTTCCGTTTGAAACGTAGAGCCGCTCAAGAAGAATACTAGATGAGGATCGCCAGCATGCTGGTCTCAGATTGTCCACCGCGAAAATGTCGGCAGGAAGCCACTTCCACCCAGCGTGAATCTATAGAAGATATATGTGTGGCGGGCTACTGCCTACTTCGGACACCACCAAGGGTAACGGTTGAAATCAGGCACTGGCGCAGGCGGCGCGAGGAGAGCACTACGAAAATGAAGACAATGCACAACGCATAATGACGGCATAATGTCGTTGGCCCTACGTTGTTGGAGGACACGTTGAGGTTGGTCATCATGCCAGACACCATTCTCGAGACGTCCCTCGTGGAAACTGTCTCCGGTACCATTGTCTGCTCGTCGTCATCGTCGCTGTCGTCTTCCTCGTCTTCTTCTGGCCCGGCCTTGCACTTGAGAAGGTTCCTGTCCTTGGCCCACCTGAACCAGGGAGAGAGAGCCCCAGCAACAAGGTCGTTGGTGCTACACTAGCACATGGAGCCAGCTAAGACGGTGGGAGCCGAACACATCTGATTACTTGAAAGTTCAAGAGTCTGAGAGTTGCTCGTATCGTGCGCGCGTGCGTGCGTGCGATTGACATTTACATCGATCGTTCTAACCGGCCAACTAATTAGACCAAGATGACACCCGGAAAACAGCGTGAATATTATTTGGTTCCTCATCAGCAGAATAATGCCTCATGTTCGAGAGACTAAGGAATTACCTCGAACGCTTCACCAAGGACGAATCAGTTTTGAATAACGCTTTTCCTATCGTTGCGCGACCAAACATCGCGCCATTCCTTGCCGAAAGTCTCATGCGAAGAACTGGATAGAAGCATCTATATCACCACTACATGACCACTACGCATTGACGAACCACCCGCAGGTGGAAGAACCTTCAGGCCAAGTCGTCCAGGATATTTTTGGCGTTCAATAGGCTGTCAGTTGTTTCGTTTACGCCTGTTCTTCGTCATCAGAAACCTCCGCCGAAGTGGTTATCGCCACGGCTTGAGCACGCGCCTTGCGTGTGTGGATCAAGCCGCTACGGGAACGGTCGCTATATCTGAATACCCCCGAGCATCATCGCTGCGGTAGCGCAAACTATACTATTTCGAGCGAAACGCCAAAGTCGAGGAAGAGGTGGGTAAATATTTTCCGATCGACACGCGCAGGGAAGCACTAGACTGTTGCTCCTCTGAGGCAAGCTGCAATTGGTTCAAATACGCTCACATTGAAGCTTCAGAGCTTTATGACAAGCCAACTCCGAGGAGTTCACGCTCAAAACGGCCTCTGCGCAATATGCTGTCAGTGTGACTATACGTATGTATGGCCCTTTGTGGGAAAATCCGTTAGTTTTTCGTTCCTTCATGGAATCTGGTTCAAATCGAAGAGACCCTGAAACACCTACCTGCCGTGACCGCAGCACACAACAAAAAGTCGACAACTTATATCCTTGCGATTCTGGGACACGATTTACAGGATCGTCATTACCTTTGCCTAATTGTTAGCTCTGGAACCAACAACTCTATTTTTATCTACAGGAACAAGAGGATTGGTATTAAATCGGTCAGTACAAGTTCACCTCGGGGTATTCTTTAGAGAGCTACTATAGTCTCCCGTGCAACTTTAGAAGAATTTCGGTTGGAACTTGTCAGGAAAACTGGACGGAAATATTCCTGACACGAGACAAACACGGCTCTCGCTCTCGAGCTACACTGTCTGGAGATTCTACTGGAAGACCCGTTTTGCTCACTACTTTCGAGAATAGCACGCAATCGGGTCCCTATCGGGAAAAGCAGGTGACTCAATACCTCTCCGCATAGCGCAGCTGTTTGAGACAGGCGTCAAAAGGTTTTTACGAAGTATCGCCTACTGTGCCCCGTCCCGAAATGTCGGTATCGCGTGGCCCGAAAACTAGGTGACAGTTGGCGATTCCGACCATGATGCCGTATACCAACAACTCAGATATCCACTTGCCTGCCGTCGCAGGACCTCTCCCCGTCGCTATCTTCATCGCTGTCGTCCGACGAGTTGCTGCCACCATCTGCGGTTGTCGCGTCTGGATCTTCGCGGTGCGACTGCTCTTGCGTGTCGTATCCCCTAAACCTCAGCTGTACCGTATTCGAAACGAAAACGCGCGACGTGCTTGTGTTAATCACGGCTTCCGCGGCGGGCCTTGGAAACATATTTTGACTAGATGTGGTGGTTGTTCCCGGTATTGCAGGGTCCCTGGCCAAACCGTTCCAGAGGTTCCATGAAGGGAAACTTCCTTGTTGCTTCAACACATTGTCTCGCGAACCAGCACCACTTGATGCACGCAATGTTCTTGGGCACACAGCTACAACGTCTTGACGTCTTTGATTTCCGATCTACGGAATACACATCGTAGAGAGACGGCGACAACATCACCCCAACGGTCGTCGAAGGGAGCGCGCACGCGAGGCGCGCCAGTCACATGTGGCGACGGCGTACCGAGAGCGTGTGGTGAGGAGTCTGGAGGTCGCCGATCTTGATCTTCAGCTTGTTGTGAATCTCTTTGTCGGACTTGCCGTTCTTGAAGGCGAGCTCGGAGGGATCGGCCTCTCTGAAGTAGTCTGGCTGCCACCCCGGCGGCGTACGGTCATCGAAGTACCACAACTGAAACATTCCGACGATCAGATTCAACCACCAACGACAGGTTGCAGTATTGGGTAGACATTTGCACTGCGTTTTAAGGTCAGGCCCACGGTGAAACGTTCTCCGGCATGTATCTTACCACACATTGCAAAGAAGAGAAAAAACATGAAGAACGCGTGATACTCTCACAGATGTTTTCCCTTTCGTTCTATAGTCTTCAATGTAAAACTTGGCAGTTCACCGGGTTTTTAGGTACATACACAGTAGAACCCGCCGGTCATGTCTCGAAAACGCAACTAGGTGAAGATGCAACCAAGCGGTATTTTGCGGCGTAACACGCGTAGGCTACATCTTGGCACCAACCTTGATGTTGAGAATCCTCTCCCTGGGTAGCTCTCCGAGTGTGTTGCCGAACGAAATGAGTGACCGGATCAGGTTGATGAGCTCGTTCTTGGCACTTTTGACGGTAGTCACCTTCCGTTCGACCGAGTCGATCAACAACAAAACGTCAGTCAAATCATTGCCAAAGATGTGTACTTCGATAACAGCTACACCGGGAAGGAATAGTGGGTGTGAAGCGACCAAGAGAAGTCGTTCGTGGATTCAGAGTCGTCCCCACGCGGCTACCCGGCTCTTGATAGGGATAGGATAGTACACGCCAGAATTTCTTACACTGTACCATATGAGCGACCGTGCTGAGGAAGGACTAACCTGAAACATTGTTGACAGCACACCAGTGCAGGTTGACGTCGATCAGCGTTGACTGCTAACAGGAGCCCCTACCTCACGATTGCCTTGAAATCGATGCACGAAAAAACTCTTCCCAAGATATCCAATACAGATACTTCAGACCAGTAGCACGGATGAAGCGCCCTCGAAATGTAACACTAAACCTAACGTTTTGTATCAGCTCGGGGAATTACTGCACGACATTAGCCTATCGGTTTAGCGCCTGGGATGACTTTTTTTGTTTCCGAATTTCTCCTATAGTAGGACACATTTTTTGGCATCAGTCTACGAATTCTTCATTTTCTACGGTTACAGCAATCTCAGCAATCTTGTGCATTTTTGGAATGCCGCGACATCAAAGTGCATTGCATTCCGAGATAGTCGCGAAAGTCACAACTATCTCGTATACCACATTGTTTTCAAGTGTAATTGCATATTGGTTCACTGGGGTTCCCGTTTTTTTGCTTGCGGATTTCCCGCGAATCACCGCGATGTGCCGAGCAATGATTCACAATTCAAGGTCATCCTTTCCTAGTCGTCTCCGTGAGGGGGGGTGGGGACTTCGGAACAGCACTAGGCTTCACATTGGTCAACGTAAATGGTGGAAACAGTTAGGCTGATTCAATGTCCAAAATGACTTGTGGCATGTGGACGACATGCTGAAAGGGCTTAAGCAAACCTTCGTGCCGCTGAAGATGACGGCCTCGTCCTCTTGATCCTCTGGGTAGGAAAGGTCGAAGGAGTAGGCCTCCCGTGGGTTCTCGTGGTTAGGAGACATAATAATGAACTCCATCCGACGGAGGTACCTGGTGGGGATGAATGCGACGAACCGAGGAGGACGTCGCTCGGAAAATGAACGGGTATGGTTGGAATTTGACCGTGGACAGAGCGGGCGGAGTCTCCTACTTCCGCGGTCTGTGGTAATCGAAACTCCAACACCTGGAAAACAGTGTAGTTCCTGATCACAACCTTCGAAACTATGTGAGTAGGAGGGTTTGGTGACAGTTGTACGTACATGTAGATCAAGGGTCGTATTCACTCCCGTGTATCACGTGTTTCCGAGGAACTTTGTGGCTTGCTACAAATCAACAACATATTCACTCCAGAGTGAATGCCGCCTTCCAGGGTGTAAGAGTCGAGACGCCAAGTCTTTGATGAAATCTGAAAAAAATATTTAAGCATTTACACAGACCCCTGCTGAACCGTACACTATTCCCAACCCTATCAACAACCATTCGAATGAAATGGTTGATGCCAGCCCGACCAGAAACCCACAGCAACTCACTCAGTCTCGCCCTCGTACAGCAATCAAAAGATCCGAACATCTAAACTGATCCAAAGGCTCGATCGAAACTTGCGCACAATGCCACCATTCATTGGGAACCCCGTGACGCACCGGCTGCAATATCGTCTAAGAACCTAAATCCGCCAACCTGTGCTCGACAGCCTTGAAGACGCCCGACTCGAGCCACATGGTGAGGTCGTACGCTTCTTGGTCTTTCACCACAGTCTCATCAGTGTCGGCGTCTCGCGTCGCAGCATCTAGCTGATAGATCTTCATGCCCGCTGGGTTGACAACACAGGCGATTGTCGTGTGGTTTGCAAAGGGAGGTAGGTGCAGGTTCCTCTACTAGCATAAATTGGGGAGTGCATCGCTTCACGGCGGTTGGAAGAAGCACAGGCATCGCTGGAGGCTAAGCTGCAAGAGGCGTGCTGCGAGCAGGAGAGCGCATCCGGCTAAGAAAATATTTCAGCCCATCAGTGTAGGCACAACGGCGGGTTGTGGGGAAATACTACGTGATATTTCGTGGGGTAACGTCATATGTCATTGAGGTGCCCCTGAGTATGTAGGTCGCGACCAACAAGCAAGCAGTTGAAGTAGACACCCGCCCTCTGTCCAGCTATCCGAGGGCCCTGGCTTACCGTAGGTCCGCTCCTGGAAGCACTTGGCGGGGAAAATGCCGCGAAGATGGCAAACAGTGCTGATGGACACCCGGATGAGGTTCTTGACCAGGGTTAGAGACTGGGTCTCCGTCACCTGATTCGTTCCCACGGAACCGCCATGGGGAGGGGATTAGAGGCAGAATGTTTGAAATTATGACCAGCACTATGGCGAAGGCGGGGGGAAATGACATGCCGAAGAAGAGTATCCGGAGCCCCAAGTTGAGGGGAAAGTACGACTGTTTGGGGGGGGGGGGACAACCTGTTAGTCGTCAAGCAAAGTATCGACATCGGAAAGCTGTCAAAACTTCAAGGATCTGACGAGCATCGACACCTGCAGCAGGAGTGAATTTCACATTGCCCGCGTATCTACGGGCTAGTGAATGTTGAGAGAATTGCAGGCCTCTTACAGCAGGAGTGAGACTCCCCTACCTGCATTTTGACGTTAGGATCGTCGTCGTTAGTGGGATCACATGGCATTGCCAAGAACAATATTCCAATACCGCTTTTCACTGGACCACCACGAGCTGAAAAGAGATTGTCTGACGTTTGACGCCATGTCATGAAGCAAGTTTACACCGGAATGGATTATCCCATGAGAGGATTCGTGAACTCCAAGTGGTGACCGAGGGTGGATTTAGATATACATGTATGAAGATTTAGACGGTGGTTCGCACGCTCATGCAGGAAAAACATGGGAATGGTGATAGCAAGAGCTTGAAAAATATGAAACGTGCGCGAGCAACGAGCGTGACGGGTAGAGGCGACACTACTACACTACTCGAAGCAGACGCCGTCACCGCCATGCAACGATCGCTTCGGAATTTATTCACATGATGTGTGCTCGCTCGGCCCACTTCCAGCCGCAGGAGGGCGATGGTGAACATGCGGCGAGAGTGGTACCCGTATCATCAATCTAGTGCCGACAGTAGTCCGGTCCGCGGGATGACATGACGGCGATCTCGGAAGACCCACAACCGCTGTCGGGACCTTTCAATTTGCCTCTTTTCGGCCACATGGTCACTCGATCACGCGCCTCCTTGCGAGAAGTGATACGTGAAAGAAAGAAGATCGTGTTATGAACTCTACTCTGCCGACTGTGAGATCTGTCTTTGTCATGTGAGCGTGAGCATACACCCTGGCCAAGGACGAAACTTCGAAGATGGCCTGAATGCCCTGGATGTATGTATGACGCACCCAGTGAGAGTGAAATCCCTGAAAACGAAAGCCTGTGAGGGATCGTCGCATGCAAGCACGAACCACGCGTAGGTATCTCGAGATGTAGACGTTCATTGGCGCGTTGAGTTCTTCAGACATTGTAAGGTCTGTTGCTGTTCCGGTCAGTGTGAGTCGTTCGTTTGCTGATGTGGCTACCTGTCATTCCCGCCACCAGAGAGAGACAGAGAGAGAATGAGAGACAGTGAGGGAGAGCGAGAGAGAGAGAGAGAGAGAGAGAGAGAGAGAGAGAGAGAGAGAGAGAGACAGACAGACAGACTCCAAGGAGCACGAGAATATGCATGCGCTAGCCTTTCCTTTCCATGGATTATCTTGAGTCACCTGAGCTTGTAGCTCCTTCTGGGCTTGCTGTGCTGATCTCGTGCGTGAAGCCTGTGGCTGCTGGGCGTTGCCCGCCTGCTGGATAATTGCCATGTTTGTTGAATTGTTGGTCTTGCTCCTGGCCTTTGCGCCAGTCATCCCGAACCGACTGAAACTTAAAGCAAACAAGGTGGTTCAGGCAGGTGGTAGAAAGCTGCTGTCGTGACAATTTAGCGGTACAACACAGCAGGGCATGGAGGGGAAGAGTGAACAGTGAGTGAAGTCAGTGAGTCTTGTAGCAGGAACGACCATTATAAGACGGCCTCTCTGCGTTTGTAGGCATGTGAGGGGCGCCGTGCTCTATGCAGCAGTTGTGCAGCAGTAACAATTGTAGTTTCCTTCATAATATACGTATCAAAAACTGACCTGATCGCTCAGTGCGACTCACTCCGTTGTTGTTCTACAGCCAACTCTAAAGTCTTACAGTGATAGGACCGCGTGCGTTTGAACAGATTTATTAGGGCGCGATTCTCCTATGACTCGCCACAAACGTATCGTATGTGGTGATTTATTTTCAAAGCAGTTCTCTATGCCCCCCTTTCCTCAGACATAGCATATCCCAGGTGGGGTATTGATGCTAGGGAACACAGCCTTTGGCGGTGTGCGATTTGGTAGCAGCACCGCTCTCCCGGCACAGAAAACGCGGGTGAATATATCTCACCATATGTGTTGACCAGGTAGAGGAAAAATGCCATAAACTTCCTTGGCTTTGAAGCGATGGCCACACATGCACGTGATCTGGTCTCCTACCCATACGCTCCGGCACGAGAGCGGGCCCTCCTCTGTTTGAAAGAGATGTCTGAGGCGGCCCGCTCCTGATATCACTCAACAGCAGTTATGATGAAAGTTCTCGAAATCACACGATAGGCGCAAAAGCACAGCGAGCCGTGTTTCATTGCGGTCGAAGACGGTTCACCTTACCTCGTGGTAGATATGCCCTTGCACCGCGCGTTGCTTCTCGACCGCACCAAAGACTTTGGTGTACGTCCCGAAGATGTGGTGTGCTTCTGTCGTGCGCGCGCGGCACCAAGTTGGGCCACAACATTTGGAAATCCCGGTAAAGAGGGTATGTGGAGTTCTACGGGCTGCGGGCCCCCCTCAGAAATGACAGTCCCGTGATTCCCGTGTTGCACACCACACATCAGCATCAGCTGATCAGCATCGTCCAGGGTTGCCGCAGAGCGAGTCCTACATGGACGAACTGGTAAGCCCTCACTGCTAGATAGCACGTGGTTCTTGGCTTGCCTTACATGTAGCCAGTTCATCATGGTCTCCTTTCGAAGGATGAATGCCTACCGTGTTTTGCAACTCATCCTCTTGCATACGTAAGCAAACTGGTCCTAAAATGTAACGTTCCCGTTGTCGCCTGAAGGTGTCACGAGTCACGGGTCCTGCTTTCAGTGCTGAAAACGTCGTGGCTGGTAGTCATCCCGTGCTGCTGATCATGATTTTTTTGCCGTTTGCTGCTGATGAGTCTGTCCCTTGGCCTGGCCCGCTCCTGTAGCCTCTGCATCGCCGATGACTGCTGTGACATTAAGTGTCCGGGTTTCAAACCCTCACTTTCCCCATCCCACCGCAATTGTTGATCAGCGGTGCCCTGTTGGTGTCCTCCAGCTCTTGGATGCAATAGAGCCTCCCGCTTGTCTCACGCCGCGGATTCGGCTTGAGCTAGGTCTGTTGCCTGGCGATGAGGAAGGCGTCGACAGTCTGCACGCCGTGGCCGTCGCCAACCTTCGCCCGACTGCGAGCGATGCGGCCGTCACGTTGGGCATCAGGTGCCTCCTGGCCTTGGGAGAGCTCTGCCGAGAGCTGGAGTGTTCCGAGCGTCTTGGGTTGGTCGGTGGACATCAGAACATTATCCGCCTGATGACAGAGGGAAACACCGCCGGACACCCGCGCCGCCGCGCGTCGGGGGCGTCCACCAAGATTAAGCAGCAGCAGGAGCAGCGGTCGAGAACTGGCGATGTTGACCAAGCTGGGAGTCAGGGGAAGCCAGGTGTACATGACGCCGGCGCGCGCTGTGATAGCGAGAGGGGGCAAGAGGAAGACGACGATGAGGATGAGGATGAAGTGCAGTCCGCGGCCGCCTTTGTTGCAGCTCAGGTGGTGTCTTCCGGATCAGCTTTCCCCATGCGCCAGATGTTGGGCGGGGAGGGATCGTCGGGGCTCGGAAGGTTCCCGCTGCGGTACATTTTTGTCATCGACCACGCTGATAGGCTGCACGAAACCCGGCCATCTGGTGCTGTGGGCACTGCTGAAGGTGGGGATGTCGGCGCCAGGGAGGTGGGTGGAGACGGAGAACGAATTTCAGTTTTGGTCCGACCGGTGAAGCGGCGGCAGCACAGTCAGTTTGACGTCGGGTTCGTCATGTGGCCGGCCGCAATCATCCTCTCTCGGCTCCTGTGCCGAAACCCTAGCTTAGTCCGTGGTCGGCGCGTGCTCGAGATCGGGGCCGGTCTTGGCTTGGCTGGGCTCGTGGCCGCACGCATCCAGCAGGCGCCCTCCTCGGCGTCGAACACCTCGTTGGCGGGGCTTCCTTGCTCTAGCCGCGGAACTGTCGTGGGCAGCCGTAGCGATGTAGCCGCTGCAGCATCGGTAACCCTGAGCGATTTCAACCCCCTAGTTTTGAGGGCACTGGAGGCTAACGTGGCTCTCAACTCGCCTGATTGCGGTATGGCGGCGGACGGGGGGGTGTCTTGCGGTGTTCGGCGGGATGCCTCGAACTGCGACGAAGAGAATGGTAGCGTGCGGGCCAAACATGATCGAAGGGGAGAGGCGAAAGAGGCAACCGTCGAACATGGAACGGTGCACGTGCGACACCTCGACTGGGACAAGCTAGAGGGCGTGCCGGGGGTCGGCGCGGACAGCTGCCGGTCGTGCACTGTTGTTGAACTTGGGGGTGGCCGTACTCAAGCCGCTGAGTCCCAGCCTAGAGACGATGCCGACAGCGGCAGTTTTGACGACAGCGAGCCCAGCAGTTACGCCGCGGAGTCGTGCTTCCCGAGGGACGGTTGTGTAAATGGGGTGTCGCGAGGAGGCGAAGACAGTGGGGTTAAGGGCATTGAGCATGGGGAGCGGTTCGACGTCATCATTGCCTCGGATCACATCTGCCAGGTGAGCATGTGTTACTTTTAGACTTGCCATGGTTCGTACCGCGTTTACTTGATTAAGAAGCTGTTTTGGTTGACCGAACGGAGCTCGACGCAACAGACGCCGTTTTAAGCAGCACCAAGCTCATTGTGTTACGCTGCTTCAGTTGTCGTGGTCAAATTCTTCTATTGACCGCTGCGCGCCTCACGCTGTCACCGTAAGCATTGTGCCTTCCTTGCCCTAGGTACGCAGAGTTCCTTTTGGAATATCACCACCGTTGTGCAGCAGAATGTCGACCCCTGGGATTTGTGTCTTGTTGTTATTGGAAGTCCGTACCCTACAACAGCGTGACCCGGCCACGCTGATCCCCCGCGACGCAAGGCGCCATGGGTTGCAAATGATTTTGGGTGTATGGCGATCGTATTGAATCGAACCTAACGACTGAAGCAAATATGGTGCGATTTTGTCCAGCGCTCCATCACACGTGAGGTGTGTAAGTTCCACTCTATGCTCGACCACATCTCTCTCAGCATCGTGTCACCCGTCCCCGCCCGATCTTCGCCCGCTCCTGGTTCGTGCTCTCAGGCATCGGACGCGGAGGGCACTATTCGCGTCCTCCGAGCGATGCTCGCCGAGGCTCCGGGACCCACAGCAACACCGCCTACAGCAGCCCCAACAACACCACCACCACCGGCAACAAGGGGGCAGGCGCACTTCGTCGTGGCTCACCCGCGCACCCGCTGGGGCGTCGACGCCCTCGTGCCTCTCCTTCGAGAAGCCCCGGGGCTGGACTTCACGTGCGAGGAAGTCACCGATCCTGACCTCGTGGGTGGGCTAGACGAGGCGGCGTACTTGGCTTGGCTGCACGTACACGTGTGGACGGTCAGCGAGCGGGCGGTAGAGCCCGCAGCTGCTGCGGCTGCTGGAGCTCTGCTGGTTGCGGGGTAACGCTGAGGGTTAGTGCTTGTGTGGCGGGAACGATCAGGTTGGCAGGAGTGTAATGCGCCCCCGTTCCTTGGAATCCGTGCTCGTGTCAATTTGGGGTGCAGGCGGCTTAATAGCGATAGGGTAAGCTCTGGGACAAATTTTGACGGAACAGCAGAACTTGACACTATCAAAGACCGAAATCGACCGGAACTATTTCCGGTGGTCAAAGAGGCTCTCGGAATTTTGGTGTGGGTTTTGCGTGGATTCTGGAGTTGGTAGGGACGTTCATTGTGATGGCGTCAACGAACTCTGGTAGCTTTTGGCTGCGGTGCTCTATTGAACGAACTATGCTCCGTCGGCTGGAGGGCGGGGTAAAGGGGAAAGAGTGTTTGTTTTGATTTACGTGCATGGAACATGCCGTCGCCTTGTGGAGCATGTTGTTACAGAAGGGTTGCCGCCTCACGGCTCACCTCGGCAATGCTTAGGAACGAGTGCGAGTGTATCCCTATTTTGGGCTAAGTATATTCGAGCTGGTGTGGAAGGTTTGATGTGGTTTTCTCTGTATTTTTTTTTTGGGCCCGTTGTGTTGCGATAGAGCTTGCTCCTGTGTACTCTTGTGATATCGGGGCGATGTTTATCTTCCTTCCGCAAGTAGGTCCCATGCGACCCTATTGGAACTGGTGTTTTATAATTTTCCGTGATGGTAGCAACCAGACTTGGCTGCTTCTTTTGGAATGTCGTCGGCGGGAGCCAGAGATAGATGTGGGCAGTCTGTCACGGCAGACCGTGGGCCCAAAGTAAAACGATTTTGTCTGACGGGTTTCTCGGGCAACGCCGAAAGTGCGTAGCATTGTCGGGTTCACTAGTGAACACCAGCGACACGAGAGCTCCCTTCTTTTTCCGTGTGCTGTAAGCTCAAATTGATCTGTTTGCATATGTCGGGTTTGTCGCGTTCGTTTACCGAGAGAATCTGGTCAAGAGGAAGGAGGAGAGAGGGGAGGCATGGTCCCTGTGCCTTCGGAGACGAAAATGCAAGCAGCAAGGAGCCTTGTTCAGGCCATCCATCATGGGGTGTTTGAGCGGCGTGGTTGACATATTTGGCGTCGGTGCGACCCATTACAGTAGCGTCTTCGACCCGTTTGTTTTGTTGGCGAAAACGTTTTGGCTTGATACCACCCCATGGCTCTTCCCACCCGAGTTGGAACGGGTGGACGACAGCCCTTTTACTTGAGCATCGGCCCTTTTTTTTCCATGTGGGTGATATCCAGAGGGGCAGCCGCGTTGCGTAAGGCGCCTCAATTTCATACACGTCGAGGGATATTCTGACACGGGTTGTCTTCGTCGATTATCTGGTCTACCGCCTGGTTCGTTCCTCAGAACTGATCATATATGTTCTTCATCGGGTCCATCGAGTGCGTTGCTGCAGCGGCGCAGGCTAAGGCTTGGCAGCATTCCGCTGAGTAAGGTTTGGGTGCAATTTGGCTCACGATAGTTTGTCCACGCCTGCCTCGCGTTTTCGGTGCCGAATTTTCCTGCAGTTGTATGCAGGGGGTGTGTGAAAGTTGGAGTAGAGGGTATGATATGACTTGGGGTTTTCTGTGTAAGAGTGTTGCGGATCGCGATCTCTTCTTGAAACAGCGAAATAATCGAACGCTCCGTTCACAGGTGGAATTGCATTTATTACTAGGGCAGCACTCTTGAAACAAACAGCAGTCGATCCCGACGAGGCAGTGCTACCGCTGAGCATGCCCCTATGAGAGCATCCCACCCGTTGGTCGCGGTGAGCGTTCTTTTCTGGCACGCTTTGTTTTTTTTTTCGCGCCGCGCCAACTGCTGAAACAATGTCTTCGTCAGCCAGCTGAAAAGGACGCACGGGCACTACCTTTCAACAGCATGAACCGGTCGCCTCACGGCTAAAAAAAACGCAAACATTTGTAATTACGAGAAAAAACGTCACACGCCCGACGCTTGGAAAAACGGGTGGGATCCCTTTTTTGCCTGTAACAGTTGTTCTCGAGGCTCACTTGAATGGTACTGTTCCCTTCGTGTCTTGTGGAGGCAAAACGCCGATGCGGCAAATACCACATTCCGAGCAGTTTGACTCGGGCGGGTTGCTGCCAAAAAACCAAACGCACGCGAAATGACAGCAGTTTGAAAACGATTATGTGTCGTACTACTGCAGGGTCTGTCTGTGTCTGGTACACTGCGAGGCTAACGTCACGGACTGGATCAGAGAAAAAGAAAACGTACGAATTGCTCTCGTCATCAGGGTCTCTAGTCTGGCAAACTCGCTGGTACCCGCCGCACTCTCGAAAAGAAAATTGACAGCCAAACTGAACTCTGAAAAATAATACCACATTCACGTGCGAGGCAAACAAAGAGCCAGCATCATGCTCTCCGCGACGACAATACGCACGGAATTATGGAGGGTGCTTTCTTCTTGCTTCTCAGCTTGGGTTGATGCAAATACACACAAAAAAAACAGCAGCGGTATTTGTCGGCGTTTTTGATGTTTCTCACTTCCGGAAGAAACCTCCGGCGGTCAAATCAAGCACGTTTCTCTGAGAGGCTTCCTCTGCTCGTCGGACTTCACAGCCATAATACTACCAGAACACAGAACATGGAAGTGCACGTCATATCTCCGCCTCCCCGAGAGATCCCTCGTCGCAAGCAAGCACCATAGTTCGTCTACGACACGCGCCTCCTAATGAGCGGAGGGCCGGCAACCCTGCCAGTGGGGTTCAAGTATCCGCCTCCCCTCTCCCTCATGACCTTTTTCATCATTCTTATCATCACCCCATGACGGACATCCGAAACGGGTACCCCAAGCCAAAGCCGGCCATCTCTTCAACACTCACTTTCACAACAAACGCACACCCCTACGACAGAGGGGGGAAAGCACCCGAGGACAGGACGAAAGGAAATGGATGGCGACCGTCCAGAGGCCGAGATCGACAACACCAACAGCACCACCGTTACCGTTGTCAGCGGAGAATATGCTGCCGTCGAGGCACACCCCCTGGGGGGCAACAACGGGCAAGTACCACGCTCGGCGCTTCCTCCGCAACAGACTAAGACACATGATCTTCAACATTCATACCAACACAACAAAACGGTTGTAGGGGTGAAGCTCCTGGGGCGCGTTTTTGGCGTCTTGAAAATCGGAGCTTCTCCGGGGGTAGTCTACTAACGGTGGTGCTACCTTCTACGTCATCTGTCATCGTCCATGGCGTCATCGTTGTCGTGTTTGTCGTTGCTGCCGTCTTCTCCACCCCCGGGCAGACGCCACGAGCAGATTCTAGCATCCTCGCCGCCGGTGGCCATCGCCCGTCCCATCCACTGGAAGGTGCGGATCTGCTCCGCGTGGCCCCCTTCCAAAACGGCGTCCGGAGTGATACCTGGGAGGAAAGAGTATTTGTTGTGAAACAAGTGTTGGAACCCGGGGGGGGGGGGTAACATGTGGTGAGCGCAAGTTGATCATGTTCCACAACAACAACTGGGGCGGGGGCTCTAAAAACTCGGAATCGAGGGGGTCTACCTTGACAGAAGGTGAGTTTCTCTATCCATCCTTCTGGGGGCTGGCGGTTCGCCTTTTTTACTGCTGCCAACTCGTGATATGACGCATGTCAAAGTGTGTGTGCTGTCCAATGTTTGCTGAAAGGCCTCAGCGAAACAACAACACCAACGAATATTAGCTGTGTAGTCTAGAAACGAAAACAGAGCCGGTTCAAGATGTAGTAGTGGACCATGCTTACCGTGCGTTCCGTACTTACCTTGCTTCTTACAACGGCGTCCGGAGAGAATAAAAACAACAACGACCACAACAACAGCAGCAGTACGAATTGGCGATGATAAATCCAACTCAATACCAACTCAACGCCCATAACAGCTGCGCCGAACAACTCTAGAACAGCTGTATCATTTTCCGGGGGGGGTGGCACAAAGCTTCGGCAGAGATGGCTGTGTTCACAACACAATAAAACAAAGGCCCTTTGTGAAAGAGTCTGCTCCGGTTCAGATTTACTTCGATATTTCGATGCTTGAGCGAGGAAAATGCTCTACAGCAGTAGCCGTCAATCACACACGGTAAGAAAAGTCACAATGCCGTAAGTTTGCGAGTCAGCGCACAGGGGTGCGACCAATTTTCAAAGCGCAATTTCTCCACAACCAGCAGGTTACCACTGTCGAAAAGGGCGGTTTGGGGAATGTCTCATCGTGAGCTTTCGTGAGAAGTATCAGTTGGCGCTCGCACCTTCCTGGTTGTGGAGAAATTACGCTTTGAAAATCGATCGCACCCCTGTGCGCTGACTCGCAACCTTACGGTAATACCAACAAACCAGACATGCGATTCGGCCTGAAGTGCGTGCCACTTAGAACCATAGCAAGAACAGAAAAACTTACCTCAGCCCTACTGTTTGCCCCGATCACAACCCTATCCCTGCCCTTGGACTGCCTCTGCCCCGTCCCTGCACACACCGTAACTTGACCCGAACAAGAAACCGTACCTTCTGCAGACACAGTCGCCAGGCACGCTCCGCCTGCGTAACTGCTTGTCACTAGCCGCAGGCGATCAGCTGCTGCGTCGTACTGAAAACATCGCGAAGGAAGACGCATGCAATGCGAATGCGAACAATGGGGGCCAAGGAACGGTTTTGTCTCATCTTCAGCAGTGGGTAAAGCATGCGGTCTGTCGCACGCGCAAAAAAAACAAGCGTCCACAAGAACTGGAAACTGACGACTGTCAATGCTAGCGGGCTAGCGCTTTCATCTATACCGCCGCTGTGAGATAGTCCCTCGGAATGCATGTCGAAGCTTTGCATGTCGTGAACGTTGCGGCAGCAGCCATCTGACAAGAAAACACCAAAAACAACACCATGACATTTCGTTATTTCCCCGACGTAGTTGTCATTGTTAGATATGTGCACCAATTGTTGGTAATATTGTTGGCCTGCGACCACGGAAGGCGTCCGCTCCAGTTGGACCGGCACTGATGGTGGACGGTACTGAACAGAAAATAGACAACTAACAACACGACATATATCCTGTGTTGTTCCAGCACAGGTTGGCAAAAAATCTGAGCCACCACCACGAGCACTACAGAGGCCAGAATACCGACGACTAGCATGGCCCGCAGGCCTCCACAGGTGTACCAGGCCCCTGGATGAAACAGGTGGCCACAATCACACACCTGCCGCGAATTCACTCGGCACAATGCGCTCTTACCCTTCCACAAAAAATCGGTGCACATCTTTTCACCTGACAGTCCACTATGCAGTCCACCGCAACACCCCAATCCTCGCCCGCCGCGGCCGCCGCCGCAGCCCGTGCTGCCGCTGCTACTCCTCCGCCCTCCCGGGGAGCAGCAGCAGCAGTAGCACCGTCGCCAGCACCAACGTCGGCGTCAGCAAGATTTTCTCCCCTCGCCAACGCACGGACGTCGCCGAAGTCCTTTATCCTCTGCGCTCCTGCGGCGTGCCAGAGAGACAGGGTCTCCGTGTTGGTGCAGCAGTATACCCCCTCTCCCTCCGGGCCGAAGAAACCCACGCTGCGCACGGGGCACTCCGCGTTCATGACCGAGTCGAGCGCCTGCAAGCACCGCAACGAGAAGGTTAACAGACGGGACCGACAAGCGCCCTCTCAGTGTTGGAGCCTTAGGACGGGGGATCTGCTGCCGCAGTGGGGAATGTCGTATCTTGACGGTGGCTGAGTCTCCGGGTGGAAGCCTGACGAAGCTGTCAAGGATGATCTTGGTGGTACAGTTTGGGTGGGGTCCGAAGAAAATCGACAACATCTGGGGCAGTGCGCTCGCCTGCATCGTGGTTTCTAGTCGGCGTGGGCGCCTAGCACGGCGTCGGTGCTTCGCCTGGCGTTGGCCGACGACTAAAGCGAAAAAAAAAAAAACTCCTGCTTTCATAAATACGCCGGAGAAGTGTGCTCACATCCTCTTCGAGCGAGACCTCGGTGTCGAAGAAGCACATGAGCCCGTCCTCAGAGCCGGTGAGCATGAAGGAGCGCTTGTGAGGGTGGAACCGGACCTGGACGCGGTGACGGCAACACGACAGGCAGCCAATACGAGAGAACACACGCCATGTCGCGGAGACCCCCTTTCGTTAAATGATGTGTGGTCGTAGTCTTTGCCGTCATCTTCGCGCGAGCAATCGGTCCTGCCTCGCCACCAAGCGCTCTCAAACCCTTACCGCAGTATCAACGGGCGAAAAAAATGAATTGTCCGCGGTGAAGGACAAGGTGGGCGGCCAACACGCACCATGGTGTTCTTGTGTATCAAGTGCAAGACGCGACCCACCACGCTTTGACACCGCCGTAGCCCGAGCAGGCGTGCGTCATGACCGAAACATTGTCTTCTTCTAAATTCCCCGGCAAGGAAAACTGAGAAAAAATCGTCAATATGTTATTACCTGAGTTACTGCGTCCGTGTGGCACTCCGAGTACGACCCTAGTGGCTTCCCTGCCTTTCGCAAGTCGTAGAACTCGATCAAACAGTCTTTGCCAGTGGCGCACAATCGACCGTCGTATCCCAGCTGGTGGGACAATGTTTGTGTCCGACAGCGATGCGGGAAGGAAGCGAAAGCGAACGGTGAAAATGGAGCAGGAACCCGAAAGAACAACCAGCTAGACTTTAGGATGGTAGCACGCAAGGGCGGTCGGAATGGTGGAGCAATAATGACCGTGTGCCGAATAAAAATACAGCAAGAAACGCAATAAATGTTGAGTGTGTACTGCTAACTGGCCTGCCGTGACACCGCCGCCCGAGGGATAGCACTCTGCCCTAGCACCGGTCTGTGGCAGGGTGCAGCCTACAGATATACTGTTGTGCCTCGCTGAGAAACTGGTTGAATTTACGTCTTCCTCTCCCGTTTTTCAGCCGGCTATCGCGGTTGACGCAACGTGTTGCCGACAACATTAACCTATAAGGCAAGGGGAACTCGCTCCGGCACGTGGCAATCGAAATCCACAACATCATCTCTCTACAATTCCGCTTGCCATCTCCGTCGCCGAACCCAACCCCAGTTTCGTACGAGTAAGGTTGGGGTTGGAACTGAGATGGGATCTACTGTTGCTGTGTGGCCGTTCTCGGTACTTGTGCGCGAGGTCTCACCGCCATGCTGTAGATCTCCTCTTCCTCTCCCGACTCCCCCAGGGTGATTGTCGTCGCGAGCGATCGAGTGTCCCATCCCCTGCAAGACAAAATAAACCAAATTAGCACAGGACACTGGTTGCGAGTTGTAATAAAGTCGTAATCTCATACATGCGACAACCGATGGACCTATTTACATACGAAGTACATGTATAACAGCTGAGTTCCCTTGTAAAAGGGCCTTCATTGCACACACTGCACAGGATGTGTGCCTGTGTACAGTAGGTTGTAGCATACCAGCGGCACTCCCGGGTACCATACAATTGTATTGCCTACTAGCAACACCAAAATGACACGAACTTATGCAGTACTAACCCCACTACACACGCCCGGCAAAGACCAAGAGACTGCAAAGTGTGAGCTATGCAACCGCCCAGCTGTGTGGGGTGGGCAGCTCGGACCTCTCGGAAACTCCGCTGCTGCCACACATGCAAACCTGACAGTCCCGTCCTCCGATGCCGAAAAAAAGGAGCTCGGGTCGGATGGAGCGAACGCCAGCTGCGTAAGGGGGCCCGTGTGGCCCTTCACCTTCCCTGCTAGGGCCATCGTTTCCACCGAATAGAGGTTAACCTCGAGGGACGAAAGCGCTGCCGCTAGCTGCTTGTTGTCGCAGCTCATCTCCAGCTGTGTTACGTATTCGAGCCTCGGCCCATCGTCGTCGTCGCTTTCGCTGATATTCTCGCTCTGCCGTGCGTCTGCTGCGGCAGTGGGCTCGGCGGCGACGATGGTCTTGATGAGCTCACCCCGAGGAAGAATCGTACCAGTGTCGACATCCATCTTCGCCACGCTGGCAATCACTTGCTTCTGTAGTCGATAGCTCTGCTGTACAAGTACAAAGCACACGGGGGATTGTTGGAGGTGTGCGGTTGGCTTGTTGGCTTCGATAAGGTACAGGGATCAACGCGCCGCGTTCGAGATGCTTGTACCCTATTTTGTTGTCAGTTTTTCGCAAACGAACCTTGAACCTAACCTTCGTATGTACATTGGTTCAGACGCGTCCCATAAAGCACCCACTTAGGATGCCATGAACAAAGAGGGGCCGCCGGGTGGAACTTCTCCTTGTGGCACAGCAGGACGGTAGAGGAGTGGCGGGGAAGGGCGGCCCAGCAAACCTCTTTCCCCAACGTTGCCGCGTTGTTCCTGTAGATTCTAGCAGCACGAGAGCCGGCAAAAAACTTACACGCCGATGAAGCGCCGCCGTGGCTGGCCAACTGGTCAGCTTACTTTCATCGCCCTGCTGGGGTTGGGCGCTCTGCTCGCACACCTCGTAGACGGCTACGCGTGGTGTCAAGAATACTGGAACTGGGATGGAAAGGTGTGTGTGTACTGTACACTCGCCAGTTTCTTTCGCGTCGGCAAGCAGTCTCTGCTGGTTTGAAGGTCTGTTACGGTTGTCATCCCTGGGCGTGCAACCGGGAGCACGCAAGGGGAGGGGCATCGTGGCCCCAAGCACGTAGTGGGAGGAGTATCGCGTACTCTGCATATTTGGCAACGGTTGCAGTGCAAGCATTTTTTCCTTTCCTAAGCTTCTCGGTGTTGCAGCTCCCTCAACCCCCGACGTTGCGCCATCAAGTTGCGCCGCATCTGCATGACGCGAAGAGCTCTGCTCCGCGGGGAACGCCAACGCACGCAGCCTCTTTTGTGTTCTCATCAGCTGAGAGAGGCAGCGCTATTATATCGGTATGGAAAGTGTGGCGAAAATGTTGGATTGTCTCCCCTTACACGTATCCCTCGCAAATTAGCATCGGGCTCAAGCACGGTTCCGGCTGCATGGGCACCAAACACTTTTCGGAGACTCCTGGAGGTACATCACAGAGAGGCTTCCACCTCGGGGCTGTAGACTCTCGCACAGCCCTTTCTGTTCAATATTTCGAAAAAACATTCGTGTTTCAATCTCCCTCTCCTTTGAAGCACCTTTCAACACATCAGTGGTTACACTCCTCCAGCGCCGATTTCGAAGGTGAGGTTTGGTGGGATATCATTTCCGGTGCGGCTATTGAGGCTACAGTTAGCGCCCGCAACTAAGAAATATTTTTTAAAGAAATTCAGGCTCACTTTTCCACGTAAAATAAGAAAATAGGCAAGAAACATACTTGTAGCTCAATCTGGGTCTCCCAATAAGAAATGTCTCAATAAGAAACAGCGGCGACCGCTGCCCTACTACATAAGAAACGAGGGGTTACGGGGGAGTGTGTCGAATACGAAACACCCCACAGCTCCTCCTATCTCTCGCTTTTTTCCCCCTCTCCCACTACCCCCCCCCCCCTCCCATAGTGCATTATTAGTTGTACGACGAGGGGGAAGTGTGTTTTTTTTTGCGGCGCCCCCTCCGGCCCCCTGCCGGCTCTGGCGCTCTCTGGCGCTCCGGCTCTGGCACAGCACACCAAACAGGCTGCGAACAACGATATGCTGTCTGCTGTACGGTGTCGATGGTGCTCTCCGCCAGCTCTCGTGAGGGTGAAGCATTTGTTTAATTTGAACGTAAGCAGTAAGCAAGCAGAGAAAATAAGAAATTGCCGATTTAAGAAATTCAGCAGCATTTGGCGGCACGAAATAGTAAGAAACTTGACAGGAGAAATTGGACGGCATACGCTGAGATTATAGCCCACAATAAGAATTCGAGACTGGACCTGAAATAAGCGTTCTTTAATTCGGGCGCTCACTTTATCGGGTATGTTTGCCGACAACAGCAAGTTAGTATCCAACTCTGGTAGTGACAAACTATTTTCTAGGTCAAGAGAGGGTACACACACGCTTCCAAGGGTTGGTTAAGGGATGAGGCAGGTGCACATCTATTACGTGGACGCCGTGACCGTTGGCATGCCTATTTTTGCACTCTTCGGTGGCGCGGTTCCCAACGACTGCAGTACTGCTGGCGTTCGCTTGTGTCTGCTCGTTCTCGACAGCGGCACTCAAGCACGGACGGGAGGCGGTGGCCCGCCAACGACGGGGTGGTAATCACGTACATCAATGGAATATTTCATTCCGTGCCTGAGTGGGAGAGCATCACGCAACAGCTGCAGGCTCTCTTCGGGCACGAGGTAGGGACGTCTGTCGTTGCCGTTGCCGCTGCCTGCTGCGGCTGCCGCTGTTTGCTGGTGAAACTGTCGTTGTGTGGCTGTTTTCTGTGCAGTCCAAACTACCCAGCTACTCTAACCCGCACTCTTTCAGAGCATAATGACCGTTCTGCGAAACCGTCATCCGTGGTGTATATCCCCTCGACTCCAACTCGAACGGTGCGGCACGATTAACCAAGTCCCTGTCTCCCAACCCTTCGAAAAGGTGCGGTCGTTCTACAACCCTTCATCCGGTTGGTGGATCACAGATGCCTCCAAGGCTGGCTACCACATGCTCAGAAAGCCTGCCAACCACACCATCGCACAGGGTGAGCTTCCAATGAACCCCAGCGCGGCCCCATCATCCATGAAACTTGGCATCGATGTTCCTCTGTCAGTTCACACGCCTCTGCCCTTTGCACAACTTGCTGTAGTTGTCTTGACGTGCCGCAGCACTCTGGCTGCAGCGATGAAAAAGTGACGAGGTTCGTTGTTGCAGGCACGATCGAACGATGAGTACATGCCGAAAAGAAGCTACCTAGCCCAAGCCCTGCAGGGGATGCGGTAGAGACAATGAGAACCGTTCGCATGTGATGGTCATGGCAAGTTAGTAACCAATTCTTCGTTCACGCTGTTGTCGTGCTGCAGCATTGGGAGATCACCTCGCCCAAGCGGTGGAGGACGTGGGGAGGGGGCGTGTCTTGCACATCGCGCACAGCGGCGGTGCTCTCATCACCTACCTAGCGGCGCAGCACCACCTCACCCGGAGGTATACAACTCTCGGTCGATGCTTCAGCTCACCAAGGCAGTCAGTCAGTCCACTGCAGCGAGTGTCTCCGCTTGCGGCGAAGGAAGCCTGTGTCCTGTGGAATGTCATGCCGGCACCCTCTTTCCGATAGTCTTGTTCTCGACATCCTCTCTATTTGACGGAGATATCTGGTTTGGTTCGGTGCACATCACCCCCACCCACCTCACTCTCCCTCCCTTCCCTCGTGGAAGCTGGTGTTGAAATGCAATACGTTGCACGCTTTGCTGTGGTTTTGTGTCTGGGTGTTCCGTGCTGAGTTCCCGAGCCGAGGTTCACTTCACGAAGGTTTTCATCGAAGCCTTTATTTGCAACTTTCTAGAAAGAGCGCCCTGTGATCCTAAATTGTCGGGCGTACAGCCTGGTGTCGACGATACAACTATATTTTTTGTGAAACCGTGAAAGCTGGCTTCACAGGCTTGAAGTGTTTCACGGATATCGTTTTTCGACGGTCCATAACGTGGTGCAGCCATAGCTGGCTTCTTGCGATGGGATGAGGTAGACGTACCTGGAGGCACTGCACAAGCACGAGACAGGGGCGTCTCGGCGTTTTCGAACATTCTAGATATGCATAGACGTGTGTACTTTACGTCAGCGTCGCCGAGGTTGTGTCTTTTGCTCGCGCTCGGTTGAACTGCAGTGTTCACTAGAGTGTTCCGACAACCTTACGGTATGACGCACACGTCGATTTTCGTTGGATTAGGCTTGCATGCTATTGCAAGGGTTGCCGGCTTTTTGTCACGCAGCCTTCTGTATGTCGATCCCGTCCCTTCTCGCCAGAAAAATATTTTTCACCCGGTGGTTGATGTACGAGATGGCGTTGTTCCTTCTTGTTCGCGAAGAAACCCGTCACAGTTACCATGGTGAAATTGGTGACATGCACTCTCTATTGTACGCTCGTAGGCGTGCGGCGTCGAGCAGCGCCAGATTCTCGGTCGTGGTCTTAAGGCCAAAGCCAGGGAGGTGATGCAGAAGTTGTCGCTTGAGCCCGGGTTTGTTTCTGCTCGTTTTCTTGCGCTTTCTTTTCGGGCAGTTACAGTCTCGCGTCGCCCGTCAACGAACACCGCTACTGCTGCTGCTGCTCTCTGGTGCCCCCCCCCCCCCATTACATGCGTACCTACAGGCAGCGGGACAAGATTGACGTGGTGACGTTCGGCGGTGCTCGGAGCATCACAAGAAAGTACTTCAGCGGGCGTGTGGGCGAGTGATTATGGACTCCTCATCTGCCAGTTCTGCTTTGTCCTCTTTCCTGCATCTATTTTTTTGTATTCCTTCCGAATCTTTTACGGGAATCTTGGGGGTGGGAACGGCGAACGCCGTTATTTCTGCACCCGACATGGAAAAACATCTTCTTTTTTTCCAATGAGAAAATCTGTCGGCTGTACGTCCAGCCGCACCCTCTTCACAAGTATTTATATTCTCGCCAGTACCGCGGTGGGTATTTTCCGAACGCATTTCTATTGTCCGACAACGTTTTTGGGGAGAGCACAATCATGGTTACTCTATGATCGACACAAAACTGGAATGAAAGTTTCTGTAAGCCGTACAAAAGCGCTCGGATACTTCGGCGTGCACGATTCTTGTTGTTGGACATTCTGTCAAGTGTCCAAGAGACCACATTCGTTTGCGAGAGATGAACGGCATATGTGTTTGCACAACATCACACAGTAGAGTGGCTCCTCCTTTGTTTTTGTCATCGATTCTTGGCTGCTCCCTAACCCCGGTGCTTCTCTTGCTGCTGCTCACGCACCGCCTGTTTGTTGGTGTTGTTTCCAGTAAACTACTACGCACGGAACGACCCGCTGGTGAAGCTGGATAGACGAGCGGCGGAGCTCATGAAACTCACCAACAACACCAAGTTTCAGGAGGTATGTACCATGTCATACCACGCCCTACCATGTGCCACCGCGTTCCGTGTTTTTTCACGAAGCCGCCGTTTCAGCAGTTCTCTTAATCTGGCCAGCACCGGGTTTTTATTGTTGATGGGGGTGAGTTCGTGGAAGATACTCTGCCGTCGCGTGGGCGCATTCTGTACAACGCAAATCCATGCTTGGGGTGTGGCAAGGACGGATGAACGCTTACGAGACCGACGGGGCTGTCTACGTGGAGAAATCAACGCTCGATTGATCGCTACCCTACCGCACGCCACGTGCACGAATTGTCAGGCTTTTCGTTTTGTCAAAATACCCAGTAACCTCAATGTGCTCGTGATGGGTCTGGGATCAAATACGACCTTCACGTGGGGTATTGCACATACTCCTTCACGAACACATACGATTTTTTGTTTTCTTGGCGCCCCATCGCCGGGAAGAACCATACGACAACATCGAGAGAGAGGTGAAATTCCATGACATACGTACTGTAGGTTGCATAAGATATCGCACCCCCGGGGTGTGTGATATGGGTGTGTGATATCTTATGCAACCTCCGGTACACCATCATCTTTGTGATTGTCCGTCCAGCGCCGCTTTTTTTTCCGTGCTTTTTTTCGGGCCTTGGTCTTGTATTTTGTGCCTGCTAGATTGTCGGGAAGTGAAACTCGACGATGTCAACTGCGATTCTTCCCAAGCCCTGTACGAAAACTCCCTTTTCTCTTTTTTTTCGCTTGTCGAGGGGGCCAGACGAACCAAAAATGGCATTTGGAAGGTGAGCGAGAGACCGCTTCGGGTATATTTAAGTCACCGAAACACGCCTCGCTTTTGTTCGCGTGGACGTTTCGCCTCGCGATTGAAACCGCCAGATCAACGAGAAGCACAACACGACCTTCGTCTTTCTGGAGGGCCGCGCGAGGCAGTTCGTGCTCGACCACTCTTTGGAGGGACCCACCTACCAGCATGCGTTGATGAAGGAAGCCAAAGGCAAGAAGAGAGAGAATCGTGGCGTACAGCGAACGGTTTGTTGGTTCTTCGGGTCTTGACAATGAAGAATAGGCCGGGGTCGAGAAGGAAATGCAGCTACTACTACCAAACCTTGGGTTTTCGTGCATCCGCGTGGGGCGTGGTTCTGATATCCAACTTGTTCCGCGTGGCGTGGTGATCGCCACGAGTGCTGTGATGTTATCGATTGAGGAAGTGAAGTACGACTCAGAAAGAGGGGGGACAGGGGTGAGTAAGTCGAGACCTGGCGAAATAAATGCAAGTGACGATGATGTCAGCGCCTCCGCCACGAAAATCAAAGCAGTTCCGCCCTCTGTGCCCGTCGTTCGCTGGGGTGAGTTGTGATCAAAACGGGTTTCATCCGATGTTCAGGATCTTGCAGAACAACAAGTAGAGGTTGAACCTGGGATACTAGTTGCCCGAGTCTGTGGTCCACTCGTGGGTGTCTTTTCGAGTCCGGGCCACGAACGTCGTGCGGCACAGTGTCTTGGAGGCGCACCGGGGCTTGCAGCTGTGTTTGGTTCTTCGCCTCCCATGTACTGTTCTCGCCGCCTTCTTTTGCGCTTTCACTGCGCCCCCGCTACCCCCCACCGTCACCCTAACCCTACCGTCATCCAACCGGCGTCCCATCCCCGACTTATCTCTTGTTGGCTCGACCCAAACCCCAGCCTTCCGCAGGGCGCACTTCGGCCCGCTGTCCCCGCTGTCGTGGGACTACGATCAGTCCATTCTCCGGCTGGTCCGCAAGAAGGTGGCGCAGCTGTCCGGATTGCACGACTTCTTCAGCACGGAGCGCTTCGGCCTGCGCTCCATCCGCAAGAGCGTCGCCCGCCTCACGGGTCTCCACGGATTTTTCAGCGGCAAGAATCCCGGCTCCAAGGGAGTGGCGGTCTCTGTGTTTGGAAGCGGGAAAGGGACGGCGGCAGCCGATGCTGAAGGTAGCGGGGTTTCGACAGGGGTCGCCAGTTGGTGGAAGCCTTGGGGACGAAGAAGCGACGACGGAAACGATATCGAGGACGTAGTGGTACCGGATGCTGCTGCTGCGGGCGCGGAGGGTGGTGCTCCTGGCGCAGGCGCTGGCGAGAGATTCTGGCTTGGGTTCCGGTGGTCTCGGCAGGGAAGAAAGGGGCAAAGCGGCGACGAAGCAGAAGAAGGGGCTGTACCCGCAGGGAGCGTCGTCGTCGACCTTGACGAGCGGTCTCAGATTTCGTTGGACACGGAGAACGGCCAAGCCCAGGAGCCACGGTCGACGAGCCGCTGGGCCCGGGTGCGAGGTGCTTGGGTGTTCGGCCGGGCGAAGGAGTCAAATGTCGCGGGGGAGCTAGCGGCGTCAGAGGACGGTGGGCTTAGCGACAGCAGTGTCGAGGCGGAGGAGGATAAGGAGGCTAGTGGTAAGGGTCGCCTTGATTCCTCAACGCTAGCGGAGAGCAACGACAGACCGTGGCTTTCGGTGGGGTGGACGCCGTGGGGAGGGAGGACGATGAAGCCACCGCCTGGAGAGGCAGGCGATGCTCCGGCATCTTCACCGGGGTCTGCGCCGGAGTCGCGGGTTGAGGAGGCCACGCTGTCTGCCGAGCACGGGGGGGCTGCTGCTGGAGAGGGAGAGACGGCGGCCACGTCGGCGGCTGCTACAAGTGGTGCCGCTGGTGTAGCCCCTGCTGTCGGCGAGGAAGCGGGCGGTTCTGCCGATGGCGCACGGATTGTGGAGGCGGGCTCCGCGGATGTGGCAGCGGAGGAGGACGAGAAGGCGCTACCTCCCCGCGACGACTCGTCGTATCTCCGGCGATGGTGGCCTAGCAGCAGCAGTAGTAGCAGCAGCAGCAGCAGCAGCAGCGGCGGCGGCGGCGGCGGCGGCATCGGTAACACGATCGGGGTACCGGGGGAGGCGGACGGGGGTGGTGATCAAGGTGGGGGCGAGTCCGTTGTCGCTGGTTCCGGCGAGGCGGCGAAGGCGGAGAAGGTGATCGTCGCGACAAGCCCCGGCGACGGCGGTGATGAGAGCCTGGAAGTGACGGATCGCGAGGCCGCTGAAGGCGGCGGCGAGCATTCCCCGGGGACCGGGGGAGAGCAGGCAGAGCGGCCGGACGGACCCGTCGTGGTCGAACAAGAGCAAGATGCCTCGCTGTCGCTGCTGAGGAGGTGGTGGCCAGTGTCGAAGCAGGAACCCACGTCCCCGGACGAAGCGCGCTTCGAGGAAGACAGCGTCGATGACGTCACCGCGGCCGAGAACGCTACTCGCGCAGAGGTTGGTCCGGAGGTGGGCGTTCTCTCCGCGGGGCTGGCCCACGCGTCGGCTGACGAGGGCGCGAGCGGGTCCCGGAAGTTGCCGGCAGAGCAACTGCCCGAGCTATTGCCAGCGCAGCCGGGGAGTGAGGACGAAGGAGTGAAAGAGCAGCAGCAGCAGCAGCAGCAGGAGGGGTCTTCTGCTTCGGCGATAAGGCCGCCACTGATGTCGCGTTTCTGGGACGTGTTTTTTAACCGTCCATTGGAGTTGCCGCTGCCGACGACGCAAGAAGAATCTGTGAATATTGATGTGTCTGCCGATGGTGACGGCAGCGATGCGCTTGCCACGGCGCGAGGTGGTCATGGTAACGATGTGGCTGCCGCAGAGAGCGCGGAGGGAGGAGCGGCGGGTGCGGAGGGGGTGGAAAGGGATGGCGACCAAGGGGAGTTAAAAGACGAAGAGGTTGTCGTGGCCGATGTCTTGCGGCCTGCTGACGGTGATATCCCACCACCGCCACCACGAATAGATGATTCGGCACCGACACCTCCATCTGTGGAGGAGGGCGCGGGGGATGAGGTTACCCCGGAGGATGACGAGGCGCGGGTGGGGGTGAAAGAGGAGGAGGAGGATAGACGAGAGGACGAACAAGGTGCAGGGAAGGAGGGGAACGAGGATGGAAGTCGGCGTATCGAGGAGCAAGACGAAAGGCCGTCCGAAGGGCGGGACAATGATGGCGGGTCGGGAGGCGAAGACGACGTGGACAAAGAAGTCCAGCCCGTCGGTCAAAAGAACGATGTGGGGGCAATCCACACGCCCGCGAAGAAAGAGCGCGTGATGGACCCTGGGGGAGGAAGTGGCAGACGGTGATACCGGTAGCGATGAGGGCTACGATGTTAATAGCACGTAGTCAGCAAGGAGGGGAAGGCCAGTTGAAGGCACCGGTGCGTTTTAAGGGGCACCGCAGCATCGATTGTGATGCGATAACGAATTCAGCAAAGCAGCAACGATGCTGCGGGGGATGCGAAGCAGTGGCGGAATCTATCAGGCGTGCTTTAGGGATGGTGCCCATGCTGGCGTTCCGAGGATGGGAGACATTTTTTTTTTTTTGTGGCCATAGACAGAGTGGCGCCTTGCTGTAGCATCAGCGGTATGTGTCTTGGGTAAAGAGGAGCAGCTGGTCGCTGGCGTACTATTAATTTTAATCAAGCAGTGCGGTGCGTTGATAGATTCCTTGTCCCAAGCGCTGCTGCTTCCCTTCAGCACGAGCCACCATTTGAGAACCTGGGAGTTGTGAGTTTTGGGATAAACAAGAAGCTTGAGAACTTGACCATATGAACAGTTACTCACGTAAGAATGGTACGCTGGCTTTAGGGTTTCCCAGCAGAGGAAAATATGCGCAGGGAGCCCCAAAAGGGCACGAGCAGACAGTTGTAGGCTAGAGGCGTCGGTAGACACGTACGAAAATTTACGTAGTCTGCCACCGTTTCTGTCTTCAACCCAGAGAATAGCCTAGCCTTTCCCGTCGTCCTCCCTCATGAGAACCTAAACCAGGGCCTCTGGAGGTGTTTCCAGCTTTTCGCCGCTCCGAAGCTGGCGTTTTGCCGTGGGTCAGCCTTTAAGCGCCGTCGATGCTTCACTTCTAATTCTAAACACCCGCGCAACAAAAGCTCATCGCAGCAAGCAAACTCACGAACAATTGAGTGAGTTTGAACACGAAGGGGTGTCATGATCTACGGAAGCCCGCTGCCACACAACGATAGTATGCATACAGATCGAGTTCTTAACCTCGCCTTGTTGTTGCTGACGTTTCATTGGTCTTCGTATAACATCATATGGAACTTGGTCAATGCCCAAGTCAACCATTGATGGACGGTTGCGAACAGATGTGAATGCCGGATGCACGAAGGCCTCCAAAGGAAACAGGCACCGCCCAGCAACGGCCTAGCACCCAGCTGGATAATACGTCCAGCAGGCTACAAGTACGTGAGAAAACACTCGCGGCACGTAACATGAATCATGAGCCTAACACGCCATCCGGTATCCAGGAAGTCGTCAACCATCAAAATTTCGTTACTTTGTGCACCTCGTTCAGCGACAGATTGTCAACTACTACAGTGATGCCTGCCACATCACAATCAGCACTCCAAAACAAAATGACTCCCATCCCGATAGGAACTCGGAGCCGACCGCACACCGCAAGCTACTGTACATTGCCAGTCATGTACACCTATCTTCTAACGCTGTGCGTAGGTTCGCTATCATCTTTCCATGCGTTCTTCCAGGCAAATGAAATGAGCCTCCAAGGGATAACAACAGCGGCCACCTACCATTGGTCTCGCGCCACGAGATGATGTATCCGCTACTTCTCCCACCTCCGCGGCCAACTACAGAACAACCGGAAAGGAATCCCGCCATGCCTAACAATCCCTTACCCCAATGAAATAGACTTCAAGTCTACCGGATTAGCCGCCTTTCCAGTGATTGCTGCGGTCGACCAGCACGCGACAGACAAAAGTCTTGTGCACTGGACGGAGAAAACGGCTGAGCGTTCGGTGCACCTCAACTGGCTGCTCAACAGCATCCCCCGGTGAGTAGTAGGATCTTCGCGTGTCGTTGCCTACTATCAGGTACGTGTTTATAACATCCAAGGTGACGATCGCTCACACACCTGCTGCAACATAAGAGAGATATTGTTCGGGATTTTGCACACATTTCTCCGGTACATATTCGGGATATTGCCCGTGGTCGCAGGAAAACCCGCGCATCCATGAGCTTGGTGTGTGGTTGATTCCAGATTGAATTGGGTGTAACTCATTACATGGGCGCCTACCGCGGCGAATGCTGTCGTCGCCGATGCCATCCCACGTCCTTCGCGGGACACCATGTTCATAGCGCCGTGCGCGGAGTTGGGCTCGTGTAAAATCGATGCGGTATCATGTGCGGCGCGCCGCGGGTATCTTCCAACCTCCAGGGTTTGGGAGGGTGGGGGGGCAACGGACCTTGCTGAACACGGCAATGAACACTTTCCGTGGGAATGGAAATTGGTGGTTTCAGGCCTTCTGAGCTACAGAGTGAACGTCCACGGAAGACCCTCAGAAAAACTCAGGCTCAAAAAATTTCAAACGTTAGGAAACAGAGCCCAGCCGTCAGCACAATCCACATATTATGTTTGGTGGACACCAATCGTTGAATCCCACGAAGGGATTCAGTCTTGCCCAAAGTAGGTTGTCCTTGTGAGTGCGCCGGCGCTGTTGTCGATTTCGTTCAGCTTAATCTTTGTCGAATTCAGATTTGGAGTAGGGGCGATGGGTTATGCTTCTATTCGTCTCTATCTTGCTGCTGTCTCTGTGGACCAGGCTCAGATATTCGAGCAACGATTACTTGCCACATGCATATCCAACTTGTTAACGGAACCATGGCTCAGGACGACACCATTCGCGAGCAAGAAGACACATAATTCAACTGCACAAAGCACCATCCATGAAACAATTGGTCCTTGAACCATACAACCATGCAATCCGCGCTTACAGCCCATTTTGTGAGAGATAATTCCGTGTACGCCACAACAAATTCAGAAGAAAAAACCAAACCAAATCCACACGAATTGTAGACATACATGCATGCGTGTACTCTTTGTCACTCCAAATCGAGGCAGATGCGCTCAAGATTTCCAGTCAGGAGAAAGTAGTCCTGGCGAATCCGCTTGAAGCTGAGAAAAAGTTGGAACTCCCTGCCGTGCTCCTGGCAGAGACAGCTTTTTCGCGGCTACATAGCTCGCGACGGCCAAAGTCCTGGACATGTGCGTCGATGTTTCGCGGGGGGGTGGGGGGGCAGGGTAAACGAGGGACACTGCTGTACGCAGTTCATGACAGGAACGTCAGGGCCTATTACATGTTTCGTGGGGGATTACCACGTACCGAAACTACAAGACGCCTTGTTTGCCAGGTACAGGAACGGCGATTCAGTCTCTGAACAAAATCCGCCGTTTATTAGTACACCTCGCCCAGCAAAACGTTAGCAGGTTGTTCCATATTCAACAAACAACACACGCGCTTGTACGTGTACACCACCAACCAAGAACACGTTGGTGCCGATACTTCGAAGGCACCCCGAATCAAGTGACGCCGCCAAACCTGGCAAATGAAACAGGCAGTACATTCCATGGGTAACGTCGGACAAGCGCCACCTACCGGGCAATCCCTAACCGGTGGGTCATGCCGTAAATGAAGCCAGCGATGAAGCAGTCCCCAGCGCCGGTTGTGTCCACAATATCCGAAGCCTCGATGGGCCATGCAGAGGCCCAAACGTACCTTGCAGGTGCATAGCTGTCATTCTGCAGAAGCAGCACACCGTCGGGACACAGAACAAAGGCATACGGGCGAGCGGTAAAATAACGCACTTCCGAGCTGTTACCCAGAAGCGCCTCGCTCGTGCTGGGGTCAACGCTTCGACGCTCGGACTACCAGCTCGTATGCATAACAAAGCCGGTGTCTCGGTCACCTTGGTCACGATGGAACTCAAGACAATCGTAACAGTACTGAGACAGCATGAGGTTGAGGTCGAAGCACACAAAAGCACAGCACACACCCAGTTCGATGGGAGCGACAAATCAACACCAACAGTTCTACATGCGGCGGTAGACGCCATCGGAGTTACCTTCTTTTCCGACGACGCGGTTGTGCTCGAATCGTCCATGCCGACCTCCGGTCTCACTGCCGTTCTGATATGCATCGGGCACCCTTGTGGGGGAGAAAAATCTCCATACCCTTCCCATGGCTGGTCTTTCTCCCTGGCCGATAGAGGGGGGAAACCAGACAAGGGCTGACTAAGGAGAATGGGAGCCGTGTTGTGTCCACTTTCCGGTCCGCGAAGACTCACGACTTGAAGAAAGTCGCAAATGCTCTATTGAATAAATGCCGCGCACATCTAACTGTAATAGAGCCAGCATTACCACAACAACGCATCACCTTAGTGCACCCCTTAAAAAATACTCGTAGACGACCGGAAGAAAAAAATCAGGTTGTTGAGCAAGGTGGTTTCCAAATACAAGCCTCGAGTGGCGCTTGGGGATTAGCGAGCAACTGGGCGAACGACACAAAGTAATGCATCAGCACCGGTACCCAGAACCAAAGATCTATGAAATGTCCTGCTTTCCTTGATCCTGCCTTTGCTTCACCCCCTCTACACGACCCTGGCCTCAAAACCCCAATATCACCTCCGGACATCGCAACACAAATCTAGACCCATGGTCTCTGCAGGAGTACGGGAAATAAGGAGGGACCGCAAAGACTCTGTAAACCTGGTGACGACGATGCATCCCTCGGCACCCAGCGTAGTCACCACCAGCCGCGCCCTGCCCTGCTCCAGCAGCTCTCGGATTGCGTTCTCGTGGCCATCGCTGCTTGAGCGATGGCAGTAGCGGAGGGGAAGGTGGGGAACTTGTCAGGGGCAGAAAAAACGGAGCCGGGCGCCATCGTACGGCTGAGGAGATGAGGACCACGGACAAAGGCCACAACCGAGGCTAGCCAAGCCTTTTCTCGGGGAAAATGACACTAACCTCCCAAGCCGGGGCAGCATGTCGAATGACTCTGGGGTTTCTCCTTCAGATTGCCGCCCGGGTGCATCGTGCTCACTGCATCGACTAGTTACGCTGGGCGATGAAATTCCGGAGCACTGTAGTCTGAACGAGCACACCGCGACTCGCGTCCAAAACCGCCCAATCAACAAGCGCCCATGGAGACGAACATACTCCACATCAACATACCACGAAATTCCCTACATCGACGGGTGTAGCGTTGCTGTTGATGTGGAACGCTATCAGTTGCTAGCCGGACGTTATCTATTGCTAGCCGGTCGATCAAAAGGCCGGTTCGAGTACACCGAGAAACATTCGGCAGTGCGAAGCACGAGCAGACACATGGGAGTGACGCACACACGCTCCGCTGCTGGAGCACTGCAGACTTCACCCCGACGTGCGGTGAGAGACGTGCGTGTCGTGTTTCGACCTCCCTATCGTTCGCCGTGCTACCGCACTGTTGTGCTGGATTCATTGGCGACCAATAAAAAAGTGACCGATCGAAATATTTCAATACAAGCTAGAACCATAAGAAAGGAAAAGCCGAGGGGCTCGGTCAACCCACGATAGTCTTGATGACAAAAAAAAAAAAAAGAGAGAGTCAGAATGGACAAGTGCGCGTTATCTCTCTGCGCGAAATCATGCCGCGCAGCAACACCATGCCCCAGCTGACAAAACCGCGTTTGTAAAGCAATGGTGTACACCCCGCACCTGCCGGTGAAAGCCTGGGGGAAATTTCTGTTGCAAATGACGTAGTCCGCCAACGGGAGGAGGTCCTTGAGGAAAGGTCGGTCCTTCTCTGCGTCGAGAACCACCGGGACGCCTCTTGAGAAAAGGGCGTCGTAGAACCATGAAACGTGGTGAGCGCAACAAACGTGAAAGTCGTGAAGGAATGGAGCTGAATGAATGGGGGCTGAGGCCCGGTTGGAGGATCAGTGCCGCCAACGGGCTTATGCGAACGGGACACAGGCTGCCGGGGGCGTCGCATTTACACATGTGGAATTTACCGCGGAACAGCAGGGCTTCTCTCTACCGAAACAAATGCGGCTGTGGTTCTTCTATTCATCTCTCAACCGAAAAGTTCGATTCCGCCAACGTACTGGCCTGAAAGCTTTCCACAAACCACGATAATGGAGCGTTGGCCATATTGGTTTGTTCCATGGCCCAAGGCCTAACTACCTATAGTCGGCTGAACGCACCCGTTGGATGACGTTTCACGAATTATTGGTGGAAACATCCGACGTTTGAAAGAGCCGGTACGGACACGCCAACGAAACTAGGCTGAACCTGGCGATGTGTGAGAGCACTATCTTTGCCCGCTCGATCCACTCGGTCGACTCAGTCCCATCACATGCAGTCGCTCCAATGCGAGCGCAACAACAGGGCGCCACCAACGAACGTCGAGCGTTTATTGGATGTGCGTCCACCGCCAAAACCAACAAGAATAAACTTTCTTCGGGCAGAGCCCACACAGACCGTTCGTTGGCCAGCTTGGCCAAGGCGACGGCCGCCGGGGTGTGTCTTGAATCAAGGTGCACCGCCGCAACCACGTCCAGTAGGTCCGGCGTAATTTCTTCCGGAAGAATATCTGCCGCCGAAGAACGACACGAATATGTATGTGCGTTGCTCGACTTGCATTGGAGAGCGTTGGATGAGTGGCAATCGCGCTGAGGCAAAATCTGCCGTGTGAAACTAACCTACCTACCCCGGCAGGGCTTCAGGCCTTAGCGACCGCGAATTAGTCACTGCTTCGGCGACGTCCTTTCAAAAACAAATCTGGGGTTCAGCGGGAGGAGACAAATCGCCGGGCACCTTACCTTCCGTCTGCGGAGTGTGCAGGCAAGTCCTGGTACCCCCCTCCTTGTCCACGATGACGTACGTGAAGGCCGAGGGAGTGGCATCGCTCACGATGACGCGGGAAACGTCCACACCTTCCTCCTCCAGACCTTGCAGGATCAGCCTGCCGTTCGCGTCGGAGCCGACCTTGGTAGCCAGGCATGCGTCCAGACCGAGCCTACTCGCTCTGATTCGACCAGACACGCAAACATCTTTGAGCACGGCACGCGTCGGGAGACGCGACTGCTTGCGATAGGACGACGTTCCGCGCCGTCTCAGGACTACACAACGCTCAAGGATATCGCTGACCTCACGACGACATCTGTAGGCCCTCAATACAGGCGCCTGAATAGGAAACAAGAGCAATGACATTATCACAAGTTGGACAGGCGAAGGTCGCCCCCCAAGGCTGTAGCGTGTCCTGGCAATGACAGCGACGTCTCCAAGACTCCGCCAGGGCTCAAGCTCACAATTCTAAAGGGGTGAGCGCAGATCAGGATGGCACGAAATCAATGACTGACATGCGGCGAGATACATGAGCTGTGAGCCCCACTCCACCCTCCCCCGAGTCGGCAGGAGGAGGACTGCAGCAGCTCCTATGCTCCATCTGCAAACTTTGCCCTCATCCAACGGAAATACTACCTAGCACGACAGTTGGCCCGTTGACACCATGATACACTCACGCGGAAAGGGTGTTGCCGCAGTTCCCTCCTCCCAGGACCTGAAGAGATTGTGTTTGAACCTTCTCGTCGGCCGTCGGGTACCTGTATGTGCCGGTTTCACCACACACGCCATGCACGTACGCAGGGTGAGAAGCAAGTGCTCTGGGGCGCATTGAGGACAAGACGGGAGTTAAAATGGGCAATTCCGTTATTGCAAGCTTATACAGTAGCCACGATCAGCCCCCACAACGGCGAGAAATAGTCGGCATCACCGTATTGGCCGGAAGCCACCACAATGTATACTTACGGCACGAACATTCGTGAGATTCGGCAAGTCTATCGATATGCTTCCTCCAGGCATTGAAAAAGAGGAGTTCCACGTGTTTCGCTTTTCCTAGAAAACTATTTCATGCCTTAGTAGTAGCGGCTGAAGCAAATCTGTAGATTCTGCTCTTGGGGTGTCATCAGAAGCAAGGATTTCAACTCGCTTTTCGAGCCACCTCTCGCCCTTCCAACCCCATTCATGCACGCATGTTTGCATGTCACCTGTCGACTGCGGCAATGAAGTCAACGCCCGCGGATCCAAGGCCTAACACACGCGGACGCCCACTGCTGTCGACTTCATCCAGTGCCTGGCCCTCGGACATGGCGGTACCAAGAGCGGAGCAAAGCCGGCCACCGCCGCTTCCCTGGCTCAAGCTCCTGATACGGTCAGGGGATGATAGCGCAAGGTTCCGAGCCCCACCGTTGAAGATGTTGATGTTGATGTTGATGTTGACGTTGGTAAGAGGTCCACACCTGCCTGAGGGAATGCATCGTCCGCGCCGTACAACGTGACGTGTTGCGTCAGCAGCTTTTAGGAGCGTTTGATGGGCTTGGTCCTTGATAACAACACAAAGACGCATGACGTTATCAAGGTGGGAGAGTAACACACGTACAGCGTAGTACTGCTGTAGGTGTACACCAACAGACGTGATCAATATACCGTATACGACACAAGATAACACACCCCCTGGACCGATTTTCAAAGCTCGACTACGCCACAACGAACATGCGTACACGAAACGATACATTTTCGGAAGGCTCTCGATAAGGCGGCTTCAACGACGCCGTTTTCGGCCCTGTGACTCTCTCTGCTGTCGAGAAATCGAGCTTTGAAAATCGGCCCAGGGGGTGTGTTATGTTGTGTCGTATACGCTATTGCTGTGTGTATGTTGTGTACAGTCGACTCTACATGCATACCATTAGTAATGTAAGTTCAAGTAAAAAAACAACACACGAATGCATGCTGTGGCTTGTTATCATGAATTATGCTGCATGTAGGTGGCACCAAAACACGCAGGCCGCCATCGTCCAACTAGTTGCAGCTTGGAAAGCAACAGCATGGTGACACTCCCTCTCCCTCCCAACTCCCGCCCATCCTCTCTATCGGAACTCTGCATGATGAATGCGATCGCTGGTCTGCTGTATGGATTGAGCTTGATAGAGTTTGTGGAGTTTGCAGGAGGCACGCTCTCTTGCCTGTGCCAGGGTAGAGCAGCCAGCAGTGGGCAACAGCCAAAGTCTGCGCTCCAACGCCTGCTCGAAACCACGCGTCTCTCATGCCCTCCAGATCAGATCGTGTGCGCTGATGAACTTGTCCGGGGGGTGACGCATGCCACAATCGTGGGTACCCGCAAGGAGCAACGACCGCTCTACACGATGCGGGGAACGCTTCTGGCTCAGGCTCTGCTGAAGCAACGGGTGGACAGTGAACACACGCAAAACACGCTCCTGAACACACCACCATCCACATGGGAGAGGTGCCGATCAACCCTACAGGGTTCGCCCATGGTTTCCGTCCACTCGAAGGTGACCACCCTCCGGCAACGCCGACCCAGCGAAATGCAACAGCAGCCTCGCAGTCAGTACAACATGCTGGGAGCTTTCTGAGTGCGATGAGCCAACCGCCGACGCCGGCAGGAGCTCACGAAGGTGCCGGGGTTATGGGGTTGGGTCCTTCGAGAAAGAGACGGCGACTGCCAGGGCCCCTGGCGTTCTTGCAACACGGAGCTGGGTGAGGGCACCCGTGAATTTTAAACTTTTGAACTGGTTCCCCCGCATTCTCTACAGTGGTTGTACGGTATCTCCGGTCCGGGCTTGCAGGCGGCGGTTGGTTGTCTTTTGGCCTTGTAAAACTGAAACTACCACAAGCGGACGCGGTCTTTTCCCCAGTTTGTCCCTCAGGAACGTTGCTACCATTCTAAACATGTTGCGAATTCCCGCGACCTGGCAACGGCGTACAGCAGTACCGAGTGCGGCTCTCAAAATTTCAAAATATCATGTATTAAGAAAAATAAAAAAAAATAAAAATTAAATTTCACAACCACGACCCGGGGCGCACACTTTGTCCTCACACCGGCACTTCACACACCGCGACCAGCGACCGGCGAGAGTTTGTTTTTTTTCCGTGGGGGTTGATGGAAGATGGTGGAGAGATAGACCTCCCGGGCGCCTCCTTTTCGTGCAGAGACTTGTCGTTTGGTTTGTTAGTTTTTTGTGTTCGATGGCCATAGCTATTTGTCACCTCTTGTGCGGGCAAGCATGTTGCATCTTGACCACAGCACGTACATTTGTAGTACTTTTTTTTTTAGACGGAACTGCACTGCTGCTGTCTCCAGTGCATAGTACAAATAAAAAAAAGCATCTACTTGGGACAAGTTGGGAGTGTATTAGTAGAGCCGAGTAGCTATCCGTCCTTCCACCAATCACATGTCGATATGGTAGGATATTTTGCAGGACAGAGACAGACGAATGGGCGATGGTCGCCGCCGAGGGGGAATCCCCCGAAAGACGCAGCACAGCAGCAGCACACACACGTAAACACACGAGACCACCAGCACAGCAGCACACGAGGCTGTTGTAGACCACAAACAGCAAAAGGCACATATCATTGGAGGCGTCGGGTGCGACTGTCAGAACCCGTTGCCTACTGTTGGCAGCATAAGCGAGGGAGGCGACACAGGTCAGTTTGTTGTCTGTCTTCACCTGCGGGCGGATCTTTTGAGCTTCCCACACAGATGCACCCCCAAAACAGAGACAACGAGACGTACACACTGCTGAAGGCCAACGTTGGTCAAAGGTACACATCGTACGAGGCGTCGGGAGTGATATTTGAAGCCCGTTACCTGCTGCTAACAGCGTATTAGCGAGGGGAGCAGGTGCACTCAAGTCAATCAATCTGCGGTCTGTCTTCGTCTGTCTGCAGGCCGATTTTTTTATCCACGACAGATGCACCCCAAAACAGAGAGACAATGAGACGTACACACTGCTGTAGGCCAAGGGCGACCAAACACACACACCATAGGAGGCGTCGGGAGCGATTTATCGGGCCCGTTGCCTGCTGCTAGCAGCATAAGTGAGGGAAGCAAGTAGTGCACACATCCACACAGCAGCAGTAGCAAGCAGCTAAATTGATGAGAGCTTCGTCCACACCAACCAAACAACGCTCTCACCCGTCCCCGCGCTGCTACACAGCAGAAAGAAGACCTGCAAGTTCGTCTGACTGGTGGTGTCGAGTGAGGTGTGAGCGTGTGCAGTGGCAGTGGTGGCATCTGTGTGATGGCTTCTCCATCCGTATCTATCTCCGCCTCCTTGCCTCTCTCTCTCTCTCCGCCCTTTCCTTTTCGCGCTTCGAGCGAAAAAAATTAATTGATTTTTGTTGGACTCCTATGCATCGGAGGTTAGCCTATTTTTTGGCGCAACAGCAGTGACCGTCCTGCAACACGGTGCACGGTGCTAGTCAACCCTTCAGTCTGGTAACTCCCGCGGGAATTGATTGTCTACCTAAACATGGCTTGACACAGCCCTGACACATGACATCCCGAACAACAGCGGCTGGTCCAGAAAGGCGCGCGGTTGTTGGAGCTGCGTTTAGGGTAGAGGAATTAATTCCGTGTTTTCGTGCTGGGTCATGGATTGTTGCCAGTCTACTGTACCCCCGTTTCGTCTGCTTTGTAAGGGCAGTATGCCCTCCCTTTAATCACACGCGATATTACTGCCGATGTGCGCGTGTCTGGTGGCCTTTTGCACATTCCACCTCAGGAGCGCAGGGCAGCAGGACGGCGGCGGTGTTTCCGACGACGAGAGCGCGCAACGGCGCCTGAGCAACGATAGCGATCCGAACGAGGGCGAGGCCGGGGGCGGACACTTCACGAAAGGGCCGTGGTTGTCGTTGTGCTCGGCCATTGACGCCCCCATCGCGGAGGAGGGAGCGAGTGGCAGCAAGGGTAAGGCCGTGCCCGCTCTGTTCTTGTTCTAGAAACTGTACGCCTGCGCCGGTGGTTCGCTTTGTGCGCAATACGCGCGAGCACGCTCGTGCCTAGGCTATTGGTCCTGCTCATTGAGGCGCACGTGTTGTCTGGTGGTTGTTTTTGTGCTTGACAACCGATGCCCCCTTTCACGGGAGTGGTTTTGGGTGATGGCGTAGGTGGGCCGCGACGGGAGGGTTGAAGGGTCGAAAGGTGATGGGAAGATCAATAATTCGGTGTTTCGTCGTGTTCTAAAGTGTCTGAAGGGTTTGGACCGGTCAGGTGTCGCGCAGCGTGCGTTCGTGCGCGCCCTGTGAGACAAGAACGTAGAGGCGACAGCAAAGGTACGGCGGAGGGGTGTTGGACCCTTTTGCGTTCGGTGCTTAGACTCTGCATGCCCACTTTCGTGAGTATTTCTCTGGGCCCTTTGGGGATTAGTTGGAGTCTCGCCGGTTTCTACGTTAACTTATGGAAGGACCTTCAACTCGCCATCATGCTCTGGCCCTCCCAATACCAACCGGTGACTTAGACTTGCCCCGACGTTTTTGCGATCCACGCTTGACTTGTTCTCTCTGCGAAACGATCAGCGGTACAAGCGTTTCTGCGGGGAGCCGTGTCCCCGATGTTGGAGGTCCTCGCCGGAGACTTTGATCTGCGCGTGCCGGTCGTGACCGCCGTCATCGACTCCTACACGAAGCTCTCAATCAGTGACGTTGTCGTTGAGCTCGTGGTGAGTAGAGTGACTTGATTTCACAACTCTCTCTCTAAGGTGTTACATCCTTGCTTGCTTACAGCTGGTAAGGAAAGATGTACCACGTCGCTTTGCTGCTGCCTCTGCTGCTGCCGCTGCTGCTGCCGCCGCCGTTGTTCTTACCGTTGCCGTTGTAGTCGTCGTTATATTTTGTTCCGCCCCCTTATCGCACGTCGGAGGGATTTTCGAAACAATGACCGCACTTACCTGCCAATGCCGCAATGGGTCCGATTGCAGGACCCTTCAGGAAGAATAAAAGGACACCTGCATCCGGGCTGCTTGGAAGAGCACGGCCCCTCCTTGGGCCCAGGCGCGGCACTGCTACTTAAAGAAGTGGGTAATGAAAAGAGAGAAGTAACCGTCTTCTTGGAGCGTTGAGCGACCTGTCCGTGATTTGACGTAGTCGGAACTTTTCGTGTCGAACATTTGTGTTTTTTCGTGTGTCTCCGCTTTCTCTCACGAAATTGACGACCGGTCGCCCCATCGCCCGTACTCGGCCCGATTCTTATCTGTTACAAGGTGTCTATCTTCGTGTCGGGACCCGGCACTACCCGATTGCTCAACGTGCATCCCGATTGCGTCCTCGCCGTGTTTCCGGCGGACACGTCCCCACCAGCGCCTTCGCGTTTGGAGTGGCTCACAACTTGCGGTGGGTCGTAGACGCTCAAACGTGCGAAACGATGATATCATAATCTTCGAACCCCTTCCGACTGTTCGCGGGTTTGCTGCCGGCACTGCATTGGCACCCCTCCCTCGATCCACGACCATGTGCTTTTGAGTAGACATCGACAGTGCTCTGCAGGGGCCAAACCCGCGAAATCCTTGTCGTGATACTGGTTGGTAGTGCTCCGGCTAGTTCTCCAGGCTATCGAACAGCAAGCAGTAGTCTGAAGTCGGTAGTGCTCTCACCAACTTATTTGATTGAATGTACGATTAGTACGAGGCGGCCTGTATCCCCACCTTGCTACATAAGGTTTCTAGAGTTCCTGTTCCACGAAGATAAGCTTCCAAGACAACTGCTTTGCCAGCTTTTCTTTTTGGCGTGGACTGCACACGCCCTAACTAAGCCTGTGATGTCTTCGGGCTGTTTTGTTTCTTTGCAGACCCGCCGTTCACGCCGCAGGCAGTGCCCGATTCTGGCAACGGCAGACCCACTCCATACGACCCTTCGAGTAGGACACCACCTCCGCCCACCACCCCGACGTCGGCGGCGACGAGACAGAGAGGGGAGGGGTTCGACCGACGAAGACCACGAGCACCGGCCGCCCGACAAAGTCCCGACTATGATCAGCAGCAGATGACGCCACGGTTGAGCCATCCGGTCCGTCTGTCACCACAGCGTTTGCGTACGCAGGAGGAAGATCAGCACGGGGAGCATCGGCAGACCCGGCGCCACCTGCTAGCAGACAAAGCCAAGGGCGAGCGGCAAGGGCGGCAGAAGCCACCACAACCGAGCCCAAAGAGCAGAAACGCACCGCAAGAAGTCGGGAGTCGGTCCTCGGTTCTAACTCAGGGCAGTAAAGAGATGCTGCCGCCCTCCCCGTCCCCTCCCCTGGGTGGATCGAGCCCTCCTGGGATGTTCTCTGAGTCGCAATCACCGTCGCCATGGGAGTACCAGATCGCCCTCGGGCAACACCGTGACGATTCCAACGAGGAGGGACAGGCACAGGGAGACGAAGGTGTAGCAGCAGCGGGCGACACAGCACCTCCCAGAGCTTCGGCTGGCAACAACGGTGCAGCAGCGGCGCGGGCCGGTGAGGATTCGACGGGCGAAGACCGTGGTCCTTACGTCCGTGGTCCTTCGAGAGGTGGAATTTCGGCGGACGATGGGCAGATGCGGGGTCTTGTGGACTTCCCAGATCCTCCTCGAGAAAGGCAGAGGGACGGCGACAGTTCCCGGGCTGCTGCTCCCGGCGCAGGCACGCATCAAGCGTCGTGCGTTGGAACACCGGACACCGACCATTGCGGCAATGTCGGCAGTGACGTGGAGCAGGCGAGGGGTGCCAGTACGTCAGCGACGGCTACCGGTTCTTACAACGCCACACTGGATGGTTTGCGCCGTCGTCTAACACCCGTGCCCGATCATGGGGGCGGTTCGTCTCCTGGGGTTGTGGCGGGTGGGTCAACATTTGTCCCTATTTCCGAAGACGAGAGAGCGGAGGGTGGCGGAGGTGCAGAAGGTGGGCCACAGCCACGGCGAGGCGAAGAGAAGGATCAGGAGGAAAACGTCCGGCTCAAGGCAGCAGGCGGCTCTTCCTCCATTTGGACCGACCTTGACGGCCTCGCTAGCAGCGACGACAGCAGTGATGATGAGGGGGTTAGTACCAGGTCAACGGCATTCCCTGGACGACACGGCTTGGCTGCTTCAAACGGCTCCGGAAATATCGCAGGACAAGAACAGCCGTTGCCACAGCAGCAGCCACATCAACGGGAGGAAAGAGTGGGAGCCGAGAAGGGGAACGGAAATTGCGACCTCGAGGAAGTTAACGCTCTGTTCTGCTCCAATGGTCCCGACAAACCTACTGGCAGCGAGCAAGGTGCCGTAGCAGAAGCGGAAGACTCAAACAAGCTTAACACACCGACAACCGCGGTGGCAGCAGCGCCTGGAGTAGCGTTAGGTCGTGCCGCTGCGGGGAGAGGCGAAACGCTCTCTCTCTTCGGGGGTGGTGTGAGCAACGCTGCAGATGCCGAGCTGCTCGATGCGGCACTAGACGACAGTGAATAATTCTGCTCTCTCAAAGAAGCTGAGAGAGGCACCTCGTGTGCAATGCTTGTAAGCCCCGCCACGAGCACCAGGCAACTTGACGTGTACGCTGTAATGCAAACCCCTCTAACAACGATGGCACCCATACACAACTCGGTCGAGTGTAGGCAGAGGCTCGTAGTCTTAGATTCAGACGTTTAACGCCCACGGAACTCATCGCGTTGAAGTACGGATGCTACATTTCTGAACGACAACCCTAGCATTTTCGGCATCTGTGTCAAGATCTTGGTCGCCCGAACAAGAGTCGCGCGGTGCCGCGCGCCCCGAATCCAACCATGATCCCCACCGCGTTACCCAAGACCAACCCGCCCACCACCGCGGGCAGGGCACTAGCTCTCTCCCCCGTCCCTCCCTCGAGTCGCCTCGCCTTCAGCCACGAGCCGCCCGCGGCAACTGCACACCCCACGCCCCAAAAAGAGGCATTAACGGCTCCCACCACAAAAAGGAACTGAGATATGGCGCCCCCCGTGGCGGAAAGCGAGAGCGGAACGAGTCGTCCAACGGTGCCGGAGCCGATGAGATCGCCCGGGGATGGCTCGAGAGCGGCCCCGTACTTGTCGTACCTGAATGGTTAGGGAGGCAGAGCGTGGCAGAAAATATGCACCGTTAGAGAGAAAACGCGAAGGGTGATGGTGACAGCTCAGGATGTCGCTATGATGACATCTAGACTCTGTAAGGCGTGCACTCGAACGAGAGGGAGAAGAAAAGTCGCAATCGCCATGTTGGATCTATGTATCTCCGGTGGATCGCCAGGTACAGCAGTGACCCCCAGTGTTTGCGTCTGAAAAAGGAAGATGTTGTTGGCGCGGAAGACAACACAATTGTGCTGTTGAGGCCGTCGCTCGTGTATACGAACGTTTTTTTTTGCCGTCTGAGAAACCTTCGAAAACGCGACTACAGGCACGAGAGAAGCGTAGTCGCCCATACTGTTTGGTCTCCAGACCACAGTCTGGACCTGCTCCCCACCAATCCTCAACGAGACAGGCACGACTTCCGCGGCGGTGAAAAAGTAGCATAAATGAGGCACCTGATATGAAAACGGAGACAATACACCTATTCAACCAATTTACACGCATTTCGGCTTTGTTGTGACGCACATCGGCTCTGTGATACTGGAGAGGTATTCCGACGATATTACCGACCACGTATGTGAACATCCAAGAAAGGGGCCAGAAAAACACGAGCGCAGTGTTCGCATACTCAACCTGTTCAGGAATGGCTCCATCGGCGGAGCACTCCCGTTTGGTGACCCGAAAGACAAAATGTGGCCCAACCAACGCCACCCTGAGCCCAGGTTCAATGGGGAGTTTAGGAAAAACGTTTCCTTTTGGGGTCAGACACAAGGTCCAGAAAAACATGCTCAGACAAACAATGGCATCAAAAGATCCGAAACGAGTCTCAGATTTATTTCGGGATGACGTGGCAACGGCCCGCCGCTGATTGGCCGAAAGACTCGCGCGCGCCGTTCCCCACGCCTCTTCTTCTCCCCAAGAAAGAAATTAGGTTGGCTTGGTTGGCTGCTACCGTCTATCATCCAAGATGCCAAGAGCATCTAGTGGGGGTGTTGTTACCGCAGAGAAATGCCCTGTAAAGGCTTCTTGCAAGCAAACTCTCAGCCGCGCAGGTGGCGTCCTGTTTCAATCAACCGAAACAGAGGCGGCGGTCAGCAGCAGCTAGCTAGCTGCAGCCGCAGCAAGGGGCAGCAATAGCAGCTTCAACGAGCGATTTTCCAGCAGCATTCCAAAACGCAACAGCTGTGTAGCGGAGACGGCGCCGATAGAGAGCAACACAAGGCAACTCTTGGGCCACCTCCCAGTAGTTCGAGTGGGCTACAGCTCATGGTATGAGTGTTCTCCTGAACTAGCTGTAGGCAAGACAGTTGCTCTTTTTCAGGCTGCTGGTGAACCTTGTCTTATCCCATCCTCCCCTCGGTTCCTTCCACAACGATCACCACATAGTTACACATTAAACGCACACCGCCCGCATTGGAGGAGGAGCAGGTCTGTCTGTCCAGTGGTGGTGACATGAGGCTCGGACGAGTCTGTACCCTGCGATGCCATCTGTTGTGGTTTACTGTACTCTGCTGCTGCTAAAAAATCTAGACCTGCTGAACAGGAACCCACGCCTCTGATAAAGCGGGGGTGGTGAGAGGTGTTTGCCTGAGCCCTGCGTGCAAAGTGGGGCCGTCCCAGACAAAAAAATGCGTTACCACCTACAATATTAAACGAATTTGACCCTCGGTTTGTCTGGGCCATATATCTGATGACCCAAAAAAAACTTCCGAAACGGTCTTTTAAAGCTGTATATGAACGAAGTGCCAAAAAAAAAAATCGAGATCTGCGAGATCTGATTGGTCGAATATCTGCTACCTCCTGACGACGCCGTTTGATTTGATGGAAGTTCCTCTGCCTGGGAAGAAGTCCCCGGGGGACTTTTTTCTTCAAAATCAAAATCAAAGAGGCAAGGAGTTCAAGACTTCGAAGGCTTGGAACACCTGCCGTATATTAACGAAGCTTGGAGCACCTGCCGCGAGGCCGCTGCAAAGCAAGTGTACGACACGACCTGCTGTCCACTGCTCGTTGAAGGACTATCAGCACCCTACCACCGACACCATGGCCGTTATTTGTAGCCAGAAGACTCTGCTAGCCGGCAAGCCAAAAACCGTGCCGGCTCGTTGGGTGCTCGAGGAGAAAATGTCGATCGTGACAAGTGTTGAACGGACTGACGATCAGAACAGGGCTGCACGACTTTGGCGGGCTGTTCCGTGCGGGACAGGGTAGTTGCAACCTTTTTTCTCCACACCCAAGGCGTCTAACCTTGTACGAGAAAGATGGTGGGTAGAGCTACTTCCCGTCGCGTGGCATTGCTAATGGTTTTGCTTCCTCCTTCGAAGAGTTATCGCTGAAAAACTAAACTATGAGCAGACATTCGGCGCGAACTTGAAGTAACCGCTCTCTGACGTGGATATTTTAGGATCAACCAAAACTATTTTCCCTATACGCACGATACCCCACGGTAGCAGACCTTGGGCTTGAAAGATAGAGCAGAGAGGTACCTCCCGCCGCGTGGGGTTGCTGTTGCTGTTGCTTCCTCCTTCGGAAATTTATCGGTGGATAACCAAACCCGTGGCGGCCCAAAACACCGAATTTGAAGTGACCGCTCGCAACCGTTGGCATTTTTGCTTGAAAACAACCTTTCTTTTCCGGCGCATTCGGCACCTCACGGCGACAAACCTTGGCATTGCCCACGCCCATGTTACCGCTCCTTCCGTTGAGTACTTGGCGAGATATCGGCTAACACGTGAACTAAAGAGCGCAAAACCCACCCTAGAAAAATCACCGCTTCGCTGCTGGCTTTTCCCCTGGCGCCAGGTCTTTTTGATTTTTTGTGTCATCTGTATCCTATCCTCGTTAACATACACGACCCTCTTTTTTCAGTTTTCCACGATAAAGCATTTTGATTTTGACCACATTGTCCACATTTAGATTTAGATTTTTGGCACTTTGTTAATACACGGCCTAAGTGCCGAGAGAAGAAGAAAATAGGGCACAACACGGACCAGAAGAGGTGGGTAGTGTACGATGATTCCACAGCAACACAGGCAGCGGATAGGCGCTCTTGATTTGGCAACGTTAGTATGTTTGAGAGACGCACGCCTTCATATGGTATGGGTTTGACTTACCGCTCTCGCAAGACAGGATCCCGTAGCACGTCGTGGGCCTTGGTGAGTCTTCGGAATGACGCCGGGTCTCCGCCCTTGTCGGGGTGTACAGAGAGAGAGACCCTGCGGTATGCCCTGCACGGATCGATCGTGTGGCCATCATGCAGCAAGATGAGTTTCGCGGTTTGCTTGGTTCACCCGTCTGTCACGCTGCGGCATAGTGGTCAGGTAGAGACGGCACACTGCTGTACCTTCAGGGTTGCGAGAGAGTTTGATGGGATAAGTTGGATGGCCGATAGACACTCCACAGTAGTGTCACCATGGCGAAAGCGCCCAAAATCAACAAGATTGAGACACATGGATGGCGTGAAGACGGTCGAAGGTGAGCAGAGCGTGCGTTTACTACTGCGGCTGGGCTGACCTGCTGTAGGGGACTGAAGCAATTGTAATGTCATCGCAAGGAAAATGGTTGAGCTACACACTCACTTGGAGATTTCTTCGGTGGTCGCAGTCCTTCCCACCCCCAAAATGCTGTAGTATGTCTCGAAGGCGTCAACACCTCTCATTACTGACGAATTCGCCCTCTTGGGGAAGGGGGTGAGACGGCAAGAATGACACGCACCGCTGCACCGATCCTCCGATGCTGCGTGCCGAGTGCCGAACAAAAAAGCGGCGCAACATACTGGGTTCTCGGGCTCATTGTCCCCGTTTCGGCTTCGACCTACGCCAACACGCGGCGGGATTACACACCACGGGCTCTTCGGTAATTTGCTGTTCACGGCGGCACGGCGCCGTCGAAGTCAGAACACCAAGTCCCTCTCAGCGCGGAACGCGCTTGTGACTGCCAATGCAGCACCGGCCCCTCTGCACCAAATCATCGATCGAGCAAAATATCGGTCGCTAACGGAGAGTGTAGCCTACAGATAGCAGTGAGCGGAGAACCTTTTTCGTTCATGTATCACGTCGCCGACACACACTTCTGCCTTACCAGCCGTCTGCAAGGAAAATATCGATAGAGAGGACCAGCGACGGCAGTGTGAGGGCAGCCCTCGACGTGTTCCCATTAAGGTGGGCACAAACTCACAGTCAAGATGGCAAGCAGCGAGTCGTCCAACGTGCGGGTGGCAGTCAGGTGTCGCCCAATGAGCTCCAGGGAAAAGGCGCAGGGATGCCAGGCCATCATTTCGGTATGTGCATTGTACCTGCGTAGACCACTGTAGAGTCTCAACATCTCATGAATGTCACAACTCAGAAGAAAGTGTGCGCAATACATCGGAATATCTCGTGGTATAATTTACCACCGACACGACGAGTCTTGACGTTACGCTAGTTTTGTTTCTCCAACAGTCCGTGTGCATACCGCAGGCTGCTTACAATAGACTACAGTACTGCTGTGTGGAAAACTACTGTCTGTACTGCACAATCTATCTCAAAGTAGTGACGGGCATCTTTTCCAGTCCGCGCACTGTCTATATCATGATAACCCGCACGGGATGTCGCACCTAGGGCGATTTCGCACCTTCAGTGGCGAACATGCACGGAAACACACACGGTACTAAATAGTTGTTAGGCTCCACAAAGTATGATGAATACGCTGCTTTGCTGGGATGAATTAGGTGGAAGACAACCAGATTAGCATTACGGACCCGACTGAAACGGGCGGAAGTAAGCGGGAACCGAAGGCGTTTAGCTACGACTTCGCATACGACTGGACTTCGAGCCAGGAAGGAGTTCACCTTGACCTAGGGGCACCGATCGTTGAGAAGGCTTTGCAGGGCTACAACGGTAAGTCATCGATAGATCCCGGGATGAGGCTCAAGTTTGCCGGCTGGAAAGGTCTACTGAGTCGCTGTCCCACCAAGGCCGGCAAATACGGGATACCTTGTGACCACGGGAAAATGCCTCTCTTCCTCTGTTGATGAGTGTGGAGCGAGGGTGCAAAATAGGAGAAGCAACGACCCATGTACAGATGTGACGAAACTATAAATCAATGGGGGTGTATGGGGGTGGGGCATGGGCATGGGGCAGGAAACGTTCTGGATCTGATAGTCCGGACATCGCCGTGAGAGTACGCACAACCTCAGTTCTCCCGCTGGGTGTGAGTGTTGATTCGACATGATGGATCCCGCACCCAAGCACCGCCGCCGGGACGGACACCGAGGCATCGTAATATATATATTGACACCGAGTACCTCACCGCGACAGATGCTGCCTCGTCCTGTTGGTTTGTATTTTCGTCCCAGCGACAATTTTTGCGTATGGCCAGACGGGGAGCGGGAAAACTCACACGATGATGGGAGGAGGCACGCCAGATGGGATCATCCCCAGGCTGAACACACAGCTCTTCTCGGAAGTGCAGGTACTGCCGCTGTATGGACGTAAAGGGATACATAGCCCGCTGGTAGAATGCCACGTCACTCGCTGAGAGAGGAGGGCTTCACGAACACCTGTGCGCAATATGTGGGACAAATATTTTCTGGACGAGGCACGTGCTCTCCGGTCGAAATTGTGTGCTAGAACGTGGAGAGATGATTGGCATAGGACAGTTTAGCGTCTCGCAGAACCTGTTCCCCTGGACGATCCACGCGCGAAATATCCCCGTCTCATGTTTCGTGACACAACCCATAATATTGCTGTGCCAGAGGTTAATTGAGAATAATTCCCTCAAACGAAACAGAGAGATCCGACATCGCAAAGTTCCGGAGGTTCTGGATCAGCGTTCTGTACGCACCTATGGTACAGCTTCCAATATAGATTTTAGTCAGCTGGGCAAAATACAGGGTACAGCTCCCAATATAGACTGCAGTCAGCAGAGCAAAAGACCGGTAGCAAGGGAGAAGAAATTCGCTCCTTCGGACACTGCTACCACTTTTGCCATGTCCTGGCTGGGTGTGTAGCAACCGAATTCTGCCTCTTTTGGGGAATGAGGTTTGCACTTGTTTCGTGCGCTGGCCTGCCTCGCCGTATGCTTCAAGGGGTTAACAACGGACACCACCAAGTGCCTTGTCACGGTGAGCTACCTCGAGATCTACAACGAGGTGGTTCACGATCTTCTCAACCCTAAGAAGGACGTTAGCCTTAAGATCCGCGAGCATCCCGACCTCGGCATCTACGTCGATGGGTGAGGAAGAACCGGCGCCGAGATTTAAGGAAATCGTATGTAGGCACAATGCTACGCTTCGATAGCAGTAGGCGGCCATGCGCGGGTTCGACTGGCTGCGAGAAGAGTGCTCGCCCACTCAGCCCTCTGTTGTTGAATTGGTCGCGCGTACGAAAGTCTGAGCCTAACTGGACTTCAGACAGTATCCCTAACCTTCTCCAGCTTAGGCAACGAAGAAAAGGCCCTTTGCAGAACCATAGATGAACCTGCGTGTAGGCCTTTGACCGAAAGTCGTCTCTTGCCCGGCTGTACCAGCCTGGACTGCAACGATACGAGCAAAGTTTTTGGATGAAAATTGGCGACGTTGCACATGGGACGGAGAGATATTGGAGTACCACTCGGCCTCCTTCAGCACAACTGAAACAATTTGCAATAGGGTGCTGGGTGGATGCGATGTAGCACGTCCTGAGTAGAGCAGACCGAGCAGACACGATCGTTAGGGATTTCTCCAAGTCGAACTTGCGGTCTCCACTACAGCACATGTCCGTTATTCGGCGAGGAATCTCCAAGCCAAACACTGTCGTTGCGTGTCCCGCTTCCGACATGTGCCACGACGTGTTCCAGGCTTTGCGAGCTCGTCGTGAAGAGCGAAGCGGACGTGCTGACACTGATAGAGCAGGGCGGAGCAGTGCGGAAGGTGGCGAGCACCAACATGAACGAAAGAAGCAGCAGGAGTCACAGCTGCTTCACCATCAAGGTGAGCCGGGTTTACCTTCGTGACGGAAAAACAACGGGTTGTCAGGGGAAGCTGGCAATCGGCTGAAAGGGAGACGACGCGTGCCGCAAACTGATCCAAGCACTCGGAGTTGCTCCTTGCACGGCAGGCCGTACTGTAGGCATAGGTTGGGAGACTATGATGCTGAGGCAATGATTGGACGATAGACTACCAGCTTTTCTTACGAAACAATGATATACAACACTCGTCACTGGCGGCCCACTTGCAAGCTACGCATGAGAGAGCGACAAGCTGAGGACAGCAGAAAGGTTAACATAGATTCGCCGGTGAAGGGCAACAATAGCATGTTTTCTACACATCCGCTCAGTCTAAACAGATGATCAATTGGAAGTTGAACATGCGGCCTTAGACTGCTTTAAGGTGAAGGTAAGCCGACCGTCAGCTGAATGCCCTCCCCCCCCCCCCCCGGGTCACAATGAATCGGCCTGTTGAAGGTGGAAAAGAAGACTACAGAAGAGCTAAGCGACGGGGTAACTCGTGAAACGAGCCTGAATTCCAAGCTCAACCTGGTGGATTTGGCAGGTTCTGAGCGGTCGAAGAAAACGGGTGCTACAGGAAATACTCTCAAAGAAGGATCCAGCATCAACAAGTGGGTCGCCTCGCAGATTGTCTGAGCTGACACTGGCAACCCCAAAGTAGCCGACATCATCCGCCGTCGCAAATTGTCATGGAAGGTCCCCGTCTGCGGATTATGTGACAGCATTTGCGAGCATTTCCCCCTGATACTGACAAATGCAAACCCCTGTGTTGTGGGGAGACATGTGCCTGAGGGGATGTCCGGAATGAATAGGATTGATCGTAGGGCCAACCCCCTCGTTCGGAAGGAACTTCAGTCAGTTCATGGATGGCGCTTGTCAAGCACCTGTGGTACTTGGTGGCGATCACACTTGCTCATGAATATCACTGTACAATCCGGGGCGATTTGCCGCTCTGCTTGGCAGGTCATTGCTGGCTCTAGGAAACGTCATCACCGCCCTCTCGGAAGGGCGCCTCAGCCATATCCCTTACCGCGATTCCACTCTCACCAGACTCTTGCAGGTAGAGTACCGGGTGTTGCCCCCTGCCGTGTAGGATATGTGCTGCTGCTAGTGGAGCCATTCGTGCAAGCTGTTGTTGAGAATGGCGGCACCCACACGCCGCACAGTATGAGGGAGGAAATAAACATGCGCGCGTAGAGTACCGTCAGTGAAACGATGACGAGGAAGACACACAAAAACTCAAGAACAGGGAGACGTTGATGTTGTCTCGGTGTCTGGTGCGGCCATGATTGACACGGCAGGAATCCTTGGGTGGAAACGCTCAGACGTTGATGCTGGCTGCCATCTCTCCGGCGGACTACAACTACGACGAAACGCTAGGAACCCTACGGTGCGTGTCAACAGCGTTGTGGTTGTTGTTGTCGATGTCGGTACGTGTAGGACAACCGATGCCTCGACCAACTCCTCAAATTGCGACCGATAGAAAGTACTGGTTCCAAGGCACGCCTGATACTTCGCTGAAGAAGAAGAGGTGTGCACTTGGCTGCACCACTCCACACACACCTACCCACGTGGTGGGGAGAGCAGTGGCGAATAGCGATGTCATAAGCCTGAAAGGCGCAGCAAATGACAACCCTCAGTCGTCTGACGACAAGGCGGAAGATTTGAGAATGAACAAAGGTAAAATGTTTCACCTCCTTCACGGCGGCGCGTCCAAGCTTGGCTCACCCTGCTCAAGATTCATGCCCATTTCAAACTCATGACCGGTTTTTACACGTTTGTGTGCCGACAGAAACAGCCAGCTCGAAACCTGCCGTGAGAGTTCTAGTAGCATCGAGGCCGTAGGTAGAATCTCATCCTATCCCAGACGAGACGCTCGACCTCCTCTTGTTGACATGTGTTCTCGCGTCCGTTGTGACCACCCCGTTTCCGTAAAATGTGCGGGGTTTCCACAGAATGACCCTCTTGTCCCCCGATGAGCGCCATTGCGCTTGGATACCTGGGTGGCAGCCGCGCCACCTGATTTGTCGAGCTTTTTGTTTTTTGGCTTAGATGGCGCAGCGTCCTCAGTCCGATGATTGGCATTGCGTTCGCTTGGGGTTCATTCGGATTCCTCCACCATTGTTTGGGGAGGGTGAAAGAGAGCGCACGTTGTGCTCATTCTCCCAGTACAAGCCTCCGGCGAAACTCTGGTACGCCTCAAAAAGACGTAACTCCCAAACAAACGCCAAAAATCTTGGAAAAAACAATCGACACCGAACACCGAACTCGCTACAGGTATGCGCACCGAGCAAAGAGTATTCAGAACTCCGTCAAGTGTAACGAAGATGTGAACGAAAAGGTGATCCGGGAGCTCAAAGAGGAGATCGAGAAGTTAAGACAGCAGCTCCTTCAGGGCGGGGGAGGCGGAGGGGGCGGGGGCGACAACGAGGAGGCGGCGGTCCTTCAGGTGAGGCAAGCTAGACTCTCTGTCCATCGCGGTGGCCCCGCTGCTGGGAATACGACACCAGTGCCGGTAACATGGGTATCGAATTAAGTGGGTGAACGGTAGAGCCAACCCTATGACGGCATGTGAAGGGCAGGCAGATGGAATGTACAGTGACAACACACGAACCGCAGCGCAAAAAAAACGATTATCGTCCAGGACCCATGCTTGCTGATGGTGCCGGAAGATGTCTTTTTCAGCAAGCGAGGGAAACGGAGGCGACCCAGACGACGAGAGGATTCAAAGAAGATCAATAAATTAAAGGTCACAACCACACCCACCAGCATCAGCGAAAGGGCAAGTATCGCGTCGTTGTAGCAAACATATTCGTCAGACCCTAGACGACATGCACAGTAAATACCTCGGAGAGAAAAACCAAAACCGTCCCCATGTGTACATGCAGGCACGCATGGACGAGATGTTGTCCGCCCAGAAGAGCAGCTGGGAAGAGAAAGAGAAGCTGTCAAAGCAGCTCGAAGAGGAGCGGCACAACAATGTCAACGCTGCGATTGGGCAGGTGATGCACGTAATGGCATGCAGACCTGAACTCGCCACCCCAGAACTGCTCGATGATCGTAAGGTGTTCTGCGTTCGTAAGTTTCCCCCTTTTGCTTGGGGCAGGCTTCTAGGCGAACCGCACTTCACCCCGGCCACTCCTTGCAGTCCCTTGGTGGTAAGGTTAGGACATTAGAACGTGTTCAGCCAAGTCTGCCAGATCATGTTTTCGTAGCACTGGTTTCATCCGCGTCAAATCACCACCCAACGTATTCGTACATCGATGGTCTACAGGTGGTTTTGACAACTCATTAGACTGTATTCCTGTCCGTTGTTTGTCGTTCTCTTGCAAGGTGGTGAGCGAGGTGAAGGCCAAGAAGATGGAGACGATGAAGGGGATCAAGCGGCTGCAGGTCCAGAAGGAGAACCTTTCCAAGAAGCAGAAGCAGGCGAAGGCGGACTACGACAAGGTAATGGCTGATGCTGCCGCTGTTGTTGTTGTTGTTGTTGTTGTTGTTGTTGTTGTTGTTGTTGTTGTTGTTTCTGCTGCTGTTGGTGGTGCTGTTGCTGTTGCTGTTGTTGTGGTCCCTGCTGCTGCTGTGGTGTCAACAATGACGAAACTGTTCTGTTTTCCACCAAATACCCCGTGGCCAACATGCTAAGCCAACGGGTACGAAACGAGATTGAGTGGTCACCCTCCACGTACCCCAAATGTGCAACACACCAAGAGTCTGCGTGTACTTGTTGTGCAGTAGTTCCAAGCAGAATCTACGCGTATACTGAGTTCACCAAGGGCATACGATGGCACTCTTGAGAGTAAATCAGAGTATGCTGTGATGCTTCACGCCCATTACCCTCTGGCTGTGTCTTGATAAGGCAATCACATTCCCCCTTTTTTCAGCGAGGTGGAAACGGGTGATGCAGAAATGGCGTTGCGCTCTGACAGCGACATCAACGAGCTTTCAGAAGCAAGCACGCAAGAACCGAATCTCCCCTGGCAAAAATAAGCAATGCCACCGACAACTATCTTTGGATATCCACATATTCTTAGAGGCCTGAAGGAAAGTATTTCATTGGCCGTGACCCATCCGTTAACCTGATGGACGTCACCTCCGTAAGCGACGCCAATCGCTGAACGAGAGTCCGGTGGTTGCAACGAAGGTCGGATATCAAGTTCCGCTAGCTAATTCGTTAGCCCCGTCTGGGTTGCCCGTGCATACGAACCCGCCCGATGTCTTCGTGTGCGTGCTTGGCATCACCGATGTCCGTGTGCCCCTCTCACAATACCGAAACAGACCAAGAGCGAGCTGCAGGCAGACATGGCCCAGTACCAGAAGGCGCAGACAGACTTCGACGCATTGCCACCGGGAGACCCCAAGAGGTAACACTGCTGCAAACGTGCCAGTGACTTAAGAACCCGACCATTTTTCACACCCAAGAGGTTGTCATTGCCGAGAATGGATGGTGGGGTTTCCTTGCACGCATCGCCCGGGCTTCGTACCCTGCGCGTTGATGAGCGATCGAGCTTTCGCAGTCGATCTGGCTGTATCCTGGCACCGAAAACGTCTTCTCTGTTGCTACTGTACCTCATCTTGTCTCTTGTCCTTCAGACGCCCCACAATGAAAAAGGTAGCAAGCGCGCAATATTTGATGAATTTTTCCTTCAATGTTTTGCTCCCCCTATCGACACCCCGAAAAAAGCGACCTCAAAACATTCGAAAAGGCGAAGGTCTCTAGGCATGCTTAACCATAACGAGAGCGACCTTTCTCCACGCAACGTCCCGATAGTCAACTGCCTCGTACGGTTTGGTAAAACAACGACTCGCGATAAGAGGCGCTTCACGTTGTCTGCGGCAAGCACATGATGCTCGGACTTTGCGCCGCTTGGATCATGACCCCGCACCGATATTTTTGATTCAACCCAGCAACCGTCCTGGACTACCTGCGGGCGTCAACGTGTTCAAGTACCTGCGTTGAGCTCTGGTTTAGGGAGAGGATGGTCCATGGGGTATGGATGCGAAACCGACTTGACATAAATCAACACCAGCGGGAGGACGTCCCGCTGATAACTGATGAAGAAACTTTTTCCCGCACAGAGACGAAGCAGAGGGTGCCATGGGCGCGCTGCTGGACAGTATCGAGGCCAAACGAGCCATTCTCCTTGCGGCCAAGGAGAGCGCAGAACGCACACGAAAGGATGCACGCAAGGTGTGTTGGTGTGGTCTAACTAGCTCCTTCGAGATCGTCAGATGTTTGGGGTTTTCACACACACACACACACACACACACCAGTTCAGGAGGAAAAATTCAGTTCAGAACCCAAGCAATCAGTCCTTTGCATGGATACTCTAGACGCGCCAAAGTGGGGGAACAGTTCAATTCCGGAAATCAGTCGTTGTTTCATCGCGCTTCGATTGGTACAGTGTGCGGCGCGAAAAGTACTCGAACACGAGGAAGCTGTTCCTAATTAGCTCGGGGCCCAGAAAAACAACAACAGGCGTTCTTCACCCACCTCTGCAACACATGCTTGTAGTTGGGATGAAACTGTTGCCGTCCGTGCGGCACGTCCTTGTGGCTTGACGCCAACCTCCCTCACCGAGTTTGGCTCGACGCCTGGTGAACTATATACGCCTCTGTCTTTCAAGGGAACGCGAGCTTCACCAGTTGTTGTGCGCGGGCGCTGCCGTGGTTGGTGTTTCAAGTTCTCTTCGCCCCCGCTGCGCCGTGTAAAAACCGATGCCGTCTCAAACCGTTGGGTTGAGCTGTGCATGTATGTCGTTCGCTTGCGTTCTTCTTCTCCTCAAACCCGTTCTCGATAGGGACAGCTTTGTCGCAGTCATCTGCACCCGTCCCATGTAAAGGTTTGCGCAACTGCTGTAGACTAAGTTATCTTGCTTGCCGACGACCGCTGTGTTTTGCTGCAGCTCGATGCCCGTCTCACAGAGGAAAGGGCCGAGCTGGTCGCGTCCAACGGCCTCCTGGACCAAAACGAGCGCTTGAGGGCGGCCATCGTAGCAGAGGAGAGGGAAAAGTTCCAATCAGAAAAGGTGCCTCGCACACGTAGAAACGCTACACTTGGCGTGTGATACGCGTCGTCATTGTACAAACAGCTACCCAGAAATGGTGTGAACGACGGCATGCGACAATATTGCAGAATGGGCCATCATTGGTGCGGTGGAAGAAAGGGGTGAACGCACTCAGAAAAGGTACACGGTTGCTCTAGAACATCGGAATATTTGCCTAGAAACGTTGCAACCGGCGGCAGTAGCACGGACGTCGAGGATGGCACATGGCAGCGGAGGGGGGGAAACACCAACATTTTCCTTGGCAAACACGGTTTCGCGTAATCCCATATTCCCTCGTTGTTGAGTTACGTCGAATATCTCAAGTAGCAGCCGAAGACCAAAGGTAGACATGAATGAAAAGCGACTCTCGGCATATGCGGGGTGTTTAGGACAGTATGTTGTTTTACGTGTGACAAAACGCCTTGTCGTTATCTTAATCTGGACACGTTCCCCGACGTCACGGGCCTGTGGTCACCAAACGAAAGGACTTTCCAATAGTGGACCAACGATCATTACTCGAGTCAAAGTGTGTAAGCTCAACGACTCTTGCAGTGGGCAGAGAAACTTTCATCATACATGTATATTTATTTTTACGCCAGCTCCACCTAAGGTTCTGTCGCCTGTGTGTTGTTGTGGATTCCCGTTACTTTTCCGCGTGGTGGTTCAGGAAGCATTAGTTGAAGCGGCAGTGGAAGAAGAAAAACGACGGATCCTGGAGCAGAAGGAGGAGATGGAAAAATCCGCCGACGAGATTCGAGAGGGTTTCCTCCAGAAGGAGGCGTTACTCGAGGTGGGCCGCTGCTGGGGTGAAAATTGTGGCACTGTTCACACATAACGTAGATTTGAAAAAATTCTGCGCATAACGGACCTGTTGGTTCGGCCAGCGAACATTTGGACGAGCACACGCGCCGGTTACGTTCGAGAGCAGAACGGGCGGGGGGGGGGGAGTGGAGTTGCGATGAAACAACGTGGTGTTTTAGTTGCGCTCCGGTTCCAGCGGCTTTGCTACTGCACTTTAGTGTTTTTGCGGTTGACATTCGTTTTCGTCCCCGCCATCTCCATCCTGAAGATACACCAACCTCAAGATCGCTGTCACGACCTTCGGGAGGAGTGAGAGGTGTTTGAGGTACAGGTCTCGACCCCGTCTGGAGCGTGCTCTATCAGTTCTATCAAACTCGTGCCTTTGTGACACAGAAACGCCGATTTATTTTTAGCTGAGAGCAACGACATCAACGATAGCATCAACATCGTCATTCACATCATCAGCTACAGCAACACACTGTGCAGCTTCACAGACGTAGTGGCCTCTAATTACGTCTTTCATGCGCATGCTTGCAGGTCGGCCTACAGCGAAAGGAAAGCACGAGACGCAAGATATACGTACGTCAGCATCACGTTCTCAAATCTCTTGAACCTAACCAACCGCAAGTCGATGTCGCCCCCATATTCGCTCTGGCACTGACGTCCATAGACCGTTCTGGTTCTAACGTAACGCAACGGCCCTTGGAAACACTGTGCAACGAAACAACACAGGGGAAGATAAAAAAGCTCGAACTCGAGGGGAGGGAATCCGACGCCCGCACAGAGGCGCATATGAATGATAAAGAAGAGCTGGAGAACAAGCTTGCCGAAGCCGAGGTATGACGTTATCAGTCTAGGACACACCCCGCTCCTGTGCGAAGGACGTACTGCAGTTTAGAGTTTCCTGGTTGTGGACGCCCGGGTTTCACTACTGTTGCTGTGGGCAGAGCTATCACCGTTCCCGCCCACGCAGACCAACTCATCCCTCCTGCCTGCCTTCAGCGTTCATGGTGACTGAGGTACAATACGAGCGCTTCCCTCACCGATTCGCTAAGTTGAGTTCCTGCAAACCAGCGCGTATCTACAGTGTGGACAACGGCATGGGGGTGGGAACATCTACTTCTCTTGCTCTCTTCCTCACTGGTGCGGAGGATAAGGAATGCAGCATGCAGGCGGAAATTTTGTCTCACCGACCCCGCCATAGTTGTTCGATGGAATTGACATAAAAACCAAATATACTGAAATCGTTTCGCAGGTAGCGCTGGACTACGCCCAGGCAGAGGTGGCGGAACTCCGGGGCAAGATCGCGGCGAAGGATGTCGAGATCGCGGTGAGGTTTCATAGCAACAATAATTGACACCAGTATTCTAGCCTGGTTTCTAAGGCTCAAGTGTGCCTAGGTTTGCTCTTGTGATAACAGGTGTCGCAACAGAAGCGCCGGTGGTGGCTGAGAATAGGATGAGTACTTTTCGTGGGCTCTCGGTGTACCTGCCGCCCGGCGAAGCGTTCTGTGAGAGCATGCGGGGTATTGGCGCAGGAGCACCCCGCCTGTGGGTCACGAAGCCCACCCGTGTACTGGCTCGCTGGCTATGAAACCGCCGAGGATTGGAATCGCACAGTTTGCGGAATTCGTTTCATGCTCAACCGTTGCCACGGAGAAGGTAGCCCCAACCACAGAATGTAAAGATCAGCAAACTGCGAATGACGATATTCCACGCCTGGCAGGAAGCAAAATCAGCAAGAGTTGGAGGAGGCGAGGGGACGGACGCGGAAGGAGAAGAAGCGAGAAAGGACGAAGAGTGAGAAGAGGGTCACCTGATCGGGATTTCCATCGAGTGTGTACCAACAGGACAGGGTTGATTGCGCATTGGAAGAAAGCGAAAATCAACAGGTGTCTTCTCGAAGCGGGTGCCGTGTCCCCTCGCGTACTGCCGCTCTTCCACGTCGCGTTCTTGATTGGAAACCAACGGTTTGCGGATAGAGGCAACAATACAAACCTCTGGGCTACACCACTTTCTTCATTCGGGGGCAAGGCCGGGGGCGGGGGTTGACTAGATGGAGAAACACTACGTTTAAATACGTTACATGCGGTGCTGAGAACGTATCTCAATACCCTCCACAGGTACAAAATCTTCAAGGGGTTACTGGGAGCGTTTGACGAAGAGCGGCGGAGGTTCAGAGCCCGATTACGAGAGCAGGAGCTCCTGATGCAGGTATGTCGCACCGGGAAAGCCGGTCAGCACTGACCGAGCTGCAAGTTACTATTGGACCGAAGAAGCACGTACCCGAAGTAAACGAACACCATCCTGAGTAAGCAGCCCAAGTGTGTTCCTTCTGTTTGCACCACTGGACGTGAATGGGCCGGTGGCAAATCCCTCTTAAAAAAACATGCTTTCAACCTACTGCCCCGTTTATTGCATATACACCTAGTGTCTGACATTGCGGACTCGTTTCGAGTGGAAAACAGTATGGTGATACGCATGTGTAACGGCGTACACGGCGATTGGTACAGGCCGCGCCAAGATGCTATCCATGCCGCTAGTTCTTGTCAATATCTTACAACAACCGCGTGTCCGGCAGGCGTTGTCCCGCTTCCCTTCAAAACAATCCATGAACTTCCGGGCGCAACGACGTCGTTGGACGCGAGTTCGACAGTAAGACAACGCCACTAACACAGCAAGAAAACACAATGTTCTCGTGTGTCGTTCACACACACCCTCCTCGCAGCAACACAATGCCACCTACACACGACTGAAGTCGCACTACAGTGGTGTACTTCTGCACTGAACAATGGATGGCAGTTTAACGTCCTGTAGACAGGAAATGACTGTGCCTCACAAGACCATACTCCCACCCCCCTCGCGCGGAGATTGGACATCAACCGCAACCCACTTGCCCTTGATATTGCCTCATGCGTGCCTCCTGTACAATGGTGTTCCCCGATTCCTTCCTGCCCCCCCCTCCTCCCGTCAGGATGCCGTGCGAGATATGTTGTACTTGAAGGAGAGCAACGATGAGCTAAGGCTGAAACTCAAGCAGGCCGCAGATTGGGATGTAGACATTCTCTAGACATGATAATTTCGTTGGCCACCATGTAATGTATGTCTGTAGCAAAGGCCTTCAAGTACTGGCCAATTCAGACTAGTCATGAGTGGACTAGTACGTCGAAGCAGGGGGCAGAGGATCGAACGGGTCCACTGGTTCGTGTACGTGGGTGGCCCCGCACCACCGTAGAAGTGAGATGTTGGTGCTTGGGTTAGGCTATGGATGCGTTCATTTTCGGTGGTTCACGTCTGCCCGCAGTGATGTAGAATTAGCTTAGCCGCGGTGGTGATCCTGCCATCCTGACCGCTTGTACTGGTCGACTTTCCCCATGTCTTGAATCAGAGTTTGAAGAATTTTGCCTAGTGTTGGAAGTGCACTAGGTAAGGCAGAGCTCTCCGGCTGTCCGGTGTGGGATGTGGTGCCGCAACTGGTATTCGTGGTCAACACGTTATATTTTGAAATCTGTGAAGCAGGTACTTATTGGTAGGTTGGTAAACCTAACGGCGGGAATAAATGATTCTTTTTAGGTAGGCGGTTGAGCATGTTTCGGCGGTACATGCATGATTTTATTTTGAAGGAGTCGGTAAACAACAATATGGCGGCACCACCCATTAACAACAACCGGCCCTATCAGACTGCTGTGTGGGGTTATAAACGGTACAAATCAATCCATCCGGCTGTGGTAATAATGCTTCTCCGTGTACCAGAATATTCTCACAGACGCTCCGTGCCGTTCTTGCTTACAGTATGGGTCCGCACAAAAAGAAACGTGAAAATCGAGTCGAGCCTCGGTTCTTATTTCCTCACCACCTGCAGGCGAACACAGGTTGTAGTCAGCCGCGGAGCGCGAAGCGCGACCGTTCTTTTCCGTCCGTCCGAAGAGGGAAAATACAATTTCAATGAACGACCGCCTGGTTTTTTCGTCCTTTTCGACCAGCAAGAGGTGTACAGAGCACCGATTGACGATCTGCTGGCATTTGAGGAAGAAGAAAAATAGGGCGCTCTTCACCACACCGGTTTGCTCGTGCCCCGACAGCAGATGGCCGTGCCTCACCGGCATTTGTACCCAAAAAACATAGGAGATTGTTACCCCCATCCCCTCGGAGTTGTAGAGAAAATGCAAGCCAAGGCATCGTATATCTCCCACCCAGGCACACGTGGTTGCTTGGTTCACACCAGACCACGAAGAACAGAAGAAGCACTCGGCGAAACTCGCAACACCGCCGGGATTGCCAAGACAGCACTGGCGGGGGAAGGGAGCCATACACAGAGCTAGTGGCGGATGCCATTGTCATTGCTGTTGCTTAGGTGTGCGTGTGGAGAGTGGAGAGTGATCATCAGTCAAAACCTGGGGGGAAAGTACACGAACTGATCCCAGTAGACAGGCGCGGCGGTTTTTTTTCGGGCTGTCCCACACTCTCCGGCTCGAAAATTCTGAGCGTCCCAGATCCTCCTGGTCTGTATCAATCACCACACAAGACGGAGCATGGACACAGCTCGTGGCGGGAAAATGTCTTTGTTATTGCTGTTGCTTCGGTGTGCGAGGAGAGGGGTCACCTTGAAACACACATGCTCAAGAAGAAGACCCTCCTGTTTTGACGGGATGTTTTTTCTCTCGCATGCATGCACTGCTGTGCCGACTCGCCGCCTCCAATTTCCGTGGGTCCCATGGCCCCGTGGCCTCTGTCAGTCGCCACGCAAGACTTGGCATAAACACAGGCCGCGGGGAATAGCTTTACAAGTGCTGCTGCGGCATTCTGCGGAGAGAAACCACCGAAAGCCTTAATCGATATGGAACGCACGTATGGTACACAAGTCTACCGTCGCCGACATAAGATACCACCCCCACCCCCTGTTTTCAGGCTCGAGTATTCCACGACGAAGAGGATGTGTACACCCCGCGAGACGTTGCCGAAAAGCTGTTGACGAGACGTTTCCCACACCACCATTACCGGCGCAGCCACTCTTTGTGGTGTGGTGCAACCGAGCTTTGGAAATTGGTCCAGGGTGTGGTATCTTGCGTCATCTACGGCATACTGCTGTACATATCCGTTCGTTGCCGAGGAGAAAGAGCCTCTTTTTATGTTATTATTGATGGTGACTCGGATTCAAAACCCAACGGTCGGGTGCACTCGCCACCGCTGAAAGCAACACAGATAGACTACTGCAAGGTATTGAGTCGGCTACCTCGCGGCTCACCCCGCCCTATGTAGTAAACTTCACTATGGAGTTTGTGTACAATGTAGGATCCACAGCTGAGCTACATTGGTATTTCGTGAAAGCCTATGTTTCTTAACGATTTCTTTCTTAACAGCGGGCCTGCACTGTACTTTCGCAGAGCTGGGTCTCACAGTTGTTGCCGGGCTCGGCTGTGGGTCGGTGGGTCACGCTGGGTCACAGGAGCGGACCTTGCGCATGTGCGCATCTGCGCATCCACATCCGGAGATGATCCGCAGAGAGAACCTTTAGTTCACCCGAAACGTCACGGGTGATTGCGCCGCCTCTCCTTTTATCCTCCTCCGTCCTTCATCGTCCTCCTCTCCGGTGACATTGGTACATGTAGAGTTCCAAGCTTCCGTGCGATGGCTCCTCCATGTACGACAACGATGCCTCGCCGTACCCGCGCGGGCAGCCGGTACCGCAGTTATGGTCTTCTCGGCTTTCTGCTTCTGGGCCCTCGATCATCAGCCGTGTTGGCTGAAGCTTGCAGACGCAGCACATGTTTGGGCGGCGGCAAACGAGGGGGCGGGGATCGGCGGCAGCTTCGGGCCGCTACGCCTGGGCAAGTGAGTGCATGCACACTGGCGTTGCTTTGGTGGCATCATTGTGTCGAAGAGTGCAGATAAATGAGTTCCACGCCAGGAGTCCAATCATGAGATACTGGGTTACTGGGTTTGGCTCCATTGGTGGGGTGTGTCGCCCTACCACACACGGAGATAATCATGGTGGCATCAATCCGGTCGAGTGCGCCGTGTTGGCGGGTACTGTAGGCCACCCCCGACTTGAGCAAAACGTCGATCACAAAAAATACAAGGGTGGAGTGCGCTTACCGTTGAAGGTTGGCGAAACGCAAGGCCGGCAAGCTTGCCACGCGGCAGCACGGGGGGCACTAGGCATCATGCCGCAACATCTCCAGCTACAGTAGCTGCTTCCTGCTCTATCGTGGAGCTCACGACAGGTTGTGCCGGGAGCAATATCTTCGATGCGAGCTTCCTCTGCTGCTGGCCGTGTAAAGCGCCAAACGGTTGATGGCGCCGTCGACAGCGGTCTGCCGGCGGGTAGGACAAACATGGCCTCTAGCAAACCCTCTGGTCGGTTGGCACGGGAACTGGTTTCTTCCTAAAAAAACGACCCCATTCGCAGGCGATAGCCTGAGCGTACCAGGTATTGGTGTGTTTCTTCGTTAAAGTGGGCACATGGTGTCCAACTCGGTTTCCCATCTGTTGTAACCCGGCTTTTACCACCTTCCCGAAGTGTGGGGACGCGGGGCACACTCACGAAGTTTTCGCCAAGTGGACCGTACTTTTCGAAGGTAACACCGAGGAGGCGCCCGAAACAGCGCTTTGGAAAAGCCGTTGCTCTCAGTCCAGATCCGACGCTGGAGAGATACCTCCACACGTATATTCGACCATCCCGTGACTCTTCTCCGGCCCATGCGGCTGCTGTGTCCATACGGCTCTGTATCGCGTCTCAGTCGCGTCTCGTCACCCCCGAAACGGGCGGGAGAGGCGGCGGTTCTCCTCTGCTGCACGGGAGCATGCGTGCTTGGCGGGGGGGCGGGACGGCGGGAGGCACTCCGCCTACTGCTAGCAAGGGCGAGCCGAAGAAGAGCGATGGGCCCTCGGTGCCGCCCCGTTCTACGGGTGATGGCGTTATGGGTGGTAACACCGTGAGGGCGGGCACAATGGAGTCGGCGTCCTTGCTTGCGGGCAACGTTCAGCGGCTGCAGTTTCTGAGGAAGAAGACGGGGGTTGATCTCGGGGTAAGTTCGAGGTTGTGAGGAGGCCGGGCGCCCGATATTTGACTTGAACGTCATGGTGTCCAGGTGGTCGCCGGGACGATGTAGACATTCAGCACACCCAGGTATTACCTCGAGGAGCGTCCTCCCCGGCGTAGCTACAGTTTCTAGATTGGAAAGCATGCGTAACACAACCATTAGAACGTTGCCCTACCGAAGAAGGGTTTGTTGTGTCCAGTCGCGCGCGGGTGACTCAGCAAACAAAGCATGCTTGCCTCGGAGTCATCGAGGCTATACCAGATATTTCGGCCGAATCGGTGACGGATAAACGTGTGAAGCGCCGCCGCCCCCTTCTCCTCGCGCGCATCAAGGTGACGGTTTACTCCCTGTACGCTATGGCCATCCGGAGCGTCATCTCGACCATCGGCCAGCCGCTGCGAGATGCCACGGCGAGGAGGACCCGGCTTTTCGGGGCAGCCTCGGATGAAGCTGCCGCAGCCGGGGCAGCGGCAGCGTCAGGCGAAGCAGCATCAGCGTCGATGCTCGACGGCTTCGAAGGCGTTGTTGGTGCTGGTGGTGCCGCCGCCGAGGCCCTCGCCCGCGAAGCTCTCGAGCCCATGCCGTTCGCCTACCTGCCGAGCGTCGGAGCGATGCTGCTGCTTGTGGCGGCGGTGGCGGCGCACGTGCTGCTCCTGCTGGGAAAGAAGTGGTCCGTCCGATTCCATGCCTGGTAAGATGTGTTTGTCGCTGATGTTTAGGCGGTCGACTGGAACCGCCCCGCCGGGCTGGTCGAGGCTTCTGGGTGTGCGGCGGCTGACGTGTTTAATCGATGCCGGGTTGCCGAAGAGCTTGCCTCCAAGGTCGCAGCGAACTTGTGAGGTTTTGGACACTAGGGAGCCAGTGCTCTTTCGGTTTCTGGCTTTGGGCTCACGTTTTAGCACTTTCTGGGTACGTTGCCGACTGTATGTCTGGCAAATCTTGGGCGATCATCAAACACCGGCTTCAGAGTATCAGAGTTGCTGCAGGTGTCCCTTCACAAAGCACTTATCACAAAGCACTACTGGTGTGCCGATTTAGAAGCTTACGTGTGTTTCCCTCTCGATTGGACAGGCCAAACAAGACATGAGCGCCGCTTTCCTGTACAGTCAAAGGCCGACTTCTATATTTCGCCTTGCTGCAAAAGAACGTCCCGACTGCAAACCCCGGCTCTAGGTTGCTCAGACATCGCCTCCGGTTGCCGTCCTTGATCCCGCCGCCTTTGTCCTGGTGGTATTGCCTTTGGACTGTTGACGTTCTGCCCGCCCTTGCACGCATCGTGTTTTTGCTTGAAAGGAGCTTGTTCTAGGAGGTACGGTATTGACGTGGGCGGTGTATATCCCTCGACAATCCCTTGCCTCTCTTCATCCTGTCGTCAACGTCGTCCCTTCTTTCCGTTCCTGTCCATGCCTCTTGCACTCTTGTTGTTTCGGGCCTGACCAGGAGTGCCTTCGACGAGGTCTTGACTTGGGAAGAAGCGGATGCCGTCCTGGTCACACCCGTTAAACATACCGGGTCGCCAGCTATCTGTCCCCTGGTAGGCACGCCTCGCTTGCTGCGAGATCCAACAGCTACAGAGGAGGGTCAGGAGTCGGAGGACGAGTCGCAGGATGCTGAGGACGAAGAGAAGGCTGTGTCGTCGAGAGACGAGAGTGGAGGAACCCCTGGGGCGACGAAACAGGATGGAGACGGGGAAGGAACTGAGGGACTAGGGGAGGATTTGTCGTCGGAAGAAGGCTCAACATCAACGGAGCATCTTTCGGAGGAAAAGGAGGGGGAGGCAGCAATTCCTGGGGACTCGCGGCAACGTCAGGGTGCTGCAGCTGCCGTTGGTACTACTGCTCCTGCTGCTGCTTCTGCAACAGATGTCGACGTCGGCGCCGACCCGCCGTCCTTCGTCTACCAGAGGCGGAAGTTTGTCCTGAAGCGTGCTGCGACTGATGCTGCTCGGGGGAGCGAGAGCAAGAGGGACGACGAGGAGAAGGAGGAGCTGGAGAAGGAGGAGGGGGAGGGGGAGGGGGAGGGCAGCGCTCGCCGCGGAGCAGGGGACGAAGCGGCAGATACTTTCGAACTGGTGGAGCTCCCGATACGGTGGCCGCTCGGACGGTGAGCCCCGGCGCTGCATGCCCCGAGCTGTCGTTGTACGATGGCCGTTGCTCAGCGAAGACGAAAGCTGTGATGCACAGATATTCCACACGTTCCTACGCCAGTAGCTGAACGGTTCATTTCGTAGGCCGTCCCCGGAGTAGAAGAACTCGCAAATTTGAGGTGAAAAGCGCATATTAGTGAATACACACCTCGATGGTTGAAGGCCTGCTGAACCCTTGTGGGGTACAGTACGAAAGGCGAACCACCGCGGAAGGAAAGGCGGAGAATTCCTCCTGTACATGCTTCCGGGGCAGAGTACAACAAAAATGTGGAACGAAAAACGAGACAGAAGACATTGTAGTGAAACTGATTTTTGCTCTTAATAGACTTAATCCCAAGCTACACCGAGTGATCTATCGACAACTGGCCCTTGTGTGGGCGCGGGATGCCAACACAACTTCTTGTTCGTTCTTCAAGTCAAGCTGTGCCAACGAGCAGCTCTATTCCCAATCCGGTGGTATCTCGACAGCACTCTGATGTGATGTCGTTTTGTCCGCACACGCTGGGAACCTTTCAGTTGCCATTTTTTTTTATGCAGAAAACACACCGTGTTCGAAATTGGTTCGATTAACACACTTTGTTGTTCCCAGACATGTGCATCCCTAGAGGTTACTCTACTAGAGGTTACTCTACCGTGGTCTTCGTACAGCGGCTACGCGTGGATGCTTTTTTCATGGCACGAAGCTCCAGATTGCTTTTCTCTTGGGCGAGGATGTTTTTTCAAGCGGGTTTCTTGCCCCGAAAAGCTGGAAACTTGCACAGCTCCATAGAACAACAAGTCTTTGGGCTGCAGTTCTCGGAAGGACACACCTATCTGCAGCATGATAGAATACGCAAATGTGTGGCTGAAGCTCACGAGGGGTGCTCCTGTCTACATGGACGCTGCTCCTCCTCGTGTGACTGCGGCCATGAAACACAGTACTGGAAGCCCAAATGGGGCCACGTTGGGGAAACAGCACTCAATTACCTCTTTTCCGCACCGTAGTCACCCTAGGCTCCGCTGTGCGCAACGCACGTGAGGGCCCTTGGTCTATCATGCTTGGCTGGCGAGGTACGCTGTGTGATACGTTGTGCGATTCCTGTCCTGGGCCTCTGTCTTGCTGCACACATCTCCTAACCCTTGTGCACACTAGGTCGTCAAACTGGACATCTCCTGGTACTGGATAAATTTGCTGACTTGGCTTCAGTATGAAAAGTGTCCCCACGTGCGCGGGGACACTTTTCATACTGAAGCCAAGTCACCCTTGTCTGGCAAGGATCTCAGATTCTCTGGAGGGACTGTAGCCCCTCGACAAATGGCTGACAAACAAACAAAATTTTGTTTTCGCGGAGGGACTGGGTACTAGGAGGGTCAAGACAGGAGCCTTGTCGGAATGGACCCAACGTCTTTCGTTCAACACCCCGGCAGTCCCCTTCCCCGCGACTTACCCTTTGCTGATTCATCCACCTGTAAACACACGAAGAGTGCCCTTGCGTTACCGACACAAAGGCCGCGGGATCATCCCTTCCACACACACACAACCTCCCCTGCCGCCGCGTCTCGGCTCCGTTCGGGGCCTGTGGCACACGCGCGCACAGATATCTCCAAGCAGGCGGTCTGACTCTGGAGGCCGCCGGCGCGAAGCTGAGGCTGTTCGGCGAAAACTCGGTGGACGTGAAGCAGCCCACGTTCTGGCACCACCTGGCGGACCGGCTCACCAGCCCGTTCGTCGTGTTCAATCTCTTCAACCAGGTACGTGTCAGCTAGGCTTGTTGTACTTTTGCTGTCGATTTTTGGGTAATTATGCTGACATAGTGTACAAGAAAAGTGCATCAATTTCAAGAAATAGTTGCCTACGAAGCACAAGCCTACTAGCAGTACGGAGTTTCGAAGCCGTTTGACTCGAGCGCTGCCTGTGGGGTGCTGCGGCTTCCGCCGCCAGTACCTGCCACTGCGTCTCTCACTCGGTGAAACGTGTCATGTTGCGGCAAAGGAAGGAAAGGATCCAGCCATGTCAATAGTTTGTTGTGCTTCGGCCTGGCTGCCGGCACGATTCCATCGCACTGCGTTTGTAACGCCTACGGCGCCTCCAGAGAATGTCGTTCGCTGGCTTCATCGTGCGGCATTTCCTGTTTCTTTTTTACAGATGGGTCGTCGTTATTAAACCCTTTGCCCCGAAAACGAGAGCCTCATCTCTGGACTCGATTAGACATACTCGCGTGCAAGCCTGAAAACGATTGAGCTGCGGTTGTTTGTGGAATGCATTGGAGGGATGGCCCCTCGATAGCAATGACGTACAAGAGCTTCGACGCTGCTGTTGGTGCGGACAAGACGTTTGATGAGTCCGTCTCGCGATGAAACTGATTTCCAACACGCCGTAGAGTGGAGTGAGCATCCTGTGTACCCCACGATCGTAGCTCCTCAAAAGTGGTAGCAGACCGAGTTGTTTGTACGGGTTGCGATCGTCGGTATCACATGAGACACGTGATGGTGTGAGCACGACAAGCAGGGTTGCAGCTTCCAACTCGCGGATGCTGCTGGTTTCGCAGGCCTAGTCGGCCACGTTTGAGCCTGTGGCGTCCTAGAACCTGTTGCCTCTCCCCCCCCCTTGTTCTCCCTCCCTCCCTCTCCCTCTCTCTCTCGCTCTTGCCCAGCTTTCAAGCGGAAATGTCAAAGCCTCATGGTTGCAATCCAATCCACGGCGCGACACCCTATCCTGAAACTTTTACCGTCATCGCAATATCCATTTTTATTCGCTGCCTGTGTGTTGTCTGACTGTGGTTGCGTCTACAAGACCGAGGGCATTTTCGGGAGCTACGCCAAAATCGTCGTTTTGCCATTTTGACAGTCAGACCACTCTCGAGTTGAGCGTAAGTACGCAAGGATGGGTTTGAGAAGCCCTTCCCGGTGTTGTGGCTGCAGCTTTCTCAACACCGCTATTTTCCGCATGTGTTTACAGGTAGAAGGGTTGCACTGGCTCTTCCTTAGGAGATCCTAGCGCTTGTCGCTGATACGCGGCGCCACGCACGGTTTCGTCTGGGAAGGTTTTCCCGCGGTACCGGAAGCGGAGGGCCGCACCTTTTTCCCCGAATAATTTTCTTCAGGGCAAGGAAAGCATCCGTTCGTTCGCGGTCGATGGCTTTTTTTTTTTTGCTGTTTTTTGCGGTCTAACGTTTTTGACGAAACCAATTTGCGCGACTGACTAGGTCCTTTGGATGCTGGAGTTGTACTGGTTGAAGGCGTTACTGGCTATCGGGGAGGTGATTGGCGTGGAGGCTATCTTTGTGGCGGACGCGGAACGGAGGAGGATGCAGCTCGACATCAGAAACTCCAAGAAGCCGACCAAGAGGTAAAGTGATAAGACTCTGGCCGACCTTGGGTCATGGGCATACAAAATAATCGCTTCAACGTGTGAAGCACGGTCGCTGTTTCAATCGTTGAAACCCCCGTGCCCTTTCCTTGTCCACGGTCAACTCGACGCCACCCGTGTTAGTCTAGGCCGACATGGAGAGACCCGAAATTGTGTTGTATCTCCATTTGCTCAGCTCGACACCGCGCGAGCCAAATGTAGTCGGTGGTTGGGGATGGCGATATCTCGCGCGTTTGCACGGTGGTCACTCGGACCTGCCACGATCGTACCGGTCCGCCGACGTCCCGCTGAATGCTGCTGCGGCAACGTTGACAGGGTGAGAGCATGGCGAGGGGGACAGTGGGTGCCCATCCCCGTGTCGAGCATGCTTCCGGGGGACTTGGTTTCGCTCAAGACAGGCGTCGTCGCGGTTGCCCCTGAGGGGTCAGAGGTCGGCGATGGCCAGGTAACGGACGGTGGCCGTGGTGTTGGGTTCAGTGTCGACTCGCTCGCGAAGACGAAACGTTGTGTGCAGGGCTTGTGCGCCGAACTTGTTGCTTGATACCCGCCCCTGCTTGTCATCGTGTTGTTGCCGGCGGCAAAGATGGCTTACTGCTGTCGCCGCCGTCCGTCATCGTCGTCGCCGTAGCCGTCACCTGCTTTGCAATAATGTCGTTACTCCCGTCGGAGTAGAAGGCACCCTTGCAGTCCGCCTACCTTCATGGCCATCTCAACTCGCCGCTTTTCGAAACATGCTTGCATTTACGTCAGCAACGAAACTTTGCTGTTCCCCTGCTGTGTCAGGATGACGCGAAGATGCAAGACGAGGAGGCGTTTTTCGTGGGGGAGCTGCCGGCGGACGTGCTGCTGCTGAGGGGCACCGCGGTGGTGAACGAGGCCAGCCTCACGGGCGAGAGCGTGCCACAGATCAAGACTTCCTTGACGTCGGAGCCGATAGACTTTGAGGACGAGCTCGACATGACCGGGGTGAGGGTCTGGCTGGCTGTGGGTGTTCAGCTCGATGTTGTTTATTTTGTGCTGTTGTTGCTGCGTCCATCCACGACCCCGTGTCGAGCCCAATCTAGCGCATCCAGGGCTCGGCTGACCCTGGTTCATTATTTTCAGCCGGTTCGGCCACGCTATCACACAGGCTTGCCCACACAACGCTCCCGCGTTGGCAGCATTGTATCTACAGCATTAATTTTCGCTACTGGCCTGGTCCTTTCCGCTTGCTTGTGGCTACTTCACCGTTCGCACGCGTTCGATTTTTTCGACGATCAGAGACATTCCGGCCACGTCTTGCTGAGCGGAACGACCTTGCTGGACCAGACCGACGGCAGTGACAGTGACTCATCGCGGCCATCACCAACCGCAACGAGTTCCGCCGCGCTCGGGTCTTCCCTACCCGGTGAGGAAGAAGCAACACGATGCTAAAGCGTGTCAAATTGTTTCTTCACTTTTGGGGGAAGAGTATGGGGATGGATGAAGCAAATGGTGGAGTCGCGATTTGCCTACTGTAGTACACATTTGCTATGGAGACCGTCTTAAGAAACATCGGGCAAACGAATAAGTCCTCCACGCCTCGGCATACACCGTGCTGTGGGATGGGTTATCTGTTTCTTTTCTTTTTTCATGTGGTATCGTCTGCTTTGATATCTCACCACCTTCTCGTACCCGAGGCGCCGTATGGTGTCCCGCATGCCTCAAAAAGGATACCTCCGGGGGCTTCACGGTGTGGTTTGACGACACGCAACAACGTACGGTGTGGCGAGATCCGTCGACACGACACGCGCCCTTGATTTTGGATTTTTTGGGGGCTTTGTGGCTACATCACAGCAGTGGCGCCAGACTTGTTAAAATGAAGAACTACAACGGTTCAGAGGTCTATGCACACGACGAAATCAACTGACAAACAGCGGTAAACGAACCCTCCTTTCGCCTTGCTGTTGCATGTCGCCAGTCTCCACGCCGGACGGGGGAGCGCTGTGCTACGTGCTGCGAACGGGCGTTTACTCCTTCCAGGGCGACCTGCGGAGGACCATCGACTTCGGCAACCACGGCGTGCGCCAGGAGTCAAAGGACGCGGGTGCGTTGCGACGACAGCGTGCGAACGCAAGATGTTTCGTGACGCACCCAGAGGGTCTTGCTGCGTGCCTCTTAAACACGATACGGACACGGACTGACTCGAGTATGCAGCACGCGCGATCAGAGTTGGGCAGGACTCGTATGGCTGCAGAACCGGGGTCCACAACTGTTCGGCAACTTGCCTGCTGGCCGCATGTACAGCAGCAGCGTAGCAAGGTCCCAGTCGGGCGGCATTGTAGGTTGCTTTTTCGAGGGAATTGGCGGTTTGTGCGATGTCCACCGGGCCGGAGTCAACCTCGACAAACGAGGCGGCTTGCGCACAACCTGAATGCGTTGTTTTTTGAAAGGAGAACGATCCACGGGGTGTCGAAACACGCGGTACATCGCGGAGATCACCCTCGCCGCCCACAGCGCCCGTTGTTTCGTGTGATTTTCTTTGTTCCCGAGAATGCGGTCACGATGCGATGCCTCATTCGATGTAAGCCGTCATTTCGCTCTACCATTCTTCCCGCGTAAGTTACCGGTCGACACCTGCCGAACACCCGATTTTCTGTTGGATCCACGCACACGCGTTTTTCGCTTGGTGCTTCAAACATTTACAGAAGTCGTGCCTGATATTTTGTTGCTGCTGAAGTCGGGTGTTGGATGCGACGCCGTTTTTTTCTTTCGGGTCTTTGCAGGATACCTCCTGGCTTTCCTGCTGACGTTCGCCGCGTTATCGTCGGCCCACGTGGTGCGGGAGGGCCTCAAGTCTCAAGCCGTTTCCGGATTCAGGCTACTGGTGCAGGTACCCAGTTGGTGCTTTCGCCGGATTCAGGGTACTCGTGCGGGAAGTCCGTCAACTGCTTTACTGTTTGTCGTATCCCTCGATCTCAAAATACCGAATTTTTCTTCCGGGGCCTGGATGGAGTCTAGAACTCTAGCGCAGGTTTTCGCCTACAGGTATGCGGCGATGCTGCATTCAAGTTGAGAGCAAGCCAATAACTGACGGCAAAATTGTGGGCTGGGCACACAAGGTTTGCCGACAAGTAGTTTCGACCCCTTTTTTCGCCGCGGTAACAACGCGGACTTTTTTTTTTGTGCTCGTCGTGTTGTTGCTTTTTGGTTGGTGCGGCGCCCTCTCTTTTTACCCCGAGCAGTGCGTCCGCATCCTCTCGGCCGTGGTGCCCGGAGACCTGTCCTTCGAGCTGAACCAGTGCCTCCGGAACGGCGTGCGCTCCCTCCAAAACGGGCACGCGCTTGCGTGCACGGAGCCGTTCAGGATCCCGCTGGCGGGGAAGGTGGGAAGTCGTTGACGCGACCTGGATTTTTCCTAACCTCGAAAACAGTGTTTTGAGGAGAGAGGCAAACCCCGGCAAGCAAACATGGTCTTGCTGGATGTTGTGGCTGGTAGGTCTCTCGAGCGATTGAGGGTTTGGCCATGCGGTTTTGTGGTTAGCGAACAGACCGTTGGCACTTTCATGTTCGTTGTATTGTTCTGTTCTGTCTTGATGTGGTGGCGTTCCCTGATCGATCTAGAGTCCTGCGAACAACACCCACAAGCAGCGGTCAGTGCTGCACGTGCAGGGTTTAAAGAACTTAAGAGAAAGTTTAGCAAAAGAAGGGGTCGCCGGCGACCCTTCCAAATGCAACCAACCTGGATAAGCAATGATGTGTGCAACCAAACCAAGCGCGATCACAGCCAAAAGCGGATGACATCCTATTTCACACGATTTTCCGGCACGATCGCTGTGTCCGGTGGCGCTGTCGTGTACCTACCTTGTCTTCCGTTCGACTTCAACTAGCCGCATAGCCAAGATTAAAGGGATTCATGCCCACCTTGTGCCACGAACGATTGAGTGTTTGAAGGCGTTCCGGCGCCATCCTACGGCGCTCATGTGCCGAAATTGGTCTCACCCTCGTCTATTGGTTTTTCCCAAGTGAAGGGTTATCGTAGCAGCTCGACGGTTCTATCTACAATGGAGTGTTGACGCATGCGGTTGGTCATTCTCTTTGATTCCCGCCGCTTGTATCGTCCCGTCCCTCGGCCTTGCCCCTCCCCGTACTGGCTTGCCACCTCCGCGGGGCCGCTGCAGGTGGACGTGTGCCTGTTCGACAAAACGGGGACTATCACCTCGGACAAGCTCCGGGCGGAGACTCTGGTGACCCCAAAGTCTCTCCGTCCCAACAGCCCCCCAGTAGCTGTCAGCCTGGGCCATTCGGCCCGAAGCGGCGGGACTGCTGCCAGTTCGGAGCGACCGGGACTTGCGGCCGAGGTGAGCGAGAGCGCACGGGTAGAGGACGGCGGGATCGGTGACGAAGAGTTTTATTGTCTCCTGAGTTCGGTGTTGAGCACAGGATCATGTCGTCTGCTGCTGGCGACGTTTTCTTTGCGTTTGGATGCCGTGTACGGATTTAGACCCGCGCGTGAACGGTTGGCTCACGCAAATGTCTTAGCCTTTTCGTGTGAATATTGGAGGCAAAGGGACACATGTTTTGGGGCAGTACCTTACCCGCAGTCTCTCTTCTTGCCCATGTCGCGGTTCCCCCTCACAACCCCCCCCTAATGGTGGTCGAGTAGATTATGTTGTACGGGGTCGAGAACGCTCACTCCGCGCAAAGGGGATGATGGCACGGCGTTGTGTTACAATGGTCAAGCACCCTCGAGCCCCTCCCCCCCCGGTGTTTGTCATCGGGGTGGGTTTTCGTCGCTTGGCAACGACGTTGTAAAACAAGCCATCCCCCCCGGTGTTTTTCATCGGGTTGGGTTTTCGTCGAATGGCAGTGACGTTGTAAAGCAAGCCGATCGCTTTGTGCGCTCGACCACCACAGTGCCTTTTTTTTTTTTTTGCCTTTTTTTTTTTTGCGGTAACCATGATGGTGGTCGAGTAGATCATGTTGTGCGGGGTCGAGAACCCTCACGCCGCGCAAGGGCGATGATCGCACCACGTTGTGTTAAATTGGTTGAGCACCCTCGGGTCAGTTACACAACGCTCATAACTGTCTGTGGAAGTGAAAGCACCAGAAAATAAATTAAGTCATTCGCAGCTCTCATCCGTACGCAAGGAAGTAAGCACAAGATGCCGAACACCTTTAGCAGGATGCAGCGCACCCTTCATGCGACTCGCCGAATACCTCACGGCGCTTCGCGCTTGGTGATATGAGAGCCTGGTCCGGTAAGAACCCGGCGTGCTCCGTCCCGGCCTTGTAGGGGTGCGAGGTCAATGGTCTAACGACTACTGCATGCACGACAATGAGTACCCCCCCCCCCCCCACCCCCCCCTCCGTGCCCTGCCGACCCATTCAAAACCATCGTGCCCTTGTCTTTGTGATCACCGACCATGTCCACCGCCCCGTCCTGATCACTCTCACCGCCAGCATAGTGTTTCAAGGTTCACATCGAAGGCTCTAAAGAAGACCGCAGAATGAAGCCGGTCGCCCCGGTATCCGGCCGGTCGAATCGTGTGACACAGGCGGAACATTCCATGTTGTCTCATTCTCATGCTCTCGACCGTAGAGTGGGGTGCCTGATATATACGGCCGGCTAATTCCCTTGGCGCTGTTCGACCTTTTACGTAGACCACTAGTGCGTTGTCAGCTTACGCCGGGTGCGTGTCTTCGCGTGCACTCCAGGTGGTGGTGGGCGGGTGCCACTCTCTCATGGACGTAGACGGGGTCCTGCACGGAGACCCTCTGGAGGCGTCGGCTTTGGAGGGGATACGCTGGAACTGGGACGCCATTTCCCACACCGCCCGCCCCGACGATGGTGAACCCGTCGTCGCTCTCGAGAGCGACGGCGGCGGCGGCAAGGGCGGCTGCGCCGATGACGATTACGACAGTGACAAGTCTACGGGCGGCGGCGACAGCAGAAAGCAGGAGGGAAAGCCTGGCGCCAAGGTCGAGAAAAAGAAGGGCGGCAGGAGGAAAACAAAGGCTAGGGGCGGAAGCGGAAACGCAGGCTCCCACGAGAGAGGGGTGGAGAAGGCGTCTGGAGACGGGGTTTCCGTCGCGGTGTGGAGGCGGTACGCGTTCAGCTCGCAGCTGCAGAGGATGAGCGTGGTGGCCGAGGTCTTCGGCGGTTCCGCCGGCCTAACAGACAAGGAGGGCGTGCCCGAGGTGAGCGGGGGCGGGCGACGGCAGCGGCGGCGGGGGGTCTGCCATTCGAGGAGGACCCTGCGGCCGGCCGGGCCCGCGAGGTTGCCGTTGTCGGATGGATCGATTTCAGAAATTTCTGAACGGCACTTCCGAAACATGCAACACACGACTATACGTTCGACACAATGTTCGGAACAGTTGAACCAGCGCCTTGCCGTAAGCTGGAAGTAGATGCCAGTGGAATGTGGCCGGTTCTCCCATGCAAAACCGTGCGCAGGGCTTTCCCTTATTTCCACTTTTTTTCACGCCCCTTCGAGTAAGAACGCGTTTCGTGGGCCTGTTATCATGGCTTCCTCGTGCTTTTCGGTTCTACGTCTAAATGTTGTGGGTGATGTCGCGTCGTGGAGACACATGATTCCGATTGTCCTGAGCTGTTTTTGGTGGCGATCGTGGCTCCTAACCGTGGCTCGCAACCGGTGATCTGGTTGGACACTCGGATCTGCTGTTGTGCAGTAGCGGAGCCGGGGGAGTGCGCGTGACCAAACTATCGCCCTAGCAAAGAAGCCCATGCTAATCGAACTGTTGTAGACTTTGAAACACAGCGAAGTGTAGGCCGAACGGCGATGAGTGAAGGCAGCCCGGAGGCAATGACGGCGCTGGATGGGTGTTTTTTTCCTTTTTTGCTTCGCGGTGTTTTGTTGTTATTGTCGTGGTCGTCGCCGTTGTTGTTGTTGTTGTTGTTGTTCTTGCTGCTGCTGCTGCTGCTGCTGCTATTGTTGTTGTCTCATTCTTGTTGTCGCGGTGGTTGTTGCTATCGTCACGCTTCTCTTTGACGCACTTCTGCGGCTGAAATCCCAAGCAGGCGTGGGTGCTATCCAAGGGAAGTCCAGAGTCCATGAAGCCTCTGCTCGACGACGAAGTCCTGCCGGATTGGTACGAGGAGGAGTACGACCGCCTAGCCAGATCGGGCAGGAGGGTCGTCGCTCTCGCGCACCGATCACTCGGACCGTCGAAGTCGAAAGGTGGGGACACGCCTGCTGCGGCGCCTGAACGAAACCGCCCCTAGCTCCTTACCCCACCCGCAGTTTCCGCAAGAGGCAGAGAGATGGCACACCCCCCTATGTATTAGATCGAATTTAAAAAGCGTGATGGCTCCTCAACCAAGTGGGAGCACAACGAGCCCGATACGTTCTCGTTCCACGGAAAGCCCTCGGCCATGTGTTTCCAAAACCACCACTTTTGGTTGTGGAGAAACTGAGCTTTGAAAATCGGTCTAATTTGTAGGGGGGTTGCCATATTTTCCGCCTCTTGGCAGTGTCTCCGCTTTCGGCGCTTTGTGTCGAGTTGCGGGGGGCGGTCTTTTGCTGGGGGTCCTGGTGTCACTCTGACCAGGGTCGAACTGTTTGGAGAGGGATGCGATTGGCGCGTCGTTGTGAGGGCTGACGAGGAGGGAGGCGGGCGGGAGTCGGGGTCGAAAGAGATGTCGTTTGATCCCTGTTTTCTCCATGCGTCCGCACGCCTTAGATAGTTTCGCCGCCGGCACAAGACGAACGTTGTGGCCGGTCACACGAAGCGTGAGCAGGTGGAGAGAGACGAAGGAGCGCTCTGCCTGCACACTGCCGGCCGGATCGGGCCAATAACCAAGTCCTAGCATCGATGACCGCCTGGTTTTCTCGCGTGTTGTCGCCGCAGGGGCCAAGGCCGCCTTGGCGTCGCTGTCCCGAGCAGAGGCGGAAAAGGAAGGTTCCCTCGTCTTCGACGGCTTCCTGTCGTTCCACTGCAAGACCAGGGCCGACAGCAAACGGGTGGTGAGATAGCCGCGGAAGCGAGTCTTTTATTGCTCTGTTTTGTGCCCTGTCTCTCGGTGAAATTGGTCTCTCGTGTGCGGTGTTTTTGGTTGGAGGAATACGTCGCTGTGGTTCTGCCTCGAAAGGCGACGTTCCGCGACCGTTCTTTGTTATACATTTGCCTGCTTGTCGCCGGTTTCGGTCTCTGTGTTGCTCTGGTCGTGCTGCCGCAGATCCGAGACCTGCGACATGCGGGCGGCTGTTCGGTGACCATCGTCACGGGAGACTCGGTCATGACGGCCTGCCACGTCGCCGGCGAGGTGGGGCTAGTCGGCGAGACCGATCCGGCCGCGGGGTCTTCCGAACCGTCACCATCGACGTCATCAACAGCATCAGCCAAGAAGAAAGTTGGAGGCAAGGAAGTCAAGACGACAAACGCCGAAGGAGGAGGCGAGGAAGACGACGCTGGAAGAAGAAGCGACGAGAAGCGGAAGACTCCCCTGCTGCTGACGGTTGTGCCTACGGACCACGGGGTGAGCCGTTTCGCAGAGTCTTGGCCGGACAATGAAGGGGTTGTATATATCTGCCGGCTGGGATTCACTAGTTGTCTTAGTCGCCCATGTAGCCGTTCGCATACCTGGGGCACGTGAATTGCGAAGAATGTGTATATCTTTGACCGCGTCCGTCCGATGATCAACTCTGTTTCGCGTTTAGCGCCTGTGTGCCGTAGTTGCGCGAGTGATCGCGCACGGATCGATTTTCTCCACAGCCAAGCTAGTGCGGAAACAGACGCCACGTCTTAGGATATCTCTCGAAGAGGCATCTTGCCATACCGCATTGAAAGTATCTCGGTGAAATGGAGCTATGAACGTCGGTCTAGCGGGCGGGCGGGGGGGTCGTACAAATTCTGTAGGTTGGTGTTTGCACACGATTATCTTTGCCGCCGGACATGCGACTGCCTGCAAACTGTGCTCCTAGCCTATCGACGCTCCGCCGACGTAACTTATTTTGCCGACCAATCAGTCGGTGCGTTTGCCCGCTAATAGCGTTTACATCGACCCTACGAGAGAGCAAGCGCCAATTTCTCCTGCATTGGCACTATTTCCTGTGAACAAACTGCGGCCGCCCGTACCCTACGATCACAATCGGCCCCCCCCCCCCCCCCCCCCC